ATGATGATGGCTGTCTCAGTCTGTATCCTCTCGTAATCCGAGTCAGTCGATATCACAATCAACGGACTTGCATCTCCTTTCGTCACACGAGCAAAGTCCTGGGCCAAGTCCCTTGCGGCACGGATAACACCTGGGTAATCTGATTGGTCCACCACAATCGAAGCACCAACCAACGAGATTGACCCAGGCGAGGGTTTGAAGTCAACGATCTTTTCTTCAAACATGACCAAATATGTTTACCCTGCCTGGTACACTTATTTTTTCGCGAAGAGTTTAATAACTCAGATTGAGAAGTCGGCATGACCTCCGAGGTTAGTCACCTGATCCCAACTTGCCCCTCATCGTTAGCTCGGTTCAATGTCGTCCCGAATATTCCGCACTTAAAAAGACAACATCGTGGCCTTGGCAAACGAGACATCTTTCCCCTCATTTGTTCAGACCATAGTGGCCCTTTTGACATCGGTGAGAAGGCCGGATCAGAAATCGCTTCATTTCCAAGTTCTCTAACCTAAACTCACTACCCTTGCTCGCAAAACCTAGCTTCTAACAATCATGCCCGTGCATGCCGAATCGCATTCATAGCCATAGCCGTAACAACACCTCGGCTCCCAATCTTGAGCGGTTTTGAACCGTATCCCCACAGCCACGCCAGCTCCCACCCGCCATCGACCTGTTGAGCTTCAAGCACCGCCTCAAGATCTCTATTATTCCTCAAGCCCAGAGACTGAGCACTCAAAACTCTCATCGCAGCGCTGAGGATGTTTCTATTGCAGCCCATGCGCTCTTGTATACATATGACAAGTAGTTGCCGTATCTTTGCAAGGTTCGGGTCTGAGGGTCGACGGGCGCAAAGATCAGAGAGAATGTAAAGTAGCCAATCTGGACTTTCGTAGTACCGGCTGCCATGGAGGTAAGCCCTTGTTTCGAGGAGCTGGCAGAGAAAGTCGTAGACTCCGGGAAGCTCGTCTTGCCAGTCATTGACGAAGAAGAAGCGAAAGACAGTGGCGCATATACAGTGGCAGAAGCGAGGTCTGGTCTTGCTGAACCAGCACTAAAACGCAGTAAGTATGGTTGAGTAGACTGGTTGATGTGAATAACATACGTATGGGAGTCCATCAGGGCTTAGATTTGAGAGGATCTTATCTCTTGCTTGCACCTTGTCAGCCATCGGGATTGACTCAAGGATTGTCATGGCTAGAGACGTGGTGTCTGAGTCGTCAGGATAAGTCGTGCCGGCAAATTTTGGTGTTCCCTGGAAGTAATTCCAAGTATACCGCTCGTTCTCTAGGACAACCAAGCTCCTACGATCATGGTCAGCCGAGGTCATGACTTGGGGTATTGGGACACACACGGATCTCCTGTGTTTTGCAGAATCACCAACTGCGAGTAATTGTCAGGCTGCACTTGTCCTGTACTCAGTGTGCAGAACATCTTCTTTGCACTATGACTGAGAAACCTCTGGGCTCGGGAAACAGGATCGCCAAGTGCGTTGTTCAGGACTCCGACCAATGAATCGTTGTCTTCGAAGACGATGCCTTTGAAACCGAGTGCCTGAGCTGCAGTGACGTTCTCAACCTTATCGTCAACAAAAATGCACGACGATGCAGGAACCCGCGCTTGCTTCAAGAACTTTCTGTAAATCGCCAGGTCTGGCTTCCGCTCTCCCAGATCTGACGACGCAGAGAACTGATCGATAATTCCCCAACTCTCGATCTCATCTTTCAGAAGCTCAACTTCAGGTCTTGGGATGTTGGAAAGACAAAAGATATTGACGTTCGGGCAAGTCTGCTTCAGTTCCTTGATGGCAGAAATGAGGGACAGGTTGGCCTTCATACCGTCCCTCATCTGCTCCAGAGTCTGTGTCCAGGTCTCCAGATCAATGTTGAAGTCTCTAGTAACCTCATCGTAAGCCTCTTGCTCGGAGATTTTACCCCGTTCGTAGTCATGCCAGCCAGGGGAGTCTAGAGCGCTGGCGATCTGGCTGGGCGATAGACCAACAGTGCTTTTGGCCGCATAGTTGACGAGAACTCGGCCCAGATCTAGGACGACTGCGATATACTTGTTTTGACCAGCCATGCTGAAAACTTGTTGTTGTATTTGAATGAGTGGGGAGACGAAGATGCTTGTCTGGTGATAAATGGAAGAGGACGACGAGTAGCTACTTATAGGCTCGTTAGAGGCTCAAGGGGTGTGATTCATTGCCACTAATCGGACACTATTCTCCCCTGAATAGCGATCGTGACGTCTTGGAGGTTGTCCAGCTGTGACTAATTGAAAATGTCTCAAACATCTGATCGTGGCGTTCAATTCAGATCGAAAGACTTGGCTGAGACTTGCTGCAGAGTTGAATCACATAAAATCTCTAGCTAGCGTCCCAGCCGTGCCATAAGCCACATTTAACTAGAGGTTCGAGAGCGCCAATCGCGTAACGGTCATTCAGTGTCGCTCGAAAATGTCTTGGATGATCCGCACGCCACGTCCACTTATTGGCCTCTGTTCCGCAGTGGCGCTTCCGCTTAGACCGGGTACCAAGCTGGATTTAGGCCGAAATAGATCGGATAGAACTTTCCGTGGATTACGGGCCCATTTGATTAAGACTAACTTTGAAATGAGCATTGATACGATGAGAAAGTTCTTGGTGCACGCTACTAAGATGTGAAAAAGGTTGCTTTCTCTTATCAGGCGACTCCTGACTCTCGTGTCAGGGTTTATGTTTCACAGAAGTGATCTATCCTGTTCCCGGGGCGTATTTAGCACAGTTGTCAGAAGCAAGTTGTGAGAACGCCAGGGGCAAACAAGGAGTTCACATTAATATGACATAGCGACCGGAATTTAGTTATGGAGCGATAAAGACCTCTCAATTGCTGATTGGTTGTGGGATCTCATGGTCTACTAATAGCTTTCTGGGGAAGAGTTATCCCCGTCACAGTCTCTGCGCTAGCTCAATATTCTCGTCGACTGATGTAAGGCAAGGGCTACAACTTAGGTAATACTATACAAAAACCGGCAACAAATAAGAAAATGCCGGTTTCTCAAACAGGAAACTTTGTGTTTTTGAAATGCTCTAGTGTAAGAACTCCTCGAATGACTGCATGCATACTTTCATAGAAATGATGGTTGTTATTTCTACTTAGACCTATATCGAGCTCTCAATCTGTAGCAGCTTTCTGCATTATAGTCCTATATTTACTTCCTTATGTTTAATTCCATTTAGCGTCTAAGAACTATTCCCCATAGGCGATGCTGCTTAGAAGAAACAAGAGATATTCTTCATCTCAGCCCTTACGAAGTGCTGGTAAGATAAGTGCTCAAATAACGACACGGTAGTAATATTGCCAAGCTTTAATTGTCTGTGTTTCGTTGTGATTTGGGCCCCCAGACTTGGCCTGGAGTCTAGATCTCGCGGAGGGATACACGACAGCCCCGGCAGTCTTGGCAAGTCACTAGCACGTTTTTACCCCTGTCATCATTGTGCCTTAAACTCTTTACCTCCTAGACCACCGTATATTTGTACCATTACATCTCAACATAGCCTCAGAGGCCTCAGCTCACATTTATCAATTGGGGTCCAAATTGCAGCGCATCGGCGGTATGGCTGAAAGAGTCAAGCCGTAAGATTACTGTTAAAGCGTAGCGCAGCATTTGGAGTCCGCGAGGTTCGAGAACACAGTTGTAATACCTGAGACGTTACTTCAAAGGATCCGTAAGTCTGGAAGTAGAAGGTCGCTTCCGGTACCGCGTTGCACAACAGGATGGAATCACGTTGATAGGATATTGCCTAAACGCCAACGAACATGCGGTGGAATATGGCCCCCAAGATTCTGGACAAAGTAGTCCGCTATCATGCGATAGCGCTTGGCCCCCAAATTAGAGAAATCTGGAGATATCAGGTATAAGTGCGCAACAGACGATAATGCAATGAGCAGGTATAAATAATGCAGGCCGCGCTGGTAATGGTATGTAGCTCAGAACCATAAGTCTATCACTACTCATTCTATCAATCCTTTCACTATGCATTCTTTCAAGATCATTCTCATCTCTCTTGCGTCTGTACTGGCTATGCCAGCAACCAGCCCACGGGACATTGACGCTGAAGAGCCTTTCGACTTTGGACAAGGCTTTCTAGTCCCTGCCAATGTGTCAATTGATGACTATGATTCGACTCCCATGATCTCACTGTCTCATCTCAACCTGCGCGACCTTGACACTCTGGAAGAGCCCTACGCCCCAGAACTCGGTAACATCACCGACTTTGATCTTGACACCCGTGCCCCCAAAGAGACCAAGGTCTTCTTCGGCAAGACTCAAGTTGACTATGGCTGCGAAGCCTCCATCAGAAAGCCCCTCGGCGAAGCCATCCACTCCATCTGCGGAAATGGAGATTGCGACAAGAGCGTTGTGTACACCCGAAAAGTCAAGCATATGGCTGGCGGTGGCCGCAGAAAGGACGCCTGGTTACGTATCTCGATCAGAGGCGAGTATTTCGGACGTCATACACGAGGGTACATGGCCTCAGCCGTTCAGAATTCAGTCAATCCCAAGACTGCGAAACCAGCCATGAGATACTATACCCCGACAAACCCAAACTTCCAGGCCCAGAGTTGCAAGATGTCAAAATTTAGCAACTACATCAAGATGCGCAAGAACTTTGGCGATACGATCTATATGGAGATTGACGTTACACTTCAGACTAGCAACAGTGAGTCACTGTATCGTGATAATAAGAAGGCTTTACTAATGTAGACATAGCGCACTGTTTCACACCGACTGTTCTCAAAGAGGTTGCTGGTGCACTTGGGGGTATTGGAGGCTCTTTTTTCGGATCTGTCGTTACTGGTATGATTGGTTGTTAGGTGATCGAACAATCAGGGTTTTAAGAGAGCAACCTTCAACATCTCAGGGCGGTAGGCACTCAACTCCTACGTCATCAGTGTTTCGCGGCGATGATCATGGAAGAGAAATCATTCTTGAGTCTTTAATCACATATTGTCTGAAGATTTCTAGATACCTCGCCCGGGACTACCTGTGATTCTTTTCGTGATGATGCCAAACTTGCTCATGCCTGTATGTATAGTCGACTCATTGCGCCTATCATACTGTTCCTTGGTCCAAGGCCCGCGAGAATCTTTCTCATCCACATAATCCTCACCCTTATCTTTCAATCTCCTCGAGTACGAGTGGCAGTCGGGCGCTTTGCTACGTTCGACTTGATACTCATCTGAGTGCCAACGACCAAAGACCTTCCCGCATCCCATTGTTAACCCAACAATAGTAAATCCGTCATCTGGGCGCAGATGAGTGGGAAGCCTGTGGCTCATGTTTGGAGGACAGGGCTTATTCGTTTCGTCCCCGTATTCACCGCGTTCCATATCCACGCCCCAAATTACTGATCGGCCCCGGTTTGTACAGGTCTGCCTTGCGTGTTAGATCTGATAGCATCGGATTAGTCTCACTTACTTCAATTGCCTTGGGCGAAGGGTCTCGAAACAAGGCATGATGGACTATAACCTGTTCGATTATCTCACCACCCGGACCATCGATGTGGAACGTATCCCAACGCTGCCCAGGCCAAATCGAACCATCGTCGTCCATATTTCTCAGATAGCGAGTCTCTGTGTCTGTTGTGATTCGTAGGTTGCCAACGTCACAATGGTTGTTCCAGATATTGAAATATATCGGATCTCGAATAATGTACGCAGAAATGCTGCGTATCTGGGATAGTTCGCTTGCGTCGTTGGCGAGAACGAGGGTGTTAAGTGGAACGAGGCAGTGCCAACGATCAAATTTACGAACACGACCTTTGCACAAGTTCAGCTCTAGGTCGTCGGTCGGTGAGATTAGGTTCCTGAACATGCAGTTCACTGGATTCCAACTAGTGACCTCTTGGTCTCGATGCTTAAGCGGCTCGCGAGAAAAGTGCTCGCCGTTGGTAGCGGCTTGCAAGAACCTCACCTTCTCGATAAAGGGAGAAATAGCGTGTCTCTTATGTGCCTTTATGGTTCTCAACGTTAGAAACTCCGAGAAAGTTCCGTGAAGACTTACTGTTAGAGTGCCTTTGATACCGACGATTGCCATGTTTTCCGTTGCCGCAAATGGCATTCTGAGTAGATGCTCATCACCCTGACCATACGTATGCTCGGAGCCATCGGTGAGATGTACCTAGCCCTTAGTTAGCGACCGAAAGCGGGCTCGACTCTCATCAATACACACTGTGACGCCCTTGCAAGAGGAATAATTCCAAGAACAAGACTGCCAGGGTCTGAGAGCGGATGAAGCATAAATATGAAAGACAAAGCCCTTGATCCAGACTCCGCCCGCGAACGAACCCGCAGTACGGCATGCGCCACTTTCTTTTGGTTCATGCCCGAATATTCTCTGCGTTCGTCCAAACGTAACGGCTATACCTGAAAGATCCCCCTCCGAGTTCCAAAAAAGGCCAAGAGTCCAGGGGCACAGTAACCCAGACCACTGTTGAATGAAGTTTGCAGATCGAAAATGCAGGCCTGGCTCTCCAGTGTCTCCTAGTACTTGCCTTTCACTCTTATGGACCTGACACCCTAAGTGCCTCTTTGAAATGCCTTTCTGTCGAGGTTCTTGGTTGTAAAGCTCTTCAATTTGCTCACAGACCTTCCAGATCCGTCGTCGATTGGCGACGGGAAACATGAGTCTAGTGACACCAAACTGCGGCTTGGAGGCTGCATCGGCCCACAAGAAGATCTTTCTGAAGTCTCTGTCCTCCAAATTTTGAGAGTGTTCTTTCAAGTACTCGTGCAACTCAAGAAAATAGGGCAAGTGGGTGATTATACGTCTTTTCCAAAAAGAACCACTGTCTCTCAGGCTTGAGTATGTTTCCAATGAGGCGCAGAATAGATTTATGAGACTCTCATTATCAAGGAACTCTGAAACACCAGATATGACCGTCTCGGGAAGCAATGTAAGAGGGTTTGAGTTAGCCTTAGATTTGCAGTGGTACTGGCTAGGCTTCTCGAATTCCGGACCTGAGATGTAAGCGGCCATATCGCCCTTCAGTTGTACTTGGCACTGGGGGCTGAAGACTGTGTACTCTTGTCCAGGAATGCATTCCCAGTAGTCCTTCTGAGCCTTGTTGGAATCACCATAGTCGAAGGGAAAGACATCTATACTCTGACAAAGCCGCCTGTCGCTGGAAGTCTCTCACCACCAAGAACCGTTCCAAAACTCTGTAAAGGGCCCCTTTTCTAATCCTTGTGGTGTCAGATGTTCCGGTCAGATATAGTGCCAAGGTCTTGTAGCATTCCCAGTGAAACGGAATTACTCTTTCGGGACCTTTTTTGTTTCTATAGACGCGTAGAGTACGCACTTCGACACCTGCAAAAGCGGGATCTGTCCTCGTCTCGGTGGCCATTTCGATTCCTCGGCCAATAATAGCTGGATCGGAGACATAGAATCTGAGTAACTTGATCAGCGTATGAATTGTAGAATTTATGGCGAACATACTTTGAGCTTGTAGTTGCTAGGGGGTTGTAGCCAAGAAAATGCACTTGATCGAGCCACCCGACGTCAGCGTCGCTAACAACATCTGGATCGTACGTAGAGAAACCGTTCGGCCACATCAAGCGGAATCGGATGATGTGTGAGTTAATCGTAACTCCGCAAATAGCGCACCAAGAATTTCGATCGGTCGATGTCATTTTACCAGTATAACGGATAGTTGTGCGAATCGGTCTGTCAAACAAGCAGAGAGGAGGCTGCCGGCGATGAAGGCTATTCTAATTAAGCAGTAGATTCGGAGGAAGATGCAGAAAGCATCCAATGCCATTTTCAGGCGACGCAGTTGCCTAGAGTGGGACTGGCAAATGGTTGACTCAGCCCCAACGTGCCAACTTTAGTGGCATCAATGTCTACTTCACGTGCAGAACAGACTCTACAGAGAAATAGAGGAAGCCTCATTTACGCGGAAACAAAGTGCTTGTTTGTTATATAGACCAATTGTAGATTTGCGGTTCTATAATACTGAGTCAACCTTACTCATGAGACGGCCTGACAAACGTTTTTGACAGCATTGCTATAGCCGTAATAACATTGTAACAGAATTTATTATAAAACACACGCTGCAGCCTGCTTGTTGGAACCAGAAGTCTCCGTGCAGCCAACACAAATTTCTCAGACAACATCAACTACCGATATCATCAAAAGCGACAATATGGCGGATATCTCAGAAATGATTGAGTTCTTATGGCGGCCCCCACGAATAAACACAGGCCCCATAATCAAGCATCTGGTCAACGACAGAAAAGCCCCAGAGAATTTTGGGTATTATCGAAACTGGGGTTTTACGGTTTACCGTACTTTCTATGGCCCTGACTCGGATAAACACTGGGACACATTGATTGACGCCGTGACTCGACAGACCTTACTTGCACTCGGCTACCACGAAAATGATAGAATATTCAATGAGGATATTAAAAGAAACTGGGGAAAATACAGCGATAAAAGCGAATATCTGGAGGATATAAATCGACTGAAGAAGCTTTTTCGTCTCACCACCCGGGAAAATCCATTGTTGTTCGATGGTCTCGACATCCCCCAAATCCAAGAAGTCTGCCGCAGAGAGCTTCCGCGGGCTAGGGAAAACATAGAAGGAGCCAGGCATTGCTTTGTATTGGTTGCCGACGAGAGGGTGCTGAAAGATGTTGCAAATGGAGTCTTTGTAATCACAGCTGTTGATTATGATCAGGTCGAGGAACGATTCTGTCCGGAATGGGTTAGAATGTCAACAGGTGACATACTGAACCTCTGGGAGTCGCTTTTCCTCGAGGATTCTATTTTTCGTACCATACACTGTGCGATGGGATGTGAGCTATCCAAACGCGACCTTGAGACTTATGTCTGGTCTGGACTGGATTGTATTGAGTCACTTGGCGATTGTTCTGAAGCTCAGACTGCAACACCAGGACAGAAACCCGAGTATACTCGGTTCAGAATTGACTATTAGTGGCTAGTAGATTGGAGATAATAATGCCTAAGTTTACAAGTTTTATTATTTGTAGAAGAGTGCAATATAGGATAACAAGCTCATTCTGGCAGTTTCAAGGGGAGTCGTATTCATGGCATTGAAATCACCCATCGATCCAGAGGATGCGGGGATATTGACTGCTGACTTCGCCAAGTACTACCTCATGACAGCCTTAGTTCAAAGCTAACCCTAGAGGCCCAATTGGACCTAGGGCCGTTGACCAACAAGAAGACCAACACCCAACACAGCATAACATAACATAACAGAAATCACATGCAGCGAGCTGGTATTGGCTATAAGGATAATGAATATGGTGCCTGAGGTCACCATTTACCGATAAAGTAGAATAAATGGAGAACACTTTCTTTTTATGATTTCCCCTCTGTAAGTAACAACATAAATTCAGACCATGCCCGCATTTTCGTTTATTCACCTTTCATTCGACAATTAAAGCATCTCGAAAACATGGTTAGGCCTCATGAAATGATCAACATGCTATGGCAGCCTCCCTTCACGCGTGTGGGGAGGGGTCGTCGCATGCAGAAGCTCGATAGAACGCTTCCCGAGAACTCAAAGTACCACGGTCACTGGGGCTACACTATCTACCGCACACACTACAGTTCCGAGTCTGATAAGCAATGGGATACGCTGCTTGATGCTTTGAAACGGCAAACTAAGCTTGCAGTTAGTTACTATCAAGACGAGCCCTTTGAAGATGAGCTGATGCATCAAAGGGCTGATTTCTTGCCAAAGGCCTGGTACTACGCAAGCCAAGAACAATATTCGGACGATGTAAAGCGAATCAAAGACTTGTTTCATCTTGATATTCGTGATAATCCATCACTCGACGGCTTGGGAGTCCATGAGATCCGCGAAATGTGCCGTCGTGATAGGCCCGAGGAAGAAGAAGCCATGGCAGGGCGTCTTTTCAGTTTCGTTCTTCTAGCTGATAAAGCCGTATTTGAAGCTATGGAAAGAGGCGAATTTGTCGTCAAGGCAGTCTCGTATGACTGGCGGGATGGCTGGTACAATTGGGGCTGGATGAGAATACCAACGGGATACCTGCTTGAGCTTTGGCACTCGCTTATGGGAAGGGATGATAACTACCATACGGTGCTATCTTTCGACGGTCCAGAAGAGGACTTAGAGGAGTACACATGGCGTGGTAGCTGGGACGCGGAGTCGACAAGCCAATGCTCCGAAATACGTATGGAAGCGTATTTACTACCGTGACTCCTAATAGCTAGGATACCCTACCTGGAGTAGAAGAGACTTACTAACGTCGGGTTTATAGAATGAATCAATTTTATTTACCGAAAACACTTGAATGATTGCCAGATATCTCACTCACAAGGCAATTTAACCCCAGACGTTTGTACTAGAAGCATTGCCATAATGATTGCCTTTGAGATCCGACCAAGCAAGTGACTGTATATATCGAACGCAAAGGCTGTAAAGTGACATTTTGTCCACTAATAGTCAAACACGAACCGACTCGATCTAAACCCATTGGCTGTTTGCACCTCAGAGGTATCGTGTAATGAAGGCGTGGAATAGTCTCCCTCCCAGACATCGGTCTCCAAATCACTCTCTGGCCCCCAACCGTTGATCCAGTAATACTTGTTGGTGAAACACACATCAGAAAGCAGAAGTGCTTCCCAAAGTTCAAGCAGGCGGCCTGTTTCCAGCCGTAACCAGCCCCAGCCACCGTGGTTGTCGTTAGGATCCCAGTCATAGCCAACTGCCTTAACCACAAATTCGTTCCGTGCGATGCCATCTAGTACCGCTTTATCAGCAACGAGTACGAAACAGAACTTTGCCCCTGCCATCTTCTGCTCTGCTTCATGATGCTGTTTCCGACAAACCTGTCTTATGCCATTGATGTCGAGACCTTCAAGATGAGAAGGATCCTGATGCGGAAATATTCGAAACAAGCTTTTGAAAACGTCCAGTGAAGCTAAGTAATTTTCCCTCTTTTTCCAATGCTTGTACCGCCCATTTGCGTCTCTCTCCCAGAGCTCTTCAGCCTCAGCACTCTCGTGATACCCAATGGATAACAGAGTCTGTTGTCTCAATGCTTGGAGAAGAACACCCCAGTGGTGATCCGATTCAGCACCATAATATGTGCGATAAATCGCAAAACCCCATTTTTTGTAGTGACCGAAATCCTCGGGCTTGAAACGGTTCGGGCTTGGCATTTCAGGATGGCGGTCACGTTTTCGGGGAGGATTCCATAAGAGATCTAGAATTTCCGAGAGTTCTGACATTTCCACACTCTACTGGAATTATAGCGACGCAAGTTCCATACTGAGGAGAGGAGAAGTTGGCATGATGCAAGAAAGGACGAGAAATAGCCCCTCCCTTTTTAGGCAGAAAACACGACGAGCCCCCACGTGAGCTGTTGGCCAACAGTGTTGGCATTAGTAATGCTCTGCTGACGTGGAGGGAGCAGATGACGCAGATTTTGGGCGTTTAATTGCCATGGAGTTTGGATTGATGTTGTAACTATAGCCTAGTGCTCAATCACTTGGCAGATACATAGAGATATAAATACAGTTTTGATGTTGGCTCGATTGTCTTCTAAGTTAATAATCAATCCTGAACTGAGAAAGTCTAGACCTAATTTCTGGCCATGCAGTTCGAGCTTCAAAATAGCCGTGAGTTGGATAAATAGAGGCATTGCCTGGCTAAGTGTATCTCTTTAACTTCTCTCTAAACCAGTAATATTTAATCTTACAGTAAGGGTTAGAATTAATTATATCCTAAAGTAAAGTAACTCTTAAAAGGTTAGCACCTTACTAATTAGAGTTTTTATTTAACCTTATTTAAGTTAATCCTTATTTTAATTATAGCTAATAACCTTTATTATAAACACTTTATAGGTAATATTACTTAATATAGACTTATTAGATATAAATATAAAATAAATCTTTACCTTTTTTATATTTTTCCTTACCTTTAGAAATTCTTTATAATATAATTTTTAAATCTAAAGGATATTAAGGCTATTAAGTATTAATAAGTCTTTTCTTATTATATAATAAAATAGCTTTTTTAATTAATTTATATTATTTATATAGTTACTTTTATCTATATATAAATCTTATTTTTAGTATATTATTTTAATCTTATAGTAGCTAAGTGTAGGGTAAGTTTATTAATTTATTATATCAATAAGGGTCTCCTAATGCTTATCTAAGTCAGGACTATAATATATCCGGTAAACTGTGAACCCCCAATGGTGATAATACTGGGCATTTGCTGGATCTCTCTGATTAAGTGGGCGCCTCTTGACACCCCGCTGCCACTACCACCAAGTCTCCAAACGGGATCTCAACGCCCCCTCCGATCCAGAACGGCATGGTGAGCAATTGCAACAAGTGACACATGATGACCAAGACCACGACTTGCGATTCCATTCAGAATTACTACAAGATCTCAATGGAAGACTTTGCAAAGTGGAACCCAGCTGTTGGCTCGAAATGTACGGGTCTCTGGGCTAACTACAATGTCTGCGTTGGTGTAATTGGCGGTACCCCGACCAAGCCCAGCACTGGTGTCAAGACGCCGTCGCCCATCCAGGCAGGTATGGTAAGCAACTGTAAGAAGTTTCATCCAGTTGCCTCTACGACAACATGCGACTCGATTCAGAAGTACTACAAGATCACCATGGCCCAATTAGTCAAGTGGAATCCGGCGATTGGGGCTAAATGCACAGGGCTTTGGGCCAAGTATTACGTATGTGTCGGTGTCTAGGCGAATGGGCATGTACTGACTGTATCAACACAATCTACCTATTTAAATAGCAACTTGAAGTAGGATATATAAGCCCCAACAGTAAATAGAGCTTCCCGCCCCAATGAGATATGTAGAAAAGCCAGGCAGGCAAGCCTCGTTGACCAAGGTCCTAGTCCTCAGGTCTCGCTCAAGTCTAACGCATACCCCGACCCCTACCTCGACCAATACCGCGGCCCATACCTCGGCCCATAGATTCCTGCTGCTGGTCAAGTTGACGATCAATCTCATTCCACTTTTCTCTTTTCGCATTCAACAGTTGTCGCGGCGTCTTGCCCTCTGAGTTTGACATGCTCATTGGGTCCAGCAGCTCAATCTCGCCTCCAGTAGCCAGTTGTGACAGAATCCTGTTTTGTGCGTTCACCTTCTCGTACGCTCTGTTGCTTGGCACATTTGGCATGGATTCAGCGGAAGCAGCTATGTGAAGAGGCGTGTTTTGCTTCATATTCTGTGCAGTACCATCTGCACCTTCGTTCAACAAGAACAATATCACGCTTGCATTGCGTAGATTCCTTGCTGCATGATGCAAAACCGTGTTTCCAGCGTTATCAGTATCGTTGACCGTTGCACCGCTGGCAAGAAGAATAGATATGGCTTCTGTGTCGTCAGGGATGTATAAACCATCAGGATCGAGCAGGTTGAATAATGGCGTTTGTCTGCTACTGTTGTAAATACTTGCATCTGCACCTCTTTGGCAAAGAACCTTGAAGATTGCCGTATATAGCTTGCCATTCTCGAGGAAATAATGGACAGCATAATGTAAAGGTGTATTTCCAGCAATATCTTGGTCATTGACTGTAGCAGGATCCATATCTAGCAGAAGATTAATTGTCGTTAGGATATTGTGAACTCTCTCTTGTAGTTCAGATCGAGACACAGTATGAGCCTGTTTACGTAATTGGTTGCGCGCAGCCCAATGAAGAGGAATGCTGCCTCGACTGTCGCGGACTGATGCCGTATCCAGGTTATTGGCTCCACGATAACTGTGTAAAGTATCGATGGCAACTGGGTTGGCATGAAAGGAAGCCATATGAATAGCACGAACTTCATGAATATCGCCATCCTGGTTATAAAGTCCTAGGTGGAACGAGTCTTTTGTGACCTTGGCATCGATATCGGCACCTTCATCAATGAGTCTCTTGATGATACCAGAGCCTGCCCATTGCACAGCCAAAGTCAAAACAGTATCTGGTATGGTTGACTGCTTGTGGCCTGCATCTGCTAGCACAACGTCAGAAGCGCAGGAGCCTCGATCGAGTAACAGTTCCATTACAGCCGTGCTTCTCTCTACCGATGGTTGCCAGTCAAAAGCCTCTTTATATCTGCTCGAATAAAAATCAGCAGCGGCCAGTATGGCGGTACAGCCTTGAGGATCCCGCTCCTGGATATCAGCAAATGATGGCTGATTGTCGAGCAAGAATTGCACTATGTCGATATGAGCCCGACGCGCGGCTTCATTCAGCAGAAGGAATCCACGCTGTTTGAAGCTGAGCCGTGTGCCTGGTGTAACGACAGTCGAGTACTGGTCAAGAAGGACTTTCAATGCACCGAGACTGCCACTGGATACTGCAATATAGAAGAATGAGTAGTAGCAAGGAAGCTCATCTACCTCTTCGATGACTTGAGGTGCAATAGCGAGATACTTCTTGAGCGTAGTGACATCATCTCGACAAATGATCTTCCTCAGAAGGTCAAAGTTCTCAGTTTCACAAAGAACAGAACCATTCTGATCAGTCATTGTCATGGGTATGTAGGGAGGATCTTCATCTTCAATCCGTCCTTCTGGTGCCTGGACGAATTCTAGATATGGCGATTCGGAGTCGGACGAAGGCACTGGCATTGTTGTAGACGGCTGACTTTTACAGAAAGGAAAACAAACAGGCATGGTGTGCGCGTGGGTACTTTATAAATTACAAAAGATCTAGCTTCGAACGCTTGAGTCATCAGTGACTAGCTCAGCCAATGAAATAAATCGAATGTGATGGGGGGGAATTGAGCCCACTTTCACACTACCACTCTACTCTCTAATTACACGCCATATGAAAGAAATTGTCTTTCAGCAACCGCTTACCATGAGCAAATTAGAGGCTCGGCGCGATTAACTCATGATTGAACTCCGACACAAACATAGTAATGCAACCAGAGACCACCGCAGTCATTACCGATCTGAGAATTCCATTCGTAAAAGTCAGCCAATTTAACATTGTACTTTTCCGCAATAGAATAACATCCGTCCCCGTCGTTGACATAATACCACTTGTTGCAGCCATCAACTGCACCAGGCTGCGTGGGGCTGGGTACCTTCGCACTGGCCGTGGCCGTCGTGGTAGCCTTGATACTGGTAGCGGACGGGGCCATAGTCCTAGTCATGACCGCTGAATCGACAGGTAGATCCCAGCCCGTAACTGGCTCCAGACAGTAAGCATTGCCAGCGATCAAATCTGTGTCGCAAGTTGTTTTGTTCAAAGAAGGGTTCATCGCAGTGAACTGATTGATGGAAAGCTGATATGCGAGGCAGATCTGCGTGCAACTAAGACTACCGTCGTAACCGAGCCACTGACTACAGTCCTTGGTAGTGCCGTTGGCGACCGTCTTTCCTGAGGGAGGATCAACAGCTTGCTGCTCAGTAGGCGCAGAAATATTCAGCGGCTTTCCAGAGTACGTCCCGCCTGGAGCAGACACGCAAAGAACGCTGCCCCAGTCCGGGTCTGCATCGTGCAGGTTGGTGCAGTTCGAGTTCAACTGAGAATTGAGTGAGATGAGCTTGGATTTCAAAATGCCCGCGTTCAAAGCAATATGAAGACAGTTATCACCCTTCTGTACCTGGTATATACTGGTACATGTCAAGGGCAGGCAGAGATCTGTTCCTGCTGTGATCTTTGAACAGTTGAAGATGTTTGCATTAATGTAATACATCGTAGCTGCGGATACTCCCTGAGAGAGTGCGATTGAGTCGCAAGTGTCACCATCTCGAGTCGTATATGTCTTACCAGACACACAAACCTCTCCAGTAACGTCAGGGCTCGTAACGTTGAATGCACTGTCCGTAGCGTTGAAGTTGTCTACATTGAGGTTGCAAGCCTTGGCAACGTACTCATAGGAACCTTTCGCATACTCGTCATAAGCTCCCGTGTAAGCGTCCTTTTGCATAATAGCGTATTGCTCAACATTGCAGTAAGAGCACAAGTCTGACTTTGGGAGTTCTGAGAGATCGTCGACCTGGGGAAATGCTGAAATGACGCCTGAAGGGATCAATAGGAGTCAAAATAAATATGCATGAGGTTCGTACATACTGTTACAGTTTTTTCCTGTCTTCGGATCGCTGAAGCAAGACTGGTTCCAACTGCTCCAGAATTTGTCAACAAGGCTGACGTACGACATGCCTGGAACGAATTCTTCAGAACCGCATGCCGAAGCAACCTTTGAACGCATATGGCCAATGGAGCTACCACAAACTGGACGACAGACCAAATCGGTTACAGACTGGTCATCGCTGTCAATATACCCGTCTGACATGAGATCCGAAGCTTCCTGAGGGCAGTTGACTGACTGGTACAGTGTGGTCTCGCATGTAGTCGAGAGTCCACTGCTAGCCAGATAGCCTTGGGGAAACATGGCGAGGCCAGCAGCGTCTGCCAATCGAGCGGCCACTGCCAGACTAAGCAGAAAGCCATTGTAAGGGCCGATTAGGGATCTCATTGTGTTGGGGAAGGAAACAACAAAAAAGAGTGACAGATAGTGTTTAACGAGAGACTTGATAAAACAACATCAAATGGGCACCCTGCTTGAAAGAAGAACAAACCTGTTTTATGAGATTATAGCTAGATGAGCTCGGGGTATAACTCGACATTACTTCTAAGCAGTTATCGGGTATTCTGTATTGATCTCAGAATGATGAAGACCATTGACTTCTCAAGAGGCCTAGTCGGTCCGTTGATCCCGAAAGGGTAGTTCAATCCCTCAAATTCAGTCATGGAAGATGCTGCCGGCTTGGCATCCCGTTCATAGGTGTGCACTTAGCCAGTCCAAGGACCTCGGTACCTGGCAGAAGGTCCACCAGCCAGGGCCTGCCAGGGTCTGAGCGTATCCACTGACCGTCGTGACTCACTTGATAGCTGGTATTGCTAGCCTTACTCAAACGTAGCGTGACCCTTGGCAAGGGTGAAGGGGTGATCCCGCCACTAGCTGTGGAGTTGGGTGAAGAAATAGCGTTAAAAATACACTTGCTGCTGTAGCCGTAGATCCTGGTTACAAAATTGGCTGGGGTGTAAAAAATTTAAGTATGGATCTTTAATACCCACAGCTACTCCACTGGCCCTGAAGTACCCAACCTTAGGCAAATTCACAAACAACACTATCAACCAACAACATCTCGGACATCGTACTGTGTTCGAACTCCGACCGTGATTCCTGCGGTCCCACAAGATCTTCCCCTGCCACCACAACCTGGACCCGTGTGACAGAACCCACATAAGCAAAAGAGATTATCCATGATCATGACTTGCTATGCCTAGGACATGGGACGGAATGTCAGGACCAACAAAAGACGCATAGAGTAGCCGCATCCACCCCAAGCCTATGTCGAGCGCCAAGGCCAAATAGCTGCAGAACAAAAGGCCCTTCGGCATATTGAGGCCGATAACCAGGATGGAACAGACTACGGCGTGGAAATCACTGTATGGACTTGTCCACTTAGCAAGCTAGTCATGAGAATAACCTCCGAGTCAAGCATTCTTTCCCTAGGACGGCGCGTAAAGCCGAGGAACTCTCTTAGGTGAACCGGGATCGTCCATAGGGACATTTCTGCCCTTACTATAGTGAGCAGTGACAATACCGTTCGAGATAAAGTATCTATGGCTTCACTTGCTCTTATGTGACAAGCAACTGCCAAGTCATAGCTTGCTGTACTTTCCTCACTCTTTATTCTTTCTTTGCCTGCCAAGTCACTCACTCACTCACTTATCGTCCTTCCTTTTTACATCTTCAAACTAAATCATTCTTGGTTGTTGTTCTTCAGCTACAACGGACATTCATTCTTTTGACTCTCATCATGAGGTCAACTTGGGCGACCCCTTTGGCTGCTCTGTTGCTCACCTCAATCCCCTTGGCTGTCGCAGATGTATTTTGTGACAAGTCTACCGCCTGCGAAGTCGGCTGCTGTGGCTCCAACAATGTCTGTGGCACAGGACCAGACTATTGTAGCAAGGCGAAGTGCATCAACAGCTGTGAATACAAAGCTGAATGCAACCCAGGCAACTGGCCTTCGCAGTACTTCAATGCTACCAAGTGTCCTCTCAATGTTTGCTGTAGCAAGTTCGGCTTCTGCGGTACTACCGAGGAGTTCTGCGGCAAAGAAACCGTCAAGAGACCATCTTGCAGCATCGGGACGCAGACAGTTGATCGCGTGATCGGCTACTACGGATCAGGCGGCGCGACACGCTCATGCAATCGCATGGCTCCAGCTTCGTTCCCTCAAGGCGTTTACACCCATATCTACTTTGCATTCGGCAGTATCGATCCCGATTCGTTCAAGGTCATTCCAGGTACTGCCGATGATGAGCGCCTGTACCCAGATCTGGCAGCACTCAAGACCAGGGACATTGGACAGGAGCTTTGGTTGTCCATCGGAGGATGGACATTCTCTGACAATGGTTCGCCAACAGCTACAACCTTCTCAGACTTGGTCAATGCCGACGAGACACGACAGAGAGCCTTTTTTGCCTCCTTGGTGCTCTTCATGCAAACATGGGGTTTCAGCGGTGTCGACATTGACTGGGAATACCCCGTTGACCACGACCGCAATGGTCGCGAGTCTGATTTCAAGGCTTATCCAAGGTTCATGAAAAGACTCAAGTCTGCCCTCCACGACTACAAGTTTGGCCTCTCGGTTACTCTCCCGACCAGCTATTGGTATCTCCAGCACTTTGATCTCGAGAACATCGAGCCATCGGTTGACTGGTTCAATGTTATGAGTTATGATCTCCACGGCGCGTGGGATATTGGCAACAAATGGACCGGTGCGTTCGTAGGAGCCCATACAAACTTGACCGAGATCAAGAGCTCTTTGGATCTTTTGTGGCGCAACAAGGTATCTCCTTCGAAAGTTGTGCTCGGCTTGGCTTTCTACGGACGAAGTGTTACGCTCGCAGACCCCTCCTGTTCTGAGCCTGGTTGTGCGTACCTGTCTGCTGGAGATGCTGGTACATGCAGCGGCGAAGCTGGCATCCTATTCAATAGTGAGATCACTGATCTCATTCGCGACAAGAAACTCAGGCCAAAGCTATACAAGGACGCCGCTATCAAGACAATCCAGTGGAACAACGATCAATGGGTGTCTTACGATGACAAGGATACTTGGAAGCTCAAAGCCAACTTTCTCAAGTCGCAATGCCTTAGTGGTGTTCTTGTTTGGGCTGTCGACTATGATGATGCCAAACATTCATACTCGAAGGGGCTGGCCGCAGCTCTTGGCATCAAGAGCAACGTAGACACTTCCACTGGTTTGACTATTGTTAAGCCGGAGAAGTCAGTGAAGGATGAGTCCAACGACTTCTGTTACTTCACCAACTGTGGCCAGACCTGTCCTCGCGGTTACACCGAAATCATTCGTGATGACGACAAGTCACAGATCATGCTGGACGCGACACAATGCCCTTCGGGCTCGGGAGAGGTACAGACATTGTGCTGTCCCAAGTCCTCTAAAGTCCCTGTATGCCGGTGGAGAGGTCACAGGAACAGTGGTCACTGTGTAGTTGGCTGCAATGCCGGCGAGGTTGAGGTTGGCACTCTTCACGCTGGTTGCAAGAAGGGTTGGCAGTCCGCTTGCTGCGACTTCACTGAGACCACTGAGCCTTGGTCAAAGTGTAAGTGGACAGATGACTGCTTCGAGGACAATACCTGTCCTACAGGCTATTCGTCTCTCGTGGCAGAATCTCGGAACGGCTGGGGTGGCCAGAAATCTTGCAAGGCCGGCAAGTACAACTACTGCTGCACAGAGACCCCCAAAGCCTTCAAAGAATGCGAATGGTTTGGCCATCAAGTCTCATCCTTTGCCAATACGCAGTTGTGTACGGATGCTTGCCCGTCTGGATCGACCCGCATTGCTGAACAGTCACTCACTGAACTCTTTGGAAGTAGGATTACTGGCAACACCAAAGGCTGTATCTATGGTAATGAAGCATATTGCTGCTCTGGTGACAAAAGCTCCGACAAGAGCGAGCGGGATACGCCCATTATTGTCTACGAAGACGAGATGGCAGAAAGCTTTGACGAACTTTTGCAGAAGTTTCTCAAAGATCCTATATGCCCTGGCACTTGGACTGCACAATTTAGCAGCAGTGATGAGCTATACGCGCGAGAGTTGCTTAAAGGACGTGCAACTGACATGACGACGACTCTGACCTTGCTTTTCCCTATCATGAAAGTCTGGATTCAGTCTGAGCGCCGACGAACCGATTTGACAGACATCTATAATCTGCGGATGGACGACTTCGGCTATGCTGACACCGCTGCCAATGTGAGTACATTTGATGAGATGCTATACCAAGGCGATTGGACTGGGCTACCGACATATGACCCTGATGTTGCCATCTCGGGAATGCTTTGCAACATCGCCGCTTCTAGGCTTGCTATGGACAGCATGGCGGCTGCTACGGAATCTTTGTGTTCATTCACGCCTGACCCTGATGTTGCAACAACGAAGCGAGGTCTTCTCGAAGCTCGAAGATTAACCGAGATCACTATGGACGATCGGTCGCGGAACCAAATCGAGCCGAGTATCGCACTGGCACTAGAGGGAATTCTCAATGGCGACCTCAGCTTACATTATATGCGCTGGTTGCCGCGCCGAGGAAATGAGATGATGCTTGAGGCAGCCTTCTGGATTGGCCCAGTGCCTGGTCAGAACCCAGGAGCGGCACACCGCGCCCGTTACTCTGATAGAACGCATACAACGTATCATGATCGATGGATAGTCATTCATTTCCATATTCCCCTGGATCGCCAAACGTTTACTGGTAGTGGTGATACCTGGTTTCTTGGTGTCCATAGCATGGGCATGTATCACAGCCAGACCCTTCGCCAGCCCGGAGCTGTAACTCCGAATTGGTATAACGTTGAATACCGCGCTGAGTATAGGTAAGTACCTTTCATGTTGGTAGTTTTGGCACCACTTCTAAGTCCTGTCCAGATACTCTCGCTCCTATGGCAACCCAAGGGAGACCAGCGTCCCTAACAACAGGAATCCCTCCATGAGAGATTACAACGCTCGCACGGAGCCTCTCCGATGTCTTGCCAAAGATAATGGTGGAGCACCACAGCGGTGGTATGTCGGCCGCGATTACTCAGCACGGATCAGGACCTTGGAGACTGAACGTCGTCCGAGCGGCTATGCCTCCTTAGTTAACAGATTCGTAAGTACCCTTCAGAATATACTTAGCCGCAAGCGAATGCTAATACACAACCATCTAGGGACTCTGGCTTCATGGCGAGGGCGCGTTCAGTCGCAGCAATTTGGGTTTTGTCTGGTCTGTTATCAATGACCCGGTAATTGCCAATAGACCGAGAGGCCCGAGGAACTTTGACGCCGATGCTAATTTTCGCCCTGCTCCTGGAGCGTTTGACGAGAACTGGCTACCTGGAGGAAGTGGCGTAGGTGACCTGAGAAACTCTGACGCCTAGCGATTGATACGTAATGGCCCATTGAGCTTGTGCCAGGACTTATCTCCACCATATTAATATCTACACATACCTATAATTCGCCCCCACGTGCATAAAGACAGTGTCAGAGGACGCTCCAATTTCACCGAAGTGCACCCTTTCTGTTGACTCAAGTTGTAAAGGTTTAGCCAGGCTCGATGTGATATCTTTTACTAGCTGCAGTTTGTGGCTTGTCATACTTCCTGTTCTTATGACGGTACTTACTTCGTTAATAAAGCTGAGGACGAGATAGATATACACCAAGAGGGACCAATAGCGTGAGCGGAGACAGCAGCAGAAAGATAAGACATAAGTAAGGAATGAGCTATTACCCTTCATCGATAATGGCAGAACTTCCGAAAGACGATGACACAGAAATGGGAGGGACATGATGCATGACTTGATAGAGGAGTCCATAGTTGATACAAATTATGTATCTACCGCATGTTCGTCCTTGTTTAGAAAGTGCGATCAGGTCTTTGACCAGTATAATGGGAAAGCAATGGACGAACTTCAGAGAAGCGTCCTGTACCCGGAAGAGAAACGTCTCCAGGCCATACATAGGTATCTAGATCCTTCTCGGGCCCTTTGAATCTGAGAACTGACTCCGTACCGAATGAATGCCGGCTGAGAAGCATCCATAGGTCCAGAAGATAGCTTGTTGGTATTCTCATCCAACCCCACCCCGAAAATCCCTCAGACCAACTCAAGGACATCGCCTTGACAACTGATTCGCCGTTTGCAATATCCCTCAAGACCGACTCATCAGCGACTAGAACAAAATCGTAGAGGCAATCAGCCATGGCTGGTTCAGTCCGCAACTCCGCCTCGCGACATAGTTCTCGAACACCTTTGATGTCGAGGCCTTCCAGTAGCGATTGGTCATCGCGTGCATCAAGGTGAAAAAGACTTTTGAGTAGCTGGACGTTGCTTTGGTCTACGTCTTTTTTACCCTCAAAATACCCAAATGCGAGTATAGTTTGCTGCTTCAAACAATCTAGAAGCATATTCCAAGGCGTATCGGAATCCGGGCTATAGTGCGTGCGGTAGACCGTAAAACCCCAGTGATGGTAATACTGAGGATTGTCAGGATGCATCCTGCTTTGATGTTGCCGCTCAGTACCCCGCAGGGTTTCCCAAACATGCTCAATCAGTTCTTGGATGAGTGGTTTCATGCTGATGGTCGATTGGCGGGATTAAGTAGCTGTTCCAAGCGAGAACCCAGAAATACCTTCTACAAAACTTCGTTTTCTCGTTGGCCCTCGTAGAATGTTTTCACATGGCCAGCTGCCAAAACCTCACCCGGAATTGATCCACCTTAGTCCCACTCTCTGAAAGGCCCCCTATATCGTTATTGGCATATAGTTCAAGAGCGTGAGCAAGCTGTGTCTCGCAACTCGCTTGATCTGGGTAAGGGAAGACAGTCCGCAGAACGTTTATTTTGATAGCAATATGTGTTTATTGCCGGAGAAACTCGAGTCTGTCTATCCAGGTGGATCTGAGAGGTCTCGACGTTAAAAGCTGCAACCCAGCGACACGTCTTACTTGGGAGGTCAATGACGGTGACGAGCTGTTATTTTATCGCGGTGAAGTGCCACGTCGATTTGGCAGACCTTTATAACTAGAACTTAACGGTTTGGGAACTGAAAGGCCCGGATAAGTGGGCGGTTGCTCAGATGGAGTTTGGCGGGAGGTGTAATTAGTTAGACATTACTCCGTACTACGCATAGCTATTCCGTAATGATTTGAGCTTCAGGTGGGCTCGGATCTGACTCTTCGCCGAAAGGTCTGCTGTATTTGATTGGCTATCAATAAACCAGCACAACTCCACTTATTACAGGGGAAGTTGGTACCAATTAGTACGATGGGCCTGCACGCGGTACATAAGAACTCCAGTCGAACACTGTTCTCTTTAATTCAACAAGCCAACTTACCACAGCCATGGCATCCTCTCTCTTTCCCATTGCCGCATCGCCCTATCGGGAGTTTACGAAAAGACCTATAAACCGATACAACTACCATGGACCTCCTTTCGACGTGCCCGTGACTATAACTGATCGCGATGGTACTCTTATCCATGAACAACAAGGTCAAGGTCTTCTTTACGCCATAATTACCCACAACGACGTTGAGTTTCTTGAGAAATACTTCGCTATTGATCCTCGGGCAATTCCAAACCTATTTGACCTTCCCGATGACGATGAAGCCATTTGTGACTTGGGCGAATTGTTCCGTGCCGCAGCCGAAAGTGGCAGTCTTGGCACACTTCAAACGCTCCTGGATTACACCACAAAAGACCTTGATGATGCGACGAAGCCGATAAGGTTAATCAGGGCCAATTTCCAGCTTTTGAATGTGGCCGCTCAATTCGGTCGTATTGAGATTGTGCAATGGCTCCTCGACACCCAGCCATTATACGCCAGTATTCACGATCGAGATCTCAGAGGCTTTACCGCGCTCGCGGCAGCAGCGGATCTCTTTTCATTTAACTCTTTCTCTTGTCCCGCCTATGATGAGGTGTGTTTTGAAAATAATGAGGCCATAATGAATCTACTGCTTGATCATGGTGCCTGCACTTCTGATGTCGTCTGTCCGACGAACGACAAGGATCAAAGGAACCCTAGTATTCATCAATGTGTATTGTTATGCGCTGGGGCTGAAGCTTCATTTAACCGGTTGAACCCATCACAGCTCCCTAGTGTTCTCACTTTGGCTGCACAGTGGGCAAGTACTGATTTACTTGAAAGACTCATTGATGGAGGTGCCGATGTGCACTACAAGGAAGCAGTCATGCCAAGGCAGCTTAAGATCCAGTCTCCACGTGAGTTACCTGTCAAGATAGAGATCACTGCGCTGTTTCTTGCATCCTTTCGCGCAAACCCCAGCGGCATCAAGATTTTGGTTGATCGCAGAGGTGATGGAGTTACTATCGCAGACATGATTTGCTCTCCAGACTGCGTTGGAAGCCTCCCCCTTCACTGGGCAGCTCGAAACCAATTACCACATTCGCCTAGACTCATGCCAGCAACGATACTCCATGAGACAGCTGGACAGATCACCCGTACTATTGAACAGCTCTTGGACTTCGCCCCCACTACAGTCAACATTCAAGATAGTTTTGGAAACACGGCACTGCATTACGCCACCCGCTACTTCGGAAAAAATGGCACGATATATAATTCTGTCTTTGAACTCCTATACAGCCGGGGCGCGGATGCGAGCCTTCGCAATCACAAGGGAGAAACCCCTCTGCATACTTTATTCAAGCCTAATAAGCCTTATAAAGACGCCGCACCCATTGATCCAGTCAATATATCGCTTTTACTCGCCCACGGCGCCAAGACTACAGACGTTGATAAGACTAGAAACTCGCCACTACATGTTGCGTGCTCCAGCGTAAAGTTTGGTGGTAATACTATCTCAGTCTTGCTTCAGCATGGCGCCGACCCTGGTTTGCGAAATTTTGAGCAAGACACGCCCATCCATAGGATTGCTGGCTTTTATTGCGTCCGAGACGGGTTAAGCAGCGAAGCGGATGGGTTCATGAGGGCACAAGATGATATCCTAGAAAGGATGGTGCAAGTTGGAGGGGCACAATTGATGGAGCTCCAAAATCCATCTGGGAAGTCTACAAGACAGATATATCAAGATTCACGGGCGAAATGGCTGGAGGACGCGCGTAGATACGAAAATCGAGGCAGCCGTCGTAGGGGTGGCAGGGGGCACTGAAGATCAGCAAGGCAAACCACGCATCTCGAAGTCCAGGTAACCAGGAAATGGAATCTTGAAACGGAGAATCTAGAGAACTCTCGAAGTGCGCCGTTTTGTATTTACCTCGGGTCTGGCAGAGAAGGTCGACATGCAAACTCTAGTTTTTGTAACTTTAAGAAACGCAGGAGGAATTGAGCTGATGGATTCTCCTGATGCAAATGGAAAGACGCTACGGGGAATCTGTGATAAGGGGAGAAATAGGTGAAGAAAAGATAGGGACAGGGACTGTATGATAAATAGACGCCGCAAACGAAATCTGACAAGGGCCACACCTGTTGATCCCGGACGTTATCATAAATAAAACTTGGAAAATTACGCTTTATCTTGGGAACTTTGTTATCAGTGGAGTATCCCGCTTAAATGGAAGTAGTGCTGTTAGTGCCTTAACTCAAGTTCAGCTTCTCGCTATAGGGTATGGAGCTTTCCTACCCCTCATCTTGTCCCAATCCCTCCCTCGCCCAGCAGTGTAACATTGCAACATAATGCGACATTATTTCCTGGTAGTCCTTGCTCGGGCTGCAAGTTTTGCGAGTGCGGAGCTGTGGCCATACAGTCGGTACCAGGGCTCTCATAATGCTGGCTTCGTCACGAATCCATCTCGAAATCCGACACAAAAGGCCTCTACAGAGCCTATCGATTACTTCGTCAAATGGCTTGGAAATCTTGTGAATAAGAATCATAATCACGATTTACAAGAGCTTTTTGAGAGCGGTACTGTCTCAGACAATGTTACCTCAATCGAAAATCTATCCGGCCAGGTTGCCACGCCTGAACGGCCAGTCATTGGCCCGCAAGTTCCAGACCATGGTCTCTACGACGATCTAAAGACTGAGGCAAGCTTGCTGTTCAGGAGCTTGAACTATGAACTAGAGCCGGAATGCTTTTATGGCAAAGCGACTTGGTGGTTCCGTACATACGAAGGGCACTGCAATTGGCTAAAAAAGGGTGAGTCGGGTGAAGGCTCAGTTGGATCAGCCAGACCACGCGATTACCAACAACACACGTATGCCGACGGCATATCCGAGCCACGAGATGGACCAAACCCACGGGCCGTTAGCAATGCATTCTTCAAGAGAAAAAAGAAGATTTACTATGACCATACGCCTCTCCTTCTGGGGCTCATCGAGGTGAGAGTCCTTCATCTATGGCGCTTCAACTCGCGGTTCTGACTTATCCAGTTCATTATGCATGACGTTACGTATAGTCAAGACTCTACCGACGAATTTATTGAAGTCTCTATGCCAGAGGATGAAGAGATATTTCCCCTGAACACCACAATTAGAGTGCTAAGAACAGCCGCCATGCCTGGAACGGGCACATCCAGAAGCAACCCCCGCGAAAACATCAACATTGCAACAACGTGGCTTGACATATCATCGCTGTATGGCAGTAATGCTGATGTAGCACACCGATTGCGATCAAGAACTGATGGCAAGCTTCTCACACAAGAGGTACAACCGCCTGGCACCAGGGCAAAGGCCTCTTACCTTCCCTTCAACACCGTGGGCGTACCGACCAACACACGTCCTGGTGTTAAGCCGGAAGAGTTGTTTGCTGGAGGTGATCCCCGTACCAACGAGGACTGGCTAATTCTTGGTATTCATACATTACTACTTCGAGAGCATAACAGGCTCTGCGACATTCTCAGGAAACAGAAACCGACTTGGGACGATGAGCAGCTTTACCAAACTGTACGCGTGGTCATGTCCGCAAAACATGCATTGATCGCCAACGCATACCAAATGGCCTATTGGACCGATGAGATGCCATGGCCAAGAGATGACGGATTTCCACTTTATCGTCAGACGTTTGGTGAGAGCGCATTGGAGATAAATCCCGCCAACACGTATCCTTGGCCACTTGTCACTAAGAATGGAAAGCCAATGACGGTCTCTGCAGAAATGGCTGTCGTCTATCGCTTCCACGAGTTCATCATCCCGAATTTCCCGATCAAGGATCAGAACAATGAGACACTATGGGAGCAGAATCTATTTGATACAAGCTTCAATAGCAGAGGGTTTCTCGACGTTGGACTGGAAAGAATTCTTGCTGGGGCTCTTTCGTCGCACATTCCCAACTTCAAGTCCGGAGTAGATGAGAGTTTCAGAAGCGCTGGGCTCTATCGCGGCCGTCCCTTCGACATCGTCGTCTCAAGTATCGTGCATGAACGAGAGCAAGGCTTGCCGACCTTCAATCAATATTTTCGCGAGTACAACGCTCAGGATCCAGAAGTTGTCGTCCCAATCCGTGACACTTGGGACAAGTTCTCGACTGATCCCGAAGTCATACAAAATCTAAAGACGCTCTACAAGCACCCCGATGATGTTGACCTCGTCGTTGGTTGCCAACTTGACGAGGAATGGTTCCCAGGTACCACAGTTCCCAAGTCAGCCCTCATCATCAGCCTCTTCAGCTTATTTGGCATGGGAAACTCGGACCGCTTCTCAATTGGCTTCGCGATGATGCGCTGTCTTCTTGTGGATCGCCCCTGGGATTGCCATCCCAGTAATGCTTTAGAAGACCTGATATGGGAGCGAAAGAGCGTACCTGGCTTTCCCAACTTTAGGTTTTATAGCGACTTTTGGGTTAAGGAGCTGGATTTGCCCGCCCACGGTACGAATCTCTTGTGGCGCTTGATCACAGAAAACTCAGAGATCAATTGCGTTCAGAGATCGCCTTTGTTTCCGCCCGATAAGGATACCAACCCGATTCTGTGTTCAAGAGAAGCAGATAAAGTGTCTTCATCGGCTGTGCTGTTGAACCTTTTCCAAATTGTACTATCGCTATTGAAACATAGCCCTTATAGCTTCATCGCTACAGTCATCATTACTGTAGGCAGTGGCATCCTAGGAACTATGCGGTACTTAAGATCAGATACTATACTTAAGCGGAAGATTTAATATAAAGTACTTTTCTATCTTGAGAGAATCTTTTTACTTATATTGCTATTATATACAAGAGAAAGAAAGATTAATTAAGTAATAAGTTAACTTTATGGCTAATTTAACTTTCTATATATAGAATAGCTGCTGGAGTATTTTATACACTATTTACATAAAGCCCACACGATTCAACCTCTCGGGTCCATAGCTTCCAAGGACGCTCACAAGTCCTCTTCGACATCGCCTGCGCCAACGAACATTCTTCATCGCTCAAGTATGTCAAGGCCATGTTTGTCCTATTTGTGGCCTGTATTGCAGTGGCAGTTGTCTGGATTGTTGCGTTCTTCTGTGTGTAGGTGGCCCATACGACAGCAAGTTCTATACTGTCCGCTACTACTGTGAAACCATGGCCTCGCATAAGTGTAACATTGTTGCCGTTGTCGAATGTTTTTGCTAGAGCTTCTCCAGTTTGCTCATTTCGAACGAGCATATCCGCCTCTTGCGTAGGATCTCGGTGTTTGGCGATATCAAAGACTGCAGCACCCTGGGATCCGAGGAAAGCCGCCATGTGATAGCAAGCTTTTAGTGGGATGCCTGAGATAGCATAGGGAACCACTTCCTCTGAGTGGCTATGTACAACAGCGTGGATATTTGGGTGGCGTTTATAGATCTCTGAATGGATCCTTCGTTCTTCATATCCTTTGAGGGATGTTTCTTCGACTGGCTCCGCGTCGTCCACTCTGTACTCTATCAAGTCTGCTGGAGAGGACACTACCCCGGGAGGTACGGAGCGTGACATAATAAAGACATCGCTGTGAATAGGGTGTCGGAACGACAGGTGACCGTAAGCATCGAGAACTTGATTATGGTGCAGAATGTGGCAACCGTCAACAAACTTGCGGTAACACAGTTGGAGAATCACAGCGGGCTCCATTGGAAGCGAGAAGGTATTTAGAATGTTTAATTTGTGTAGAAAAACTTCTGTATAGGAGAAGCTAGATTTATACGGCTTGAGTCGTGACCGACGTTATGCACTTGTAGCTCGGATTGGATGCAGTTCGGAAATCCCCTCCGAGCTATTCGGCGGAGCTGTCTTCGGTATTTGGCTCATTTCAATTTCCATTATACAACTAGCCTAGCTTCAACAGCAACTTCATGGCCAACTGTGTCGACTCTCTTCGAACCACTAACATGCTTAGTACCCTTTGTAACTCCACTTTAAGCTCTACTCATATGAAAGTATACGACGTCAATTAATGTTTACTATATTTTTCATGGAGCAATAGCTTTAAAGTAGCTTCAACAGTGTAAATAAGTTTCCATTCCAAGGTAAAATCCGCTATAACTTATCACACTTAATCCGATATTGACTGATCAAGCCCGGTGAAGCCACTGTCGGAGCCATAAAGATACTGCATTCTTGGCTCTTTCCATCCCGTCCCTCTCGCCCGGCTTACTCTCGTCTCCACGGATAGCAAAACCATGCTCAAGTCCAGGAAAATACTGGTAATCATATGCTACCCCAGTCATCGGCAGAACCTCGTTGGCGTACGCCTTCAATTCTGGAGTAAATTGGGGATCGAATTCGGGAGCCAAAATCTGGGTCGGGACGCCAATGTTTGCAATTTCTTCTTTCTCAAGAAATGACGGGTGGGAAGTAGAGATGCAGTCAACAAGACTTAACTCCTTAGCCCCAAGATTAAAGACAGCCCATCCACCGAAACAGTACCCAACGGCCCCAATCCGAGAAAAGGATGATCTCAAGGTTTCGACAAATCTAACAAGCTCTGGTCTTCGGACTGTCTTGGAGTTGCGCTTGAAAAATGCACCCAGGTCGAATTCGCCCATTCGGCTTTTGTCAAACAGGATTTCAGTGGGGACTACCTCTCCACCAAAACTAGAAAGACAAAGAAGGTCAGCAAAAAGTTCTCTGCCATTTCTGAAACAGGGAAGCTTACAAGTCAGGTACATAGACAGTAGCATTAACCTCTTGAGCCAGATGATCGGCTAGAATTCGGGTGTTGTTGAATGTCCAGCCAAAAAGATCATGGACGATTATGACGGCAACATCCTTGTTTGTGCCAGAAACATAGCATTTCAGCTCGGCAACAGTGTTGTTTCTGCCTTTAGGCTTAGCCTTCCATTGAAATCCCTTGAGACAGCAGTCAGTCATGATGAAAGCGATGAAAGGATGAATAACAGAGTTTCAGAAAGATGAGTGAAGAATCCGGTACAATATCATATTTGGGTACTTCTATTAGGCCCTTATTATAACAGGGTTCAAGTAAGCCTCGTAAGTGTTGCCTAAATTTGGGGTATGAGACGAACTCTCTGCTAAGCAAAGATCAGACTCAGTCGCTACATGGTCACCCTAAGATGGCGGCATTCAGAGCCCTGGCGGGGAGTACGTAAACTCCGATATGTCAGTTCCGCCCGAGAAACAAAGGAGGACTTTCATTATCTTCTTTCCCCGAGATTACGAAGGTCTTTTAGCATTACCGTCAATTCGGGTGGCTGGTTCCGAGAAGGAATACATCCGAAAGTTTCGGACATTTGCATTTTGGAAAAAGGCCGACTATACAGCACTCCTTTAACTTGGCAAAATTTATTAACGACTAAGAAACTTATTTATAGAGAATATAAAAAAGATTATTTAAGAAATAATACTATTTTCTAAAAGCAGTAGTTTAATTAGCTATAAATACATAAAAGATTTGTCATAAATATATACAAAATATTATATAGTCAACTACTTCTTTATGAAATTCTTAACCATCCAGTATCCTGGCAAATACCCTTCAGATAACCCCCTCGCAATGCTTAGCAACATGCCAGGTCCATACCTAACGAAATTATCTCCACCTTTACTTGACACACCAGTGGCATTCAGGTCATGGTATGAATCCTCCATGGTAAGTTCAACAAAACCCTCACCCAAGTCTGCGTATGTACAGGCCACGCTAGCCTTTTCCGTACTAATCACTGCACCTGAGGGTTCGTCGTAAACAAGAGCCCCCGGTTGTACCAGCAGGAGTGATATAAGGTCCGACGAAGCTTGAAGATGTGCCGTAGCCTTTCGTAGATCTAGGTAGGGATGATAGAAAGCTGATTTGATGAGCCAGAGGAGAGGTGCCGGCGTTTGTGCGGTAAATCGGGTGTTCCAGGTGGAGGATGACAAGAGAATTAATCGGGGCTTCTTCCATTCCTTTGTAGAAGCCCGTTTCATATCATCAAGCACATCAGTAATTGTCTTGGAGAGATCCTGTAGCACTTTCACACCGGCGATGTTGCTGTTCTCTCCAAGAGCGCAGACGATGGTATCGGCGTCGCGCAAACACTCTCCCACGATGGCCTTGTCGGTAATCTGTCCTTGGCAGACATGTATGTTCTTATATGTCGTCAACTCGGGCATCATCCGAGATAGTTTTGCCGTGGAGCGTACCATAAGTCTCAGCTCCACGGAATCACGAAACCCCTGGCGTTTGATGAACGAGCGGACTGTAGCACTACCAGTGCCACCAGTCGCGCCAAAGAGAGCAATTCGCCGGTGTGAGGTTGCCATATTGAACAGCAGAGAATTCAAGAGATAACAAGAGGAGATCGAACGACTGTATAAGATATAAGCCTGGGGTGAGAAACATACTTTCTAGTGCTATCAAGAGACCCTTTATAGCCTTTGCACTTGTCTTTGACGTCGGAGCCACTTCCGCGACGGATATTTGCGAACTCTGCGTGAGCCGAAGCTGCTGGGCCTCCTCGGCTGCTCTGCATTATAGTGAAAAATCGTTATTCCGAGTTAATAGACTCTACATCTGATGGCTCACATCGCGCGCCTCACACGTGACAAATCGTGCCCAAGTATATGGACTTAGAAGCCTCGGAAATGCAGTTGAGACTTGTGGCTAAAGGCTTAAGTTAGCAGGGAGGATTTGGGACCTCAGAAATAGGTTATCAAAGCTCTGCTTCAAAGACTAAATCAGAAAGAAAAACTTTTAAATAAAGGAATTTAATTGTTGGAAGTTATATTCCTGTAGAATAATATAGGAAGAGAAACATAAGTTGAGGTCCAGGACAGTTAGATAAACACTTAGAATGTAAACATAAGTAATACAGATATACCTAAAGACAATAGAATTTAAAGTTGGACAATTGCATCACTGCCAAGCCCAAAGCCAGTCCAACCGTTAAATTCAGTCAAGAACTTGGCCGCCGCTTGCTGATATAAGCCATCCTCAGACCCTCTAATTTCCTCAACCATTTTCAAAGCTCGAATCACCTTTGCCCAATGCATGTCGGTGCTCCACTTGCTTTCCAAGGCCTTCTTGGAGATAGACTCCCAGCTGCTATTGTCCGAGTTCAAGGGCTTCATCTTCTCGATCCCGAAGCTCGGGCGCAGCTGCATGAGATACGTAATGGTAGTGAACAACCCAAATTGCTTCATCATGGTAAGTCTCCTATCCTCTGGCATGATTGGAAGCAGGATACGAAGGGCGTGACCGACGGTTAAGACATGGGCCAAGAAAAAGTCAAAGTTCCCCTCCTTATCCGCAGTGCTTAGAGAGAGGATCGCAGAAGTCTTCAGCCAGTCCTTAAACTGGATGGTTGTGTTCTCGACCACCAAAGCGTTCCAATGCTCCAACAGTTCCGACTCATACTTACTGAGTAAAGTGAAGACGTTGGCGTATCCTGGATCCTCAGAGTAGTTATCGAAGCGCTTGTCATTGTGGATATTGGTCAGAATCTCCTCTAAGCTTGTCGTCTTGTGTGTTGAATTGTCTGGAAATGCATTGTCCAGAAACTTGTGTGCGGGATCATACTCGGTACATCCGAGGCTTAAAGCCTCCGAGATGACCTCCTTGCTGTTGAACTCATACCCATAAGCAAGGTGAATGTATGGATGGCCGACTAAGCTTCTGATTAGTACACATTGAGAAACCCGTTCACCAACAGAAGAATAACTCACGTCCGCCACAGAACCCATTAATCAATGGCTCCTTTCCAGAGAAAAGATGATCAAGGACGACTTTGTTCCAGTCTCCACCATTCCTTTCTATCTGATGGTCGAAGTAATCAACATATGCGGCCGTATATCTGTCACAGGTCTATTAGCAATTCATATCACATAAGATACCTCTAAATGTGGAGTTGATGTACTTCTTATCACCAAGGTGGTCCCGCCAGTTATCAGCCACGATAGTGTACCTCACTACCTCAGCATCGACGGCGAGAAGGTTAGGCTCTTCTGCATGGTAGATCTCCTGCAATTTGGCAGTGCTTGCTCCTAGGAGATAGGAGGATCCTAGAGCCTGTTTTTATAGTCAAGTTCTAGCATTGCCCAAACACATTAGTTGTCTAAGCGCAGAGACTTACATGAGGTATATGATTGTGGAAAAGCAATCTTGGGTTGCGAAGAACAGCGTGGGCTAGATGGTTCTTCTTGAGGAGGGCGTCCAGGGTTTGGGCTGGCTCGTCCTGCTGCTTATCCAAGCGATATACTGGTGCTGGGTAGAAGTCGTTTGAGGAGCTCATTGTTATACAATAAATGTTTGGAGAATAAAGAGTTTGAAAGATAGTTAATTGCAAATGTATATCGTTTACGACATGCAATGTGATATTTATGTATGTCCTCGCAAAACAAGGTACTTACTGCTTTGAGGTACGCAACGGCGGCCCTCGCCACGATGATGTGGAGAGTCAGGTCCCGGAAAGTCCTCCGTGCAGAGGGGCCTCCTTTGCTCATGCCATTGCACACTGTAGACTTCCCAGGTCATCATGCTATGAGCACAGACCTAGAAGCTCAAAGAACACGCCAACACGGCATGGCCCAGACTCCCCCGCAAAATCCCCACGATGCATCGGTCACTTACCCCGCTATTACGAACAACGGCATCTGTTTATTCTCCGTCCAAAGACGGACTTTTAGGGAGCGGTCCGAGAGTGGGCCCTAATGAGAGGATGAAATATCGAAGACTAATGACACATTTTCCGGGGCAACAACTTCAGCGTTGTATTGCACAGTTAGCCCAATGCTTTTAGCTTTAGACTTTGAGAACTATATGGCCCCGATCGAGACGATACATACAGATAGGTTTAAATAGATCCGTTACCTTATTAGGTCATTCTGACTGCCCCCAAAAAGTTATGCAGCCTTGACCAATGTATCCTCGTCGCGCGAAGCCATATAACGCTAGGCTTTCAGGCCGAAGACGGTAATAGCTGAATTTAACCGCTGAAATCAACTGAAATGTCTGCATGTACGGTCAACAGATACCTTTGAATCCTGCAATGTTCTTTTGTCAGCCCCGGAACGATTTCAACTGATCCGTACGTATCATATCGATGGGGGCGTATAGATCACCCCGCAGTTCTCGATATGGAATAGGCTCAAAGCAGGAGCCGAGATCTACTCGACGTAGACTAGATTGGTTGGGACACTTTCCTCTATTTCTCTAACCATACGTGTTGTTTGTGATTGCATTTGGTCACAGAATCTTGCTCGACACCTTACAGCAAAAGATATCACGAGCAACTAATCATACGGCATCTGATATTCATTTCATTCCTATTCTAGGCCAATAATTCCATTTCACACGACCGAAAGCGATGTATTCACCACCCGGAACCCAAACCCAAGAACGCGACAAGAGTCCCCCACAACAGGATATCCCTCCGTCAAAGATCGTTAAAGACGCTGCGAAACGCACAGAAAATAGTATTGTCCGCCTCGCAAGCGGCAGAAAGTCGATCTGGCGTGCGAGGAATGCCGATCCAGAAAAGTGCGATGTGATGGACTGCGGCCCGAGTGCAATGTTTGCAAGCGGAGGCAGAAGCTTTGCATCTACTTGCCTGAAGCCTCAAGGCTCACTGGGAGTAGACGGTAAGAGCAACCTATGTCCTATATGCGCCTCCAAAGGAGAGTAGTTGTCTTAATGGATTGCACTAGGGTTCTACACTCTCTCCACGATCGTTTGGCCAACCTCGAGGCCAAAGCAAATGGCGAAGCAAAGCCCGAATCATCGACAGAAAATATCACAGTTAGTACAGGCTTCGTCGAAAGTTTGCCGTTGGGACAATCTCCTCCGGCATTCAACGTTGGCCCTTTCCCTTCTCCATCTCAGCAATGCACCACGGACTCGATACTCGTACCAGAACGGATCCTCCCACATCCCTCAACTAGTTTATCCACCACGTACGCGAGCGAAGATACCAGTCCAAAGATTAGTAGCCTACCGTCGGGCCAGGACCTTGGTGATATAAGTGCCATGGGCATGGCTCTCCCAAAAACAGAGGCGTCGACTCATATTCCCAGGGAGTTCTATGGGGAGCCGTCAGCAGCCTCACTGCTTTACGATATGTTGCATCGTGATCGACGACCATCCGCGCCAGGAGATTCCAAGCAAGACTCTGCTCTTCATCCGTCCTCACCATCAACACGGCGCAGCTTCTCGCTTTCTTGTTCCTCAAATACAGATGAGTATCATCTCCCACCACGTCATGTGGCTGACAATCTCCTGTGCATATATCGAGAGAGGGTGCAGACCATCTACCCATTTTTGCATTGGCAGACTCTGATGGAGGCATATAACCGTCTTTGGCTCAGTGATTCTGAGATCAAGAACATGCCTCGCCTCACAGGAGTTGGACTTGGTGGTTCGCAATGTCCAGTTCCTGTATTCTACTGCGCACTCAATGCAATCTTTGCCCTCGCCACTCAGTTCACTGACGGCTCAGCCCACGACCGCAAGGAGAGGACCGCTCCTTTTCTTCGGCGCTCCAAGCATCTTATGCATCTTGATTTCTTGGATAATGCTAACATTTCCTTGATTCAAGCACTGTTGATATTCGCAAGGTATCTTCAGAGCACAAATCTCCCTAGCCGTTGCTGGAATGTGGCCGGTATGGCGTATCGCATGGCTCAGAGCTTGGGCCTGCATTTAGCAATGAACGAGACAGGTACTTCTGAGTTGGAACGAGAGGTCAGGCGGCGCGTGTGGCACAGCTGCGTATCTCTAGACACGTATGAGAATCCTTCGTCCTGTATCCTGTTACCTATTTTGCTGACTAGCCTCTTATTTGCAGTGTCTTGGGTATGCTAACCGGTCGACCGATCTCATACTCAATGGCATCGACGGTTCCCCTCCCCTCAATATCAGACGAGAAGTTCTCTACACAGAATCTTGCTAGCTGTGACGGTAATAAGAACGACGTTCCGGCAGCAACCTTCTTCGCAGAATCCATCAAACTCAGCCATATTCTCCGTCAGATTCTCGGTCATATATATGACCCCTGGAAAAAGCCTGAAGTCGAGAAGGGAATTGGCTTCGATGAGCGTAAACGCTATAGGAAGCATGTTTCTAGTACTATGGCGTTTGACGATGAGCTAAGCCGCTTCGAGGCTGAATTGCCAGAAGTGCTTCGTTTGCCAAACGATGCAACAAAGACTCATATCGGGAGCATACTTGCGCAGCAAAGACACGTTTTGCGATCTAGGTAAGAAGCCGAAGCGAGATTTTTCTGCACCCTTGCCTCCACTCTCGACTCTGATTAATTGCCTTATGAGCTGATAGATTCCTGCACATACGGTTACTATTATATCGTTCTTTCCTGGTTGAATTCTGTCAGCGAGCTGATCCCCAAACAAATGTCAGCTGGGCAGGTGAGCCCGGAACGTTCTCGTCTCAGCCATACAACGCATTCATCGAGAAGTGCTGTACTGTCTGTATTGAAACTGCGCAGACTCTCATAGACCATTTCAGTCAGACCACAACTCACCCCGGATCACCGTGGTATAGCTGTTACTGTACGCCAGAAACCCAAGAACAAACTGTATTTTCCCGCTAAATCTCTACAGATGTTTACCATGCTGCGATAATTGTGGTCGCGGCAGATAATCATTCTTCGCAGCTGAACCACCTGAACCACAAAAACCTTCAAGAATCATGGCGGGCTTGTGAGAGTTTCTTTTGCCGAATGTCCCGGCATAACCCGGACATGTATCGCTACTTTCACTTGCTGGAACGCCTTTCAGGTTTCAAGGAACCTCCTCACGTCACCAGTTCTCTCACCCCAAGCTCTTCAGCGTCGTCAAGTGACTCTAGCATCCCCAAGACGTCAGATAGGACAGGCAACCTGGGGCGGCTAGAGTCCCAGACAATTGAAGAGATGATTGAGCACCATATGACAGATTCATACCCAGAGCCAGATATGTCTCTTGGGTCAGGAAACGATTGGTGCTCTCCGTTTAACCAGTCTAGCAACGCGGGGCTTGGAACATTACTGTGCGACGACCAGCTTTGGACTCTTACCGAGTTCTGCATAATGGATGCTGGAAGCATATCCATATAAAAGAGTGATTCTATCTCATCACTCGTCCTGTATTTATCATCCCCGCACTATTAACTCATGTGCTCAAGTCATGAATAGGAGTAGTTGTGTAGGAGAAACCGGATTAAATTGACTTTACTTATCTTTAGCCCAGCACTTTCGAAATCTCTTCTCGTCCTCAGAAGACCGTATGACTAAGGTACGAGGGGATTGGGGTGTCTGTAGCTGTTCCAAGAAGGTCACGCTGCTGCCTGGAATAGCTGCGATATGGATATTCGGACAAGTCATTATCGGGCGGTTCAGAGAGACATTCCAGATCTCTATGTGTCACTGTTAAAAAGTAATTTGGGTCTGAAGCGTCCAACACAATGTATATATATATGCAGAATAAACCATGCGATTTGGTCGTAAGCTAAGCCCACTCGATAGTGAAATTGTCCTCATACGTGCCTATGTCGATTCGAATTGGAATTCTCTTCCAAAGAATTCGGAATATACGATTCTGCTTCCATGGTTTCCCGTCACTTGGAGGCCTTTTGCCGATGGACCAAGTGCGCCGAGCTATACGGTATCGATACTCTATCTGGTCACTCTAGTCCCGTAGTCTGGCCCAGATGGGTCGGAATAGAAAACATTACCCTGGTTTTTAATCTACTGGAGACTTTCATATTGCCGCACTTTGCGATTTATCCTTCACCTCGGAACTTAAATCACTTTTCAAGCTAGTGAGTCGGAGAAACTATAGAGCTAAAGCCATGTTGATAAGAACACGGATCGGACATTGTCAAATTGTCCGTGTCCCGCTTTCAGGCCCCTGACGGGAAATTGTTCTACCCCATCCACAGAATTGATCAGAGATCACGGATGAAGTCCCGATACCAGATCCCGCTCCTCGGGTACCCTTCCGGACGAGAACCCGTATCACGGTCCTGCGGAGTCTCGCCTCACGGAACTTGACCAGCCCTGGGGCCTCATAATTACAGGATTCTACCTGCACTCTGCCCTGGAACTACCATTTTATGCCTTGTACCAACAATAACAGGGGAAAAGCAAAAACGATCAAAGATGGCAACAACAGACTTGGGAGAGCTCAACAAGCAGAATGACTGTGGCCCGCGAATTGAGCGCTCCTTGACGCTCCACTTCACAGGAGACTGGGGCATGGCCAACTTTCATCGTATCTGCTCCTGGCTATCACAGCAATTTTGTGATCGTGCAGGACCTAAAAGCCAAGTTTCAGTGTGGAACTTGCGTGATGGAGGGATGGAAGCTATCACGGATGTCTTTTCTGGACGCGTACATCTCTGTATTGCAACACCTGTCCAACTCATGACGACGGCTCTTACAGGTCAGGGCATCTTTCAACCTCATGGACCTATGCCGTCGCTTCGGTCGCTTGGAGTGCTTCCTCAAAACGACCGTATGGTCTTTGCAATAAGCCCCAAGTATAATATTCATTCTTTTTCTGAACTGCGCGAAAAGAAACCAGCGTTGCGGATAGCTACATCAACTAATGATGGCACCAACTTCATTGGCTATATTGCATCGGAGATGATGAAAGCTCATCTAATCGATGAGGCCGAACTCAACTCTTGGGGGGGTCAGTATATCACAGCGACACGCCCAGAGCAAGCCATGGCGCTTGTGATGAGTGGGGAAGCCGACGCCCTGCTCCAGGAAGCTATCATGACGCCCTGGTGGGAGAGCGTGATTGAGAAGAACAAGTTCGTTCCTCTGCCTGCAGAGACCAGCGCATTGGCTCGATTCCATGAGAACAACCCCGGGTCAACACGGCCTAATACAGATCCATTGCCTGCTGGATTCTGGCCGTCTTTGACTGAGCCATTGCCTTGTCTCGACTTTTCCGACTTCGTCGTATTGGTTCGCGACGACCTCCCAGAAGATATTGCACATTTGTTGACCTGGTGCTTGGTCGAGACTCGGGCTGGTATCGAGAGTCAATACCACCATTTGCCGCCAGAGAAGAGCCCTTTGACATATCCACTTGTCCCTCGTAATATTGCGCAGTCGCCTGTACCTCTACATCGAGGTGCTCAGAGATATTATCGAGAGGCTGGAATTCTTTAATCAATACTAGCTGCAGTATATGTTATCAGCAGCTTAGCTCAGTTGGATAGTGGTCTAAATGCACATCTTTGTCCCGGTTTCTTCTTGGTGAATGGCTTATAGCCTAATGTGCAAGTTACTTTACCACTTTTGTCCCTTTACACATCTTCACTCCGGTAAGACCCAACGTACAACTAGTGTAAGTCTCTTGATTTGTCTTGATTCGGAATATCGTATTGCTAATTTCAGATCGTCATACGAAACTTGAATAAGTTTCCTTCAAGGATCTCCTTCTTCTTGTTCTCTAGCTCTTCCATATCCCAGTTGACTGTAATAAATCGACCCGACAGCCAATCGTGTCGCTCCTGAGATAGCCAAACCAATGTATCAGCAGCCAGCTCCACCGTGTCATTCAGGTGAGAATGCATCGTTTGGGGCATGTTCAAAGCTAGCTCAGTCTTAATCCCGCCCGGGTGAATCGATATGGCGATTAATCCTTGCTCGTAATATTCCTTGTCGATGAATTCAGTAAAGCGACAGAGAGCGAACTTGCTCGTCTGGTATGCTGATGCTCCGGGGACGATGATCTGAGCACCGACGCTGCTGGTATTGATGATGGTTTTGGTCGCTGACTTGAGAAGCATTGGGATGAAATAACGGGCGGAGAGATAAGTGCCCTTCATGGTGACCTCCCAAGTCCACCACCACTCCGATGGATCAGACTCGGCCACTGGCTTCCACTCCTCAAGACAGCCCGCGTTGTTGATCAAGATGTCTAGGCTGCCATCGAGTATTTCCTCGGCGGTCTCTGCGGCTGCCTTCACCGATTCTTCTGACGTGATATCCAGTTTGACGGAACGAACGAGAGGTTGGGGCCGATTGGCCTTCTTGGCAGCATCTATGACGGAGGCTTCAACCTTGGCCATGTCAGAACGGGCGGCGAGGATGATCTTCGAACAGCCTGCCACGGCGAAACGAATTGCGGTCGCCTTTCCAATTCCTTTGGAGGCGCCCGTGATCAAGACTGATTTTCCTAACAGGTCGGCGTTGGATGGATCAATGAACGGATAAGTGTCGTTATGCGTAGAGACGTATTTGGCCAGAGTGGGCCAGTTGGTCTCACGCAGAGAAGAATCCTGAGCCGACATGATGAGTTTTGAGGACCGCGACTGAACCGAATATGGTGCCTGATTTCTTGATTGCTGTATTCGTTCAATTTATATCCCTGTGATCCTAACGCTTGGCCGCTATGGGTTAATAACTCATACGTAGTAGTGATGCCGAGAAGACGGAGTTAGGATCGGGAATCGGCAGAGCATCGGAAATAGCGGGAATGATATTTTGTTTATACCCGCTAAACCGTATCCACTGACTGGATCGTCCATGTCAAACTCGACTCTCCACACCGAATAGACCAACTGTATTTTCTTCACCTTGCTTCTAGGGAGGTCAAGCTAGGAGACTTCAGCCGCGGGATAAGCGCACAAGATCCGTATAGGACCCATCTGAATCCTGGGGCGTCTGGGGTCTTTTCGAGGAATGCATCTCTACATCCACCTGGACATGAATCTTTTGGCCAAGTGAACCTTCATTATCGTCAAGCCGCTCCCAATTGTTGCTTCTCTCTCCGGATGCTACTGATTGAGTTGTTATAGTAGCTCGGTTGGTCCCAGAAAACGGTGTAGCACACGTTGTAGAAGAGCCTGTAGTGGAATCAAAACGGAAATGAGAGCTGAACAACTTCCTTATGGCGTGTAAGGAGCCAGCAATAGTTCCGACACTGGTTTCCACCATCGACCAGAGATAGATATAGGCGAGATTATCTGGACACATCAGAGTCTGGTAGAATATGGAAGTCATGAGACTACTAACAAAAGAAGTTCTCAGGTGTCGTAAGACCCTTATAATAGGGTATTCGAATAATAGTAAAGATAGATGCACTGGAAGCGAATTAGTACTTAACCCCTAAATCGCACAGAAGGAAAGAGGCTTACAAGACTGCTAGCCCAAGAATAATACTAACAGAAATCTTAGTTGCTTTCTGCATATTAGACTTATACAGCATAAAAAAGGGCAGGACCGAACAAATCCAATCCGAGACAATTGCACTGATAGCCAGAACATAGCCTGTACTTGTTCTTAAGGGCGGTGAACATGCATTGTAGTTCTCCCAATTATCACTTATGGGGAGACATACAGCAAACATCCCAACAACGGCAAAGAAAAGAGTGCCGATAATGAAGACAATTGTGCCCCAAATGATCATGCGGTGTAATCTCTTTACAGCAATTCGCAAAAAGGTAATGCAGATAGAGCACTTAAGACATATTAACGAAAAGATATAAATCAATTCTCCAATCCATGTATACTAGATGTTATCAATTAGCAGCTGCCTTGATACTAAGTTTTTAACTTAAGGAACTCAATACCTTGAGAATGGATCTCTGTTGGTAGCTATTTAAGGTGGCATCTTTTCTTCCTAAGCCAGCATAAATAGCTCGGATGCTGACAGCTACATGAGCAACGTGGAGTAGCCAAGTAATGTTAATATCTCGTATATCATGCTGATTGCACGGAAACTTACCCAGCCTGCAAGCATAAGACTGTCATCTACACCAAAGATTGCGTGTTTCAAACGAACAAAACAACGTAGGATAATGACTATTGCTGTGAGAAAAAGGAACACAATTGACAGCACCATCATGATGCGCCCTAGACCTAAAGGCCTCACGCACGTTGCGCTTACGTCAAGCATTATGTTGGGTGGCCGATCAATTGGCGATGCGCTGATAATGCAGAGTTGTGAAGCAAAATGGTTTCAATTGAATTGAGACGTGCTGCCTTTTTAAAGGGATCAATTGCAGTATGTATCATCAAGCCTAAGCTATTCCCGGCGTTGTGGCACATCTACTAAGTGTATAGAAAGAGTCTAGTAAACCTTATCAATCGAGGATCTCATCAATTCTGAGTTGGTGGCTTACTGAGGAACCTTAGTTCTCTACGAGAATGCTATGCATTCCTGCACTTCCCGTATTTGATCATCTATTGTAAGAGATCAGCAGTCGAGTTCAAGGCCATCGAACCGACGAGACCGCCAACAAGTAGCCACTACAAAACGTCCAAGATAATAGATACGTACGTGAGAGAGTGGGCGAAGCTAATTGGTCACGACATAGGATTCTACAGCTTGATGGAGAGTGACAGAGATCAGGAAGCTAAAGTCCACAATATCTCTTGGTGGAGACAACTTTCATGTCTATAGAAATGTTATAAAAGGCCATAGTTTCTATTGTAACTAGAGTGCGTTATCGGTCAATTTCTAGAGATTCTACTATGAGTCCGAACAGTCAGTTAGGAGTGACTGCATTTACATTATCTTATACTGCATAATAAAATAATATAACTTACTATTTTGAAGTAATTAATATCTAGAGCAATTTGTTCCTTCAATTATTAGGAAATTATAGAGGACTTTTGTAAGACGTTGAAAACGTAACGCCTAAAAGTATCCCGGTTTTAATCAGGCATGTAAGCCTCCCTGATGAAGAGAATGCCTTGCCGTCACTTGGTGGTGTCACATTTCCATTATTATTCGTCGGATGCGCCAGCCTAGTTTCAAGAATAATTGCCCCGAGCCTGATTGCCAAGCCTTTATAACTGCTGGTTGGACTTGCTGAGCATATGTTACGGCATATCATGCAGTCATCAGCGGGGGCGAAATGTCAGCAGGCATATCAGAGCTGAGCACAGCTTGCCATTTATTTGTGTATTTAGCACTTGAAAACCTCCTTACATACTGGACGTAAGACCGCCACTTGTCCTCTTGGTTTCCAAAGCATCTTTCTTAGCACGATCTTAATTCCAAACCGTCAAATGTCTCGCTATGAAGCAGTTCGCAATAGCGATGGCGTTTCACCTCCTGAAACACCGCTATCTGAACCAGACAACCCTGTCTCCATCATTGACACCGAGACTTTACACGAAGCAATGGAAACTGCCAATAGTTCGGTGGGACCCAAGTCCTTTGTCAATACTGATATGGACCTGGACTCTTCTATATCTCGGATTGATACAAAGTCTCGTTCGCCAGGTCAACGATGGTGGAGAAGACTGGGGTATATGGGGCTCAGTGTTCTGATTGCCGGTACAGCGTGTATCCTGATATCATGTTCTTTTCTTATCTATCTTTGGTCTGGGGCCAGCAGGGCGCGGCATCGCCAGCAACGACCCCAGCTATGGAACGGCATTATCTTCAGAGAGTGGTCAATTTCTATGGTGACTATCTGCTCAGCTACCCTTCGCGTTGCATTGAGCTTCCAAACAGGTGTCATGGCGGCCGCGATCGCCGCCATAATACTTGAGACTTGTGGGGTCAGATTTTGCGATATTGCTCTGTTTTCACTACACAGAAGCTCAAGCTCGGGTCCTTCAGCAATTCTTCCCAGTGTCATGAAACAGTGTCGCGCCAACAGGCTGTCTAGTATTGCCTGTTGCTTAGTTCTTTTTATGACATTTGTCATTGCCTTGGCCTCAACTTTCACATCTACAATTCTTCTTTCTGACTTCGCAATCTATAAGATTTCTGGATTGAACGCGACCAGAAATATTCCTATGGCGTTCAACAATACAGCGCAAAGTCGGGACTTCAAAGGCATTTCATTCTGGCATTCGCTTCCATTGGCTCACTGGAGATTTGCCAGAGCAGAACGTGGAAAATCCATATCCTCCGACGATGTCATCGATACAGGTGACCTCTATCGAGCGACGATACCGTTTTATGAGGCAGATGATAGAGCATCGCTGGAGTTCTATCGTGGACCGGCCATGGTCACAAACTCACGAACTGCCTGTGTCGGGCCAACCTTTCAATCCTTCAAAATCGACTACTATCCCGTCAGCGATCTTTCATCTCCGGAGCTCATACTCCGAGCGGAATTCCAGGCCTACATTGACAAATTATTCGACATGAGAGAGGAAAAGTATCTTCCCATGACAGCTGAGTGTAAACTCATAAACGATTGGGACGGCGGATCTTCGGAGTGGCCATTGACCATGTGTAGAATCATTCCCCAGGTTTCCCCGTATCAGAAGATTTACGATTTCTACCCGAGACTTCTTGTCACCTCGAAGGGTCCTTTGAACATACCTCTACAGATGAGACGTGAGGGTCGTTCTCCTTTCGATGAGGAGCAGTCATATGAAGAATATCTGAAGGAATATCTTGCCCCATTCGCAAAACTGAAAGCAAAGAAAAACGGCCCCTGGACAAAGGTAGTCAACGACGACGGTTATGAGGTCTTGGAGGCAACGGTCTGTTTTACCCGGCAAATACCTGAGATAATGTATAACGTGACTATTATGGGACAGGCCGTATCTACGGAATCCGGCTATGGAGAAAGTGCTGACAAGGTTTTGCCGGGTCGCTTGCAACAGACAGACGGTAGCTATGGTCCGTATCGCTCGAGCGATGTTGGGGATCTGCATTTATATGACTATCGGAACCTGACGAAGTACGCGGCTGAGGAGCACGAACATGGTGTTCGGTACGATCCATATGGCTTTGCAGATGTGCTCGATAGCATCGAGCTAAGTGGTTGGACCCTCAGATTGTCAGGCGTTGGTGATCATACCCCGCGGTTACCAAGGACCTGGTTCATTCACCCTGATCATACAAATTTCTTCCAAGAGGTATTGAAAAGAACGAACAATCCAGCATTAGCTCTCTCGGAGTTAACCTACCGAATCTATCAAATGTACTTCTACTATTGGCAGCCGAACTACGATATCATCGAGCAAGCCAATACAGTCAACGCGGTAGCAGTGCAACTTCCTCGCCGATGGACAGGGCTTATTATTGTCTTACTGATAATATTTGTTCATTTCATCACACTCACAATTACCGTTATTTCATTCGCTCTGCATACAGAATCTTCGATGTTGGGGGAGCCATGGCAGGCCGTGTCGCAAGTTCTATCGCCTGAAACGGAGGGGCTGATACCGGAGGGCGCCAAAGGAGCTAGCATGGCAGACAGACACGTCAAAGAGTGGGCGAAGTCGACAGGTCGCAACGTAGGATTTTATAGCGTGATTCAGCATCGCGAAGACCAGGAAGCTAAGATCCAGAAACGTCAAACTTGCGGAAAGTAAGAATGGTTAGTTAGGTTTCATATAAGTATATTTTCATTACCTCCCTGCTACTGAAAGTAACTATTTTTATTACTCGCAATTTACACTCCCGTAACTTTTATGAAGTCGTTGAGATGTGAGCTATGACAGCATGTGGCGGTTGCCGGTCCATAAACGGTAAGCCGGGAACCTCGGCCGATGGGACAACAGCGGGGTAGATACTTCGTGCCTACCCTACCAATGATCTGATCTACCCAAAGAAATGTCGAAAAAATATTACAATATCTCTTGGAATCATAATTAAGCTTACAGATACTATTTTATACGCAATTCAGCCCTTACAGGCCACTTACAGCCACCATGAGGTCCGTCGTCTTCAAAGGGGTCAAGCAGGTTGCCCTTGAAGATCGGCCAAAACCCACCATTCAAGACACGACCGACATCATCGTCAAAGTGAAATACACGGCTTTGTGTGGAAGGTTTGATTGAAATTGCGAAATATTGCTATTTATCAACTACTTATTACTTCATAGCGAGCTCCATGTCTTTCGCGGGCATCAACCTTCCGGAACCGGCTTCATCATGGGCCACGAGTTCACTGGCGTTGTCGATGAAGTCGGCTCCGCTATAACCAAGCTCCAGCCAGGCGATGCGATTGTCAGCCCTTTCACCGTGAGCTGCGGAGAGTGCTTCTTCTGCAAACACGGATTCTCGTCACGATGCGACAAGAGTCTTCTCTTTGGTACCGTTCCTCTTGATGGGGCGCAAGCGGAATATGTGAGGATTCCGTATGCTGAAAGCACTGTCGTAAAGGCTCCCGAGGAGATTGACGACTTGAAACTATGCCTGATGGCGGATATCTTCCCAACTGGCTGCTATGCTGCATCTAATGGTCTGAAGGATCTGAGTAAAGAGCAGGTCGAGGACAGTATCGTCGTTTTGATCGGATGCGGACCAGTGGGTATCTGTGCCCTTATCGCCGCGCTGGAGTACAAGCCCAAGGCCATTCTCGCAGTCGACGGTATCGAGTCCAGACTTTCACTTGCCAAGAGCCTTGGAGCCGAACCGTGGAATTACCTCACGCAGAAGGATGAGCTGGAAAAGCGAGTTAAGGAATTGAGTGATGGCCGTGGCGCTGATGTGATCATTGAGGTAGTTGGACATAGCTCGGCTCTGGATATGGGCTTCAAGCTCCTTCGACCATGGGGTATCATCTCTAGTGTTGGTGTACACAATGGAGAGATTCCGTGGACAGGAAATCAGGCTTACGGGAAGAACCTCACTATCAAGATGGGCAGATGTCCTGTTCGGAGTAAGTTTACGTCGCGAGGAGTGAAAGCCGCTGTCTAATGGTTATCCTCAGGCATCTTCGAAGACTCATTGAAGCTGCTTGCTAAGAAGCAGCATCTCTTGGAGTAAGTCGCCATACCGCTAGATTTAACCGCGCTAACATACCGCAGCTTCATGACCGCGACGGTAATGCCGCTCAGCAATGCTCTTGAGGGCTACGAGCTGTTCGACTCGATGAAGGTTCAAAAGGTCATATTCGATGCAGAGAAATAATGGATTGTTCTTGTATTAAATATTGCTACCAATCGCAGTTTTACATGGATGAGTAGGTGTAGCAGAGAGGGCCAGCACGAGTATCCATATAGTCCTTCACAACAGGCTCAGTATCAGCTAGACGCATAACAGGCATCTTGTCGTTGATATCGGCAGTGTTCCACTTGTTGGGGTCGTTGAAGCCGGTGTAGTCAGCCAGACGAGTGGCATTGCGACCTTGCCACTGGAGCAATGTTAGTAACCATGAAGATTAAAGGCGCTTGGAGAGTTTTCTTACCTTGGCCCAGACTCGATCAACGTTGGCGTGGTGAAGGAAGAAGAGAGGCTCGTTCGGAGATGTAGCGGGACCCATATCACCGAAGATGATGCTGTGAACTAATGGCAAGTTAGCATGTATTGATCGAAGGTGCATGGAGATGACATACTCTGGGCATGGGGCAAACCCTCAAGCATATCAGACATGGAGTGATAGTTGTCAAAGCTGTAGATGGTATCCATAACCCGAGAGTTGTACGCAGTAGCTTGCATATCACCCAGGATCTGATTTCCATCCTCATCCTTGCCAAGACCACCGTTGAACTCGCGAGTAAAGCAATGAAGACGGTTGCCTGGGGTGTTCATGTCAGGCCATCCCATAGCCAGTGTAAGATTCGTGTTGGCAAAAGGGCCATCGACGACACAGCGCTTGAAGCCAGGAACATCACTGCCAGTGAGTTTTGCATCCCCACCAAAGCCAGTCTTGGGATCAAAGAGGGGAGAGTTGACAACGTCGTTCTTGTCGGCGTCAATCGTCCAGTCCCAGTATGGCTGAACGCCCTTGTAATCACACTCATCGCGAAGCATATCCTCATGAAGCTGGACATACCAACGATGCCAGGGGAGGAAGTTTGCGACAAAGTGGATCTCCGTGTTGAGGCTGAAATGGGTGTACACAAGATCGTCCATGCGCGTTGTGACATCGTCTATGGCTTCGTATGCCTTCTTGGGGAGGTTGCGAAGACAGACTGCAGCGCGGAGATATTCCGTCTTTTCAGCGCTAGTGAGTTCGCGCCATTCTTTACGAACGACGGGGTCGGAGCATGAGCCCTGGGCGCGGGCTACGGGGCTGGCGATGGATAGGGCTGCGAGGGCCAGGCTGGCGAGGAATGAGTGGGCGAGCATTTTGTTTGAAGCGAATGTGTTGAACGAATGACTGATTGGGGTAACGAAGGATGAGCTTGCCTGGTTGATTGAACTTCCAGAAGGGCCGACCAAGAACTTAAATAACAAGAGGATACGAGGCTTGTCCCCTGTACCGGTATACCATGGGTAATTCTCCTTTACGGAGCTACCGTCTAGCGGCATCTCATACTGCCGGCATACGGGAGAGGCTTTCCACTAAGAAAAAGCACAGCCGGGAGTGTGGAGTAAAACGGTTGCAGAAATTACCTAAAAGAGTTAAAATAGGTAAATACGAACTCTAACGTGTTCGGTCATCTCCTCCTTCTAGAAGCCAAGAGCGATTCAGTCGTCGCTAAGAATTAAAATTCCGGGGCTTTGGGCGGTTTTTCCACCAAATGCATCACGCTGAAACACTTAGCGGGGCCTTAAACCCTTGTTAAAATCTTTTAATAGCGGTTGAGATCTAGGACAGGGGTTAGAGGGTGGGATACCACACTGGATTAGGACTAGCCAGGGTACACAGACCATAGGGTAACTTCATGCAATTGTTGTTGCCAAGACATTAAAGGGTGAGTTCATCTGAAATCCCGTATAGAATTGTCAATCGGATCTAGGGAGATTAAAGGGGATTCTTGACGAGATGTCACTGGTAGGTGCTTATTCACAATTGCCCTTACAATGAGGCTGAATATTGATATGGCCACTAATCAGTTGTTGGCCAATAGATTTTGATCAGGCTGCATGAGGGGCCTTTTCTGCTCTCAGCCTGACCATCTTATTAGCAAAACTTTCAACGTGTTCAAACTCACTAATCAACTACTCCTCCAAAATTAAAGCATTGTCCCACACATCATGAAGTCCTGGTTTCTCGCCCCTGACTTCACCTTCACTCCCGATGGACCCCTCCAGCTTGGCGCTGTCATCCCTCATCCCAGTCGTCCGACACAGACCCTTGCATCACCCCGCACCGACGCAATCACGCTTCCCGAAGTGCAAACTCTGATCGAGACGAACCATTCTCACTCGAATGATGTCACACGAACAGCTGGTGTCAATCTCTTTGCCAAATTTGTAGAGCTTGCTTCTGCTTCTATTGGCTATGAGACCAGCCGTCGCAATGCGCTGGCGTATGGAACCGTTGACCATGAGATCCGGTCTTTAGCGGCGCCTTTTACGAGGGAGTTTCTGCAGAGTATTATCAGCACGGAGGCTGTTCAGGAGCATATACACTCTGCCGTGTTTGGAAAGCGGACGGTTTACTTCATATCTGGACTCAGAGTTGCCACTTCGTCATTTACGGTGACGAAGGAGAAGGGCATTGGACATAATACCTCACTGTCGGGTTCGGGCCCAGCAGGTCCCGTGCCTATCGAAGTCGGTGCCGGTATTTCAGGTGGAAAAGAGAGTTCCAAGACCGACTCCTACGAAACTGCCCCCGGTATTATTTTCGCTTACCGTCTTCATGCCATCCGAGTTCGTGGCAGCGGCACTGTCGACTCCGAAATGTTCGTGAACGAAAAGGCCTTCATGCATGGCAGACCCGTCCCTGATCCTGAGCCTTTTGAGGTTACTGACGTTGATGCTGAAGTATTGAAGGCTGATAGGAAGGAGGAGGAGGATCTGCCGAAGTATGAGATGGAAGACCTTGGAGATGAGGAGTACTGTTTCTTGGCGGAGGCATAGTTTTGCGCTTCTCCCTTTATATCACGAGTCTAAAATAGTAGATAAATACTGATGCTATGCTTTTTGATGTTATCGGTACATAAATGGTGATACTGCATCATACATAGCAGCCCATGCCCTCCATGCATCCGCCTTCTCACTCCAGAACCATATCGGGTTTATAAATCTATTATTCCCCGTCTGATCTGGTGCCATCTTTTCCAACAATCTTCTCATACCCTCAGTTCTCCTCAGAGACTTTACTGGGCTTTGTTCTGTCGGTATGGGAAGAACTGTCGAGAGAACTTCTGCGTATGCTATCGTCGATGCTGCTATACCAGCAGCAACCGCCGTCGCTATCGATGATCCAGGATGGCAGATGTGAGGGCCAAACTGTTTCGTGATCTCATTGTTGAGACGTGTTGGTAAGTTATCCCCGAACGTGCCGAGAGCTATACTATTTCGGTCAATTATAGGTGGGTTGCTTGCGTTGAAAGTACCCTGGCAATCTGTTGCCCTTATTGAGATGACGGATCGATGTCTCGCGGGAAAAGCTTCTCTTTGATAAGCCGCATTGTTTCCTGCGCTGGCTAAGAATGTGATGTCACGGTTCCGCTCAACGTCTTCTATGGCTGCAGAGATGACATCGTCGTCACGCGGGAAGCCGAAAGACATGGAGATGATATCTACTTCTGCTTCAAGCCCGGCCCAGCGAATTGCCTACCATCGGGTCAGCGTCATGGCTGCCAGTCAATGCCGTATTGTGCTCACCTGTGCTATTTGGTCACTGCTGAACTCGAGGTCCCTAGTATTCTTGGCAACTCGGGCCACATAAACATGAGCTAGCGGAGCTGCTTCCATGATCAGTCGAGTCATCAGGCTGCCATGGCCATATTGATCTTCCATACAGTCTGCACCTGTACCTTCGCCCCCATTACTTGCAAAGTCCTTCCACGCTCTTATGGACTTCTTCCTCCTTGGTATCTTGCAAAAAGGCAAGTCTGCATCACACCCTGTGTCTAAAACCGCTACCTTGACAGGCTTGAACTCGTGGTCCGGCTTTGCCTCACGTATATTCATGATATGCATACTGATATGTTTCAGATTGTCCAGCCATTCCTCTGGAACGATTGTCTTTCCAGTATGGAATGAGGCTACTTGCGAGTGAAACTTATTGTGGGTTTCGACCTCCTTGCATTTCGCCAAGTAGGACACGTATTTTGCGTCAGCTTTGAAGGCGATGTTGACGAGTTTTGACAGCGGTTCGACAATCTCAGCATAGACTTTCCGCCTTACGCCATCTTCGCCAGTGGTGATGGCAAGCTCGTCTTTAGTAGAATTCTTGGTTATTTTCGGTTTCGGGGTAGAAGCGGTAAATGTTCTGGGATCTAGGCAGTTCGCAGCGGCTCTGGCAAAGATATCCCGATGTGTTGAACGCGCCCATTGTGCCTTTTCCAGCTCACCCAATAATTGCCTCGCGGCACCATGGTCTCTGTTCAGTCGAGAGATAAGCGGTAGGTGTGTCATAGGCTTGAAAGGCTTTGAGAGTCCAATTTGCAGGAGAACAAGTCCCAGGCTAAGAATTTGCGGGAAGGGGTGCGTCAGCATTGCCCTTTCTTCATTCTCCAAGTTGATTTGTTGATATTCAAAGTCAAGTGGCATATACACCCGCAGTGCAAGTTGATCTTTCGGCGAATGCTGGTGATCCATCTCATGCATGAACCAGATATCATCGCTCGTCCAGCGGTGTTTCATCAAGTCCGATTCGTAGAACTGCCAGAAAGAATGCGCAATAGCATGAGCGAGTAGGATCTTGTCCTTGTCCGTGAGCTTGTAGCTTTGGATGGCCAGAGACAGTGGAAGACCTTCGCCCGGGCATAAGAATCTCTCAAGAGGAGCAGGTGGTGGAAGGGATACGAGACCAATGCCCTTGACAAAGTTGAGATTGAGTTTGGCAAACAGTTGATGTTTTAACACTTGGCAGAAGTAGTCCGAGTTGATTCGTTTCAGAGCAGAGATTTGGCCATCTCCATCCTCGTCACTGGAAACGTTTGTAAACTTGACACCACCTCTGCGACCTTTCGTTTGCCTTGATCTTGTTAGCAAGGTAGGATGTACATTACATTACATGTAGGATAGTACTTACATAGGAATACCTAGCCACAAATGTTGCCAGTAACTCATGTTCTCGGAAGAAATCACGACCTCAAACTGCGCATGCTTGCTCTGTATCTGTGGCTTCGCATCAAGGTGCAGTCTGATTGGATGAGCCAGTTCATGATGATGGGGCTTCACCTTCTTGGATTTACTCAGACAAGATTTCTCTTGTGCCATTTCTGCATGGTGACAATACGCGTGCTGGTGAAGAGCCTCAAAGAGGTTCTTGCTGACATGCTGAGGAAAATCATCCGGTTCTGGCAGCTTCGATCCTGCGGTGATTTGGTCAAGACCGGTCTTTTTCTTGGGCTCATCTTGGCTGAGTTTGGCTAGAAACGCGTCGCATTGTTCCTTGGCTATGATTGGGAGCGTTTTGTCTGTGATGAATGACAAGGATATAGACTTCTTTAATCGCGACCTATTACCTGGCCCTGCCAATGTCACCATGCGCGTGTAGTCCTCACCAGGGTTGGTCTGGCTCCCCGCTGGAGTTGGAAACTAAATATCTTAGTGAAATGTCTCAAAACAGAGGGAAGCAACCCACCATGCAGATCTCAAGCAGAGTATGCAACAAGCCCGCGGCAGCTTCTTCCGCCGCATCGTCAAGCTCGTAGCCAGCGAATGACTCTTGAGCAATTTGACCTAGCCTCGTTCCAACTTCCCCCGCAAGCCGCTGTCTCTGGCGTATACCGCACTCCATCACAAGAGCATACACGTCTTTGGCCACTTCAGCGACCATTTCGCATACGCTGAAGCGTTGAGTCGCCATAGGGTCACTCGCATGTTTTGTTCTCCGTAGGCTGAGCTATGTTTAGTGGAGGCCTGATGATCTGTTTGATCGTGCGGCTGAGTATCCCTGTAGCTGAGCTCACGTGACGATAGTCGACATGAAATCCTCCACTGCTCGCCCTTATGCAGCTGCCTCATCTCATCCTCACCATCTCCTCTCCTGTGCCTCTGCTTTTCTGTCCAGCGAACGCAAAAAATGTTCCACTGCACATTTTTGTTGTCAAAATCATGGATCTAATGAGTCTGACTGCTCGGGACCTTTCCAACAAGTGTCTTGAAGCTTTCCAACTATGCTTAGCTTTTCGCTCTCCCGAACCTAATTTGTCCAATCAGCAGGCGTCTCATGATGAGCGATTTGAGTATCGCTTGGCAGACTTCAATCTCTGGATCGATGGAATCGGCGCCTTGGCTCCTTCAAAAGCCTCACTAGATGCCAGGTTGAGTGAGCGACCGATTGACCTTTCCCTCGTCAAAGGAAACCTTGTTATGCTGTTTCAGTCCCTCGAAGACTGTTTGAATTTTCTCAATGATGATGGAGACCTCGAAGACACCTTACTTGACATTGACTCGGCCCTGGAAAGTCTTGTCACTTTGTCCCTAGCTATTCGTAGGACAGGACGTCGGTCGCGGCTTCACAAAGCAGATCGCCTTTTCAAACCGGAAGAACACGCTGAGTTGAGGAAACACTTGGAAGCCATCATTGTTCTGCGTCCTGGGTCTGGTTCATGCTTTAACGATGATGAGTTTCAAACCAAGATCGAGTCGCTGACACCACAGCAAAATCATCTTATCACGGCCAACTTGAAGCGAAGAAATAGGTTCATACAGGCTCAGCTACACTCTTTGGGTTTGAAGAAAAGAAGTGTTGCCTTCGAGTTGCCGGTTCCTGAAGCCGTGGAAAAGGATCATAACCAGGTCCCCTTTTCGACGAGTGAAGTAGAAGAGGTTGCCGTCCCCATTGTCTCCGATACTGACGCCCAACCTCACAAACCGCTGCCAGCACCCATGTCAGTCACCTCAGCTTCGGTTCCCGAAAGTAAGCTCGAATACAGAGAACCCATTTCCAAGAGAACAGAGTCTACACCAATGACCGTCATTACTCAGATCACTGCTTCAGCTCGATACCCGCGTCCACGAGTATATGATAACGAGCAGAAGGTTGTTCAATGTCCGTGCTGTTGTCAGACCTTGCCCGTAGCAGAGGCTAAAAACAACAACCGATGGAGGTGAGATTGCCCGTTACATTTTGATCTATCATCTGTTTCTAATGCCTTCTTAAATATGTAGAAAGCACTTAGCAGAAGATATACGCCCGTATACCTGCATATTTGACAGCTGTCCTACACCAGACGTGTATTACAGCAGTAGATCGATGCTGGAAGAGCATTTTCGTCAGGACCATCCACCAGTTTGGGTATGTCCTTTGTATGACGAAGATTTAGTCTATTCGACCATGAGTGAAATGATGGACCATCTTCATAAGGCCCATCCAGACAATGGGGAGGACATCTCACCGATTATTTCATCGTCCGCGCAGACTAGAATGGGCATAAGGAGCTGTCCCCTCTGTGAAGTCAACGGTGAACCCGATTCCCCAGAGCTCATAGAACACGTCCTTGAACACGTACACGACTTCTCGCTCCGATCACTTCCCTGGCCTAGACCCTCAGAAGTCGATATCGGCGGTGAAGTCGGGTCTTTCAATCCGGAACGTGACGGGGCTGTTGCGATCACTCAATGGCTGGAGCTTTATGAGCATGAAGCGGAAGACATTGATCCTACATTGGAGCTATCAACTTGCGACTATGGAAGGCTGGCAATTATAACCGAACAGATAGCGTCTAGGAGACAGGATAAGCTTGGCCTTGATATCTGCTTTGCTGACGAGCATGGCGACGAATCTGCTGAGGCCGAGACTGATATTTCAGAGCTTACCCAAGACACTTTTGAATCGATCAAAGAGGCTCGTGATGTGGTCTTGTGCCATGAATGCTCCTTGAGATGGTATAGAGATGAAGATGGAATGCAGTGTCCCAAATGTCAAAGCGAGTTCGTTGAGATTGTGAGTTGCCTAGCACTATTTCCTGCGCGTCAGAATATTAATACTTGCCAACAGGTCGATCCAGAAAGTGGCTCTGAGGGTTCAGATCTTCTCGGTACTGTTACGAGGCCAGGCTTCGCTACGATAGCTAGTCATGGTGGACACGGTGATGAAAGCAGGCATTCAAGCGATGCCACAGCCTCCAAACCAAGCGCCCGAGAGTCCACCTCCGGCTTTCGAAGATTCACTGACCGTCTCTTCTCCCGCAAGAAGGCCGATAATATTGAATCCCGGCCTGGTCAAGACGCCCCCGGGAACTTGGTCCAATTTCTAGCGCTCAAGCAGAGTGCCGTAGCGAACCAGGAGGCCTGGAAGATTCTGTCAAATTTTTACTACAGGCAGCTAGACTCTCCCTCGAGAACACGGTCAATGTTTGCAAATTTTATCAGAGATGTCCAACATGAGGATATTCGGCCAACCCACACACTTGTGTCTGATCTAGATAGCTTTTTACAAGTTATGGTCGGGTTTTACTTGAGTCCACTCAAACCATTACCTCCAAAGGACCTTTCGAAACCAATATCAAACTACTTTATCAACAGTACCCATCGGACTATGTTGCGTACATCATCAGGACCTCACACCACTGCTGATGCAATACGAGAAGTAAGTCCAGCAAGCCAATCATGACCAAGACACGGTTAACTAATGAACAGGTGCTTCACTTTGGGCATCGAGTCATTAATTTGAATGTTTGGAATGGCGCGTGGGAAGAACTCAAACCTGAGAGGACCACGAAGACAATCAACCGGCTATTCGGCCTCAACAGAGCAACTGATGCACTGAAGCCCGTGGCTCCAAAGACCACTCTCTCCGAATCAGCTCAGTTGAGATCCTCTGCTGAACCAATCGTCAAGGATGGCTCCTTGACGCCATGTGGTTTCAGAGAAGCCTGTCGAGTAATCAAAAAGTCTGCCTTTGTCAATACTGACCTACCTGTGATCATCCATCTTACGGTCTACGTAGACCATGATCATCAAGACACACTGGCTCAAATCATGAAGGAAGAGTGGCGTGATAGTCTGATCGACGAGATAGTTGAGGGTTGCGATCCACGATTTCGGCTACCAAAATTGGAGGATCTTCGAGGTCGGATACTTGTTAGTCTAACAAGATATTTTCCTGCCAAGGATGACAACGCCCTACATGACAACCGTACTCAAAAGCCATTGCCCATGGTTATTGTAGGGCGACTAAACGAGCTTGATATCTACATGCGACGCTTGCGCTTCCATGGTTTTGATAGTCTCAACACAAAAGAACCTAGCACTGTTTGCTCCCTGCAGGAAGCGGAGGTTGAGAAAATTATTTCGACATCATCGACTTACCTTTTTTTACGAAACCAACAGTACCTTTTTTATGTCAATCCGAACTCGGCGAGACAAGAATCTTCAAACCTCGATCCCTTGCGATTTTGGAGACATGGTGTTCAAATGGCTGCAATCAGCGGGCATAAAGTAGATGAGGGTATGATGTTGAATGAAGGAATGTTTGCTGATGAATCAGGATGGGTTCTGAAACCTGTCGGTTACCAAAGCCACAGCAATAATATCTCGACCGATCTCGAAGCAGCTCCACGAAAGGAGCTTGATCTATCCATATTCGTTTTCCAAGATCAGGAGTTTCTGGCTCGTACGCACCGAGAAATTAAGGACCTTTCATCATTCATGAGGGTCTCACTCCATGTTGATGGCGAAGTAAATGCTTGGGTATCAGGAGGTGACTTCCCAATATCTACAGATGATGGCTCTGGTGCTTTAGGCTACGAGCTCAACTTCCATGTAGCCAAAGCAAATCCCAGCCTCTTTCCAAAGCTTAGCATCCTTAGGTAATTAACCGAGTTTTGCAGTAATTAAAGCTAACCATATTGTCCAGGTTGACATTTGCGGACTACTCGTCAGACGACGGTTTATTCGCGTGGGCCAGTCTCAGGCTAGATCGCTTGAAACAAGGTTACCGACTAGTGCAACTTTACGACAGCGAAGGGTTGCCGTTGATGCAACAGAGAATACTCTTAAAGTTTAAGATTAGTTGGCAGTAATAGAGACTAACCCTGGTGGTTAGGTGAAAGTTCTATAGGACCTTTATCTGATTCGTCTAAAACACTTCTCATTCTTGCTACATATACTACCTACTCTATGGTAGCATTAATCTCCTTGGCAACGCGAGCAAGCTTCTCAGAGTCTAACACCTCAACCGCGTCCGGCAGAACCAATCCATCAAACGGTTTACCGGCATCCTGAATCAAGGTCTCGATTCCCCGCCCATTTGCAACTGAAAAGATCTTGACAAAGGGCGATGCAAAGGCCAATTTGAAGCCCTGATCGGCCGAGATCACTACCGTCTCCCCGTCGTGAAGCACATTCTCACCAGATGAACCCTCTAGCTCGACTTTCAGCTTCCCCTCGACGACGAAGAGGCAGTGATCCACGGTCGCGAACTTGATGTATGACTTGAAGATTGACGCTTTGTAGGCGCTGGACGATTCGATACTCGAAATGGCGAATCTCTCTCCATTCTGACTCGCGAGGATAAATGGACGCGACAAGACGCCGCCAGCCATCCATCGCGGTCCTGTGTTTGACCGGAGAAAGTATGGCTGAAGAGGCTCGCCTAACTTGTTCTCCGTCTCAAGCCAGTCGCTGAGCTCCGCCGGTTTGAAATCGTGAGCATAGTGAACATCGAATTTATCCTTAGCAGCCACCATCATAGCCATCAATTTCTCTTCGTCCCTCTGCGAGTTTTCAGGGAGTACCAGGCCATCGAATTCAAGGCCTGAGAAGCGAAAGAAGTCGACCCAGTCGCCCGGTGCCACAAGATTGAACGACTCGCAATGAGGGCCAAGCCACTGGGGATTGTGGATAACTTTCTATAACGGCGGGCGTGAGTCACTCATTCACGCACTATTCGGGGGGCCTTGTTCACTCACCGGCGGTACGTAGGCAAAATCCCCTGGACCTAGAATGCGGCATTGATCCCCGGCCCATACCTTCAGAAAGCCCTTGATGACCAAAAACACATCATGGGCTTCCTCGTGCCAATGGAAGCCTGGCGGGTCAGACAGAACTGAGCCGCCAGCCAAGACAGCAAGGCCACCGTTTGTCTGCTTGGAAGAGGCGAGAATACGAAAGACGCCCTTCCAGCCTGGGAAAGTGATCCTCTCACCCGCGAGCTGCGGGAGGATGTAGTTAGTGCGGGAGTCAGGCGGGGTGTTGACAACTGGGATAGACATTTTGCCGAGCCGGGTTGAGACTTGGAATGATTTGGGTTGTAGATTGGTCGGAAGACTGAAAGTAGTGCTTGTAAAGGCTTGGAAGATAACGATAAACTCACAAAATGAGCTGCTCATATATACTACATGGTTCACCGATACAGATAGACTTCCTCGGATTACACCATACCCCGGATTATTACATCGCTGATTTCTAGTTTACCGCACCTAAACGTTCCCGCTCCGATCATCTGGTGCAGGCCCGAGGAGTCAAGCGACGGACAGAACGGTTAGAGAGCCCGGCAGATAGTTCCGCTAGTCTAAGCCAGTTCAGTTGATTGATGCGATCATAGCTTTCAGCTGCGCCAATCCCCGGCTTTGACGTTAATTGGAAAACGGCTTGAAATGTGATTCCAATGGTCTAGTAAAAGAGCATAACCTATAGTAATTCCGTCGCCCGGGTTTTGCTCTAATCTCCGAATGCAACATGTATTCCGATACTCTAACTTGAAAGAGTATGGTCTACCATGGTTCCGTTCTCAGTGGAGAAAGGACCAGATGGGTTCTCGGAAACTGGAAAACGCCGGAGCCCTGCGAACCCCACATTCTGCTTTAATACCCTGGACATGGGTTTTGAGAAACAGAGGAGAAGAGAAGATATAACCTAGAGCCTCGGAGAATTTCTCTGCTTGATACCTATCAGCTTTTTCTGAGTTATATCTGCCAAGTCTGTTAATTAAATTTCAAGCATAGCTCGAATCCTTTGTCTCGTTGAAAATGAGTGCCTTAAGCTATTTCTCAGCGGTTTATAAAACAGTTGACGGAGAGGATATCACTGCGCTCATCTATCTCCCAAACCCAGCTGCCCTCAAGCCCCAGCCATGTCCAGTTAGTATGTACCCCCAAGAATCATCAATGCTGTCGTTGTCATCGTATACGATACTACGATCCAAGGACACACGTGAAAGCACAAGATCGCTCGTTTTATAAGATGCAGAAATATCTAATATGTTACAGTCATCAATATCCACGGCGGCGCCTTCATAGTGGGTTCAGCCCGTATGGTTAACCAGGACCAGATCGAGCACTGCTTAGAACGGGGGTGGATCATGGTTGTCCCAAACCATCGCCTCTGTCCTGGCGTTGATCTGCTCGAAGGCCCCATCACTGATTGCCGAGACCTTCTATCGTGGATCTACGACAAGGGACTTGAGAAAGAAATCGCCAAGAACAGCCCACCGAATACTGAGATTGGAATCGACTACGATCATGTCTTTGCGTCCGGCACGTCTTCTGGAGGCCATCTCAGCTTATGCCTTGTGAGTATAGTTTAAGCATATTGATCTCTGCTATGTATTATGCCCATGGGTGTCTTGCTCACACAACTTACAGGGCTTCGACGTTCCACGTCCGCCAGCGGCGATCTTCGATATTTACGGCCCGTGCCACTTCCAACATCCATTCTGGAAGTCTAAGCTTGATCATATAGCTTCCATGATCCCCAAAGGTTTAACCCCCGTGTTTATGAACCAAGTATATCAGCAGCGACCGGTTCCCACAGAGGCCGGCATCTCCCTCGAGGGCCAAGCAAAGGGACCGGACTTCAACGACCCTCGGCAGGCCCTCTGCTTTTCGAGTCTCGCAGATGGCAAGCTTCTCGACGTGGTTTTCCCTTCAGGCGACTGGAAAAAGGTCGATCCCCTACTAAACATCAGTAAATCATTCCCTCCTACATTCATTGTGCATGGCGACGCAGATACAATGGTTCCTCTTCACCTAAGCCGCGAGCTGTACTCCGCGCTCCAGAGGTCGGGGGTGGAGTGCGGACTGCGTGTAATACCTGGTGAAGAACATACATTTGCTGCCAAGATGAAGAAATGGTCGCAAACATGGAACTTGCACCTCGAAGGATATGAATTCTTAGAGAGTATAATTGACAGGAAATAAACGAGATGCCGTTTATCTCTAATTTCACAGACGTGGTCTTCGGTGTTGAATGATTTCCGTTTATACAGCAGTGATATAGATGAAAATTGGGTATCTGCTTTAATTTAAGAATAAATATGTAGTATAAAGTAAATTCTTTACCATTCTCATTACGCTTAGTAAGAGTGACTGCTAATTTTCAATAATCTATCATAAGAACATTAGGTGGGATGCCTTATGTTATGCATAAAGCCCCCAACGGATCATAATATATCAAGGTCGAGATGACCCTCCAGAAATTAACTTGTGTGATATCGGTTGTGAAGAGGATGGGGTGAGTCTCATCAGATGTGACATACCGCCTTCTCTGACAAGCATCAAGTCAGGCCTCTTTGCTACTCAGACCCTTATTTCGTGGTGATGACGGTTGTCGCTTTGACACCCAGTCAGAGCATGCATACCGTACATGAAATACATGAAACATCTAGCATCTGCAGAGAGATGGAGCCGTCGCCACTCCCCCGCAGCGTGCCCCGGGAGTCACTAGCGGCACTACATAGAGCTGTCACGCCGATTCCGCGGATGTGCTTCAAATGCCCACTTCCTCTACCGTGCCGGACTTAACGTATCCCCACCTCCTGCAAGAGACAGCCTTCCGATCAGATGCAGTCCATGCGGGGCTTCCGAGGAGGCTACTGCGGGATAGCAGGATACAATATAAAGAATTCAAGAGTTTATGGTGGAGATCAGACCCAACAGCAAGTGGCGTTTTCGGCCATATCGCATCATTCCGACGCAATTATCCTTCTACTCGAGATACCGTTTCCTCAAACAAGAATATCTTCTTTCCACTTTATCTTCAACTCAGAAGTCCTTGAACCTCTCTTTCAAGCTACAAATCATATGAAAGCTCTAGCTCATAATGGCATACTGGAAGCGTATGCTCATTACCCATCATCCCGGTTGGAATTCTCTAACCCGCAATTCACAGGACTAGCGAGATTCGTCCCCAAGGGGTACCCCTCCAAAACACTAATTGGAGAACCTGAGAATCATGCTATTGACGTCGGACTTGCGCTGTACAAAGGCGAAACCGTCAAGGCGAGAGTCTTCAGCGGCAGTTCAGTGCTCGAGCCAGGTGCACCATCCGGAGAGGTTGTTGAAATTGATCGTGTGCTATCGCCTCTGACACAGGCTGAAGTGGGAACGATAAGATGTATTGGACTGAATGTAAGAATAAAAAACTGCATCCCTTATACCAAAGAAAAGCTTGATCGGTAAATCTGACGAAAGTCCCAGTACAAGGCACACGCAGCTGAAGCCTGCTTGGAACCCCCGACTATACCGACTGCCTTCTTGTAACTAGCACCCTCATGATTGGCTTTACAGTTTATCACTAACGTTTCCAAAGGAAACCAGACACAGCCCTCGCCGACCCCTATCCCGCCCGCACCATCCTGCCCAAGCTTACTCAAGTGGATGACTGCGGCGACTATGAGAGCGAGCTGACCATCGTCATCGGCAAAGAGTGCAAAAATGTATCTGAAGCCGACGCTTACGATTACGTGCTTGGCTACACGGCGGCCAACGATGTGAGTTCCAGGACAAGTCAGTTCAATCAGAGCCAGTGGTGTTTCAGTAAAGGTTTTGATGACTCTTGTCCAATTGGTATGTTTACCCCATGACGTCTGGAGTGTCCTTGTGTTAATGGAGATGTAAAAGGGCCGGTCATCGTGTCCAAATCACTCATCCCGGATCCTCATAAGCTCAATGTCCGTGGCTTGAAGAACGGCCAAGTGCTGCAGGAATCCAGCACGGACGATTTGATCTTCAATGTGCCAAAGATAATCAGCTTTCTGAGCCAGAGCACGACACTGAAGCCGGGCACTGTCATTATTACCGGGACCCCGGCTGGTGTGGGGATGGTACGAAAACCGCAAGTGACGATTAAGGAGAATGATGTTTTCTTCGTCGAGATTTTGCCGTATATCGGGACCTTGGTTAATATTTTTAAGAATGAGCAATAATCTGATGAGGATATCCTCCATTTTCACCCGGGTTTGTATTCTTCGGGATTGAATATACATAACCCTTTGCTTTCCAGTGCAAGGTCAAGGCGTCTGTGAACCTACACAGGCAGGATTCCTCTTCTCTTGGTGACCACCAGACTTGTCCTGTCCTGCTTTTCATATCGTTGTTCGTTCTCTTGTGACTGTTGTCTAGATGCCAGTCTCTCCCCTCAATTCAATACGGCCGCAAATGACATTCAAACACTTACGTCTACCCTCGTAGATGCCTCAAATGACGGCTTAGACTTGAAACTTACATAGCATAATAATCACATGAGTTGAAGCACAGAGAGAGGGAGAGACTGTTGGCAAAATGCTCATCCATATGGAGCAGATATCTTAGGTTGTCGGACTAACAGTGGCCACCTGATGAAACGACCTGTAATGCTCTCGCAAGATCGATGCTATCGTGTGAGCTGCCGGCCAGTCGAAACTATCAAGAGTGTTTGTAGACTCATTAAGCAGTCTCCTGTCTGCTCCCTTGTCCCAAAGACACCCTACACCACCAAGATATAGACGCCGTTCCTCATTATCATTGATCCATTCTTTAATGTGGTCCTTTCCTTCATCCAATCGAACAGTCAATAATAGATCCATGTCATCAACTTCTGGCCTGTTCCCTAGCTCAATCCAAGCCCATATCAGTAACGTTGATACCAAGAATCCCATCGTCTCATGCTGCGCTCCAGTCTTACTTCTTCGAATCATTGACCACACGTTACAAGCGTGCATAAGAGCAGTCCGCGCTTCGCTTTTGCTTTGGATCCAAGTACGCAACTTGGCATGAACAATGGCCCTTTGGGCGGTGTCTACCCGCCAGCCCGAGAATGCGTAAAGCTCTTGAGCTGGCGAATAGATTAACATTGATAGCAAGTGGGAGAGACTCTCGACAGCACCAGAGAGCCTTGAAGGCGGAAGTGTTTTGGCATGGTCCTGGAGGATGCCAAGGTAGATCGGTGCACGATTGAGCCTTTCGGCATGGTATTTGACCCCAACAATCAACAGCAGTGTGTTGAAAGGATCTGAGGTGTCAATCTTTTGAGTACGATAAAACTCGGATAGGACGGTTCCAAAAGGCACGGGCTTATATAATGCTATGGTGAATGTGTCAGCTACTTTGTCTCTGCGATCTATTCTTGATAGGTAACCTCACGCATACTTTTATGTTTCTTCCATGTTTCTTGACTTGGAGCCTCCCAAAGCTTGGGATGTACCGGCGCTGGCAGCTGTAGGCAATCAATGGTTACTATCCCCAGGCCTGACCAAAAGCAGTTATACTCGCAATCGAGGATCTAGGGTATGATTAACCCTGCTCATATTTCGAATGGTGGACTTGAGAGTTTACTCACCCAAACTGAGTAAAATAAGCGGCGAAGGCTTTCCTTCTTGATCCAATCGGCCCAATTGTCTTCGCCCGAGTTTTCACTGTCGAGAGGTTGACAAAAGGCGTCAAAATTGGTGTAACACGCCGTCTTTCGACACAGAGTCTCGAGGAGTGCCCTCGTAACAGGTACAGCCTCGATGCGTGTCGTCTCTGGGCCAAACATCATACCAAGTTGATTGAGAAGAACGGCCTGTACAAAGGAAATATTTGGCTGCGAACTTCGGACCCGTTCAGACTAATAAAAAAAGTTAGGACCAAGACATGGAATCCCAAGATTATATGATAGTCATACCTGGACATGTATAGCACGTCGTAGAAGCTCGACTAGATTGAATGATGCCACGCTCGAATTCGCTACCCGGGAGAATATACTACCAATTGCAGCAACGCCGAGAGACAGAATCCATTGGTCTTTTGTTGGGGCAAAAGATGCTTTGTGAAGGAACGGAAGCAGAGAGTGAAACTCTTCAAAATACACTTGTATGAAGGTATTGATATGAGTAATTGGCGGAAAGTCGCTGGAGGTGAAAATAGACCAATACTCGTCATCTCGATTATAGCGTGCAAAATGCTTTATCATTTCTTGGTACACGTCCTCTGACAAACGCGGCACGTGGCAGTAATCCTCTGCGCGCCAGGCATCAGAATCTGGGTCGATACAATCATTTGTTGCTGAAAGGCTCCTGTCACTTAACCTTCCATTCGACGAATGAGGGGATTCCAAGGTTTGAGTCACCCTGGGCGCTAGTTTGTCTGTTTCAGGTCTGTCCACTTCGGGGCCGCTTGAGGCTGGGGGTTGTAAATTTGGCGTTGCATCGGCAAGTGACTGTGAGGATTCCAGGGCTGAAGGGGACGACAAAGTAGGAATTGCTCCCAATGAGAGATAATTTTCTGATCCCCAAAATACTCCTGCATCGCTGGGGCCAGACCACTCAAAGTCACCATATACGCCAAACACAGACCCAACATTTTGATCTGGGGCCAGGGAAGGCTGGGATGACAGACCGGTCATCGATTCATTGTTACTCGGCGGCCAGTATGAGAGTGAAGTAGTATCTGATTCTGTCGAGCTTTGTAACTGTTGATTCAATCCTGGCTGATCGCAAAACCCTGTATGGTTCGTCTCATTTTGCAGACCTTGATTTTGACTGGCGACAGACCCTGGCGTGTTCTGAGTGGCACGTCGGCTTTTAGACGGTGGGTATGAACATTGCAGCCGCTTCGATGTGCATCTGCCACAGGGAAGCTGGCCATCACAACGCTGCTTCGACTTTGCACACTTCAAGCACGCCTGGGCGACGTACGGCGTTCTGTGTTGCTTTGCAGGTGGCGTTTCCGGCGACTCGTGGATCTGCATGTGCCGAACGAGGATGTCTCTATTGCTACAAGTCAGCCTAGGGTACTGCCAGCACAGGGTGTCGCTGCTCGAACGCACTTCCGAGAAAAGGAGGCGGTACATTCACCGCAAGAGAATGGCCGCATACCCATGTGTCCCTCCATGTGGCGCTGGAGATGCTCACTCCTAACGAAGACGGCCCAGCATTCGTGACACGCAAACGTCATTCCGGTCGTCCGGCGTCGGAATTCAGATGTGAATTTGTAATGGGGTCCAAGAATCGGAACATCAGGAGATAAGAGAGGTGATAGTGCAGGGAGACGTTACTTAGGGAAATACGGTCTACCCCGGATTATTGCTCAACCCCGCATTCAGCGGCCCCACGATTCGGGACGGACTAGAGTACCTCCCCGAAGCTTGAGGGCGGTTCCTCAATATCATAGACTATGACCATTTAACTTATGTATGCATTGATGAATGCTGACTAGGTGACTGAAGCGCACTAATGGGCGAGTCACGACTCATAGCCCACATTGAAACCTACTTCATTTCCCCATATTCAACCAAAAAACAAGCAGAGGAAGTGCGCTACGAACCCAAATCCAAATCGTTATGGATCGGCAAACTCCACCCCCGCAATTCCGACACTAAACTTGGCCGGGAATGTGGAATGCCCGCTAAGCCAGAATCTAGACAGACATGAGTGCCCAGATGTGTAGAACAAAATAGTCAAGTACGTGTTTCTAGTAAAGATATGCCGAGCTGATTCTCAACCTGCAGCTCCTTCTAACACTTAATTATGTCCAAGACCAGGCGTCCGCAGAAGCCTTATTTGCCGTCTGCTAGTGCCGAAACGTCTAGCCATGGGTATTTCAGGATCTGTGTAATGAATCTTTTGTGGGAGTAGGACGGGAGATCTTGAGTTCGCAAACACGACTTTGCGGGGAAGCCAGGATGGCTTGATCTGTAAAATAACTTATATATGCCCCAACCAGGATCTCTGGATTAGAATATAGAAACCAACTTCGTAACTTATTGCCCTACTGCAGCCTGATCTATTCTCTTATAAAGTACAGCGTTTACGATGCATATTCTTGGTCTTTGCAATGGCTCTATCAATGGGAACTCAGAGATCCTACTCAAAGCAGCCTTGAAGGCTGCTACTGCCACCAACTCGTCAATCTCTGTCTCATGGATCCATGTACCTGCCGTTGTACTACCACGACAGCACCTACCCTTCAAGGACGATCCATCTATGATCCCATATCGTGATGATGGAAAACAATATCAATCCAGCAAGAGAGAGCCAGATGACCGTCAGGCTGCCTTTGAAGCTATCATGGATGCTGACGCCATCATCATCGCCACCCCGGTGTACAGCCACCAACCTGCCGGGACCCTCAAAGCTCTTGCCGACGCCATACTCGGACCTTATGCTGATGTGTCCATGGCCTATGACCTCAAGCGCCGACAGGAAGCGGGCGATGAGTCTGTAAAAGACTTGAAAGTTGATCCACGAGACTTCAAGCCTCGCGTGGCCGGGTTTATTGCGGTGGCCGGGTCTAACCCTACATTCCCCGAGCAGTGGACAATGGCTCTTGCGACAATGCAGACGTGCTTGTACCCCATACACTCCCGTGTGGTTGATCAAGTTGTATTATCTGGGTATGCAAGCCCTGGAGCTGTATTAGCTGATGCTGGAACGGCTCTTGCACGTGCTGAGCTTCTTGGCCGTCGCGTGGCTAGTCAGATGGGAAAGCCCTATGATGAGGCCCAGTATCTAGGGCCTGAAGAGAGCGACAGTTGTCCTTACTGCCATCTACTCAAGATTGAGTTTCGTGAAGGAAATAGGGTTGTCTGCATCGTATGCGGCGCAAATGGAATTCTCGAACTAGGACCTGGAGGCGATATTCGCCCCAAATGGGAGAAGGACTCGAATGTTAGTTGTCTCACACTTAGAGGTAAGATACAGCACAGGCATGATATCCGAGATAAATTGAGCATGGAGCAGCCAAAGCTCGCGTCTATTTCTTCAGCTTTTGCCAAGTGGAAGAGTTTAGAATTCCCCCTGGCTCCTCTGCCTAGCTTACAGGAGAAGGTCCCAGGCCGTCTATAAGTTTCTTAAGGCAGTGTTGAAAGATTATATAGCGTTCAAGCTGGGCAATCTTCATGTTGTCTATTTTCTTATCCATTTTACCTAACATATATAACTTTACTACTATCTATCATAGTGAGAATCTCGCAGCTTTACTATCTTTAATTAGCTTTAGCACTTGCACTTTGCTAATATGACATGTTTAGACTTAAATTGTGTTTATAATTTATCTATTGATAATAGTGGATAACTATAGATAATGTGAGTTACTGCTGTGTACTAATCGCCTTGCGCTGATTTGCCAGCATTCTCCTTCACAGCCTCCAGCGCCTCATGCATCAGCTTAGAAGCCTCCTGCCATGCCGGTCTCACGCTCACTTTGTCCCACCAACGTTTTAAGTGCGGTAGATCAGAGAAAAGCCCATCAGGCCCGCCCTTCAAATCAATAAGCGTAAACACCCAAGGCATCGACCAGACGTCAGCGAGCGTAAAATCAGGCCCAGCGAGATATTTTCGAGTAGATAAGATTTCATCTATGGCCTTCAAGTCATTACTTAATCCGTTCCAGATGTCCTCCATTGTCTCTTTGTCCAGGGAGGGTACGCCCAATAGACTGGTAATAGGAGTGGTTAGTATGTTATCAGGTGGCTCAAAGAAAAGACTTACGGCCTGATGATTATATTCGAGCCGTATTGGAATGACTTGGTTGCGAGATATGAGGCTTCAATTGACGCCGCCTCCTCAAAAGTAGCCATTGCGCTCATATTGCTGATATCTGGCATCAGATCATTTCCCTTACCATGGAAAGCAATGGCAATATAGCGGGCAATTGCCCGGCTTTCTTCTAGAGGTCAGTCTATTACGCTCACAGTGTTTAGTCTTAGGGGTCATACCACGAATTCGAAGCACTGTCTCCCCTCGATCATTCACCACATCTAAAACGGGGATCTTGCCAAATGGGTGCCGTTTTCAGTGCTCAGGACTCTGCGCAAGACTCAGCACGTGGCGTCGCAGAACCAGTCATGTAAGGTTACTTGGGTACCACTTACTCGAGGCTCGGACCTAATAATATTGACATGTCTGTACTCCCAGTCTATGCCTTTCTCAAGCATTGCGTGCGTGGTGCTGATAGTATACGGAGAAATGTAATCTCCGTATAGAACAAGTTTTGTTGTCCTAACTATGTGTCAGTAGTGGACATGCTAGGAGTAGTTGAATAGTGAACGTTAAGCACATTTTGAAGAGCCGATTATTGAACACGACGGCCTGGTTCATGTCTAGAAATTACTGCATTCTTTATATAATTCGAAAGCCATACATACAGCTCCGAGGTAAGGCCTCGGCAGGTACGGGCCGTCTTAATCTGAGACCGTCTAGTACTGAGCAAGTAATTGAACCCCACAAAATGCATCAAAGACCCTTGTTGAGCAGACTCTAGGGTAATCATAGCGTTCCAATCGAGGCCGAGGCATATACCCTGTCCCTAGCCGTACTGACTCCTAAAACCTATACTTAAGCGAGCAATTGACTACAAAGTTACATAGATACAGCCCCATATAAGATCAAGTTCTAATGATCTGAAGGTCTGCAGAGGCTTTAGTTTAGTGCGGCGGAAGTGCGGCGGAATCCTCACTGCCGTCTATTAGTGCCGAGACGCCTAGAGATATCACGCTGCATTTTCCGCGGACTTAGGAGGGGAGGCCCGTCAGGGAAGCTAATGCAATTCGATTCCGGGGAAGATTGAACACTCTAACCCAGTGGAACACATCCCAAGCCGGTGATTATAGCCACATGAATGATACCCTGCATTTTACGATTCGTAGCCTGGATTATTGACTGGGTTTACAGCCTGAAGCTTACCTATATAATACACACAAAAGATGATGGCGGCTTTTCACTGCAAACATATTTATTTATTCCGTTTATCCTCCCTTCGTCTCCTCTACTATCTCAATTTGATCCACGAGCTTAGATAAAATGGGCGACAAATCTGCTTTTGAAGAACTCAACAACCAGCCACCCGCGGCCCAGCAGAAGAACCTGGAAATGTTCCTCCAGGAGCAGAAAGACATTCCGCATTCTCTTCCATCTTCGCCTGACTTTGCCAAGTTGACCAACATAGGGCTCTTGACCAATAACAGCATACCCTGGGCTGTAGTTCGCCCAGAAAATGCTCTGCAAGTTACCAGGCTTGTGGTATATCTTGTTGCCAACCGTATTCCCTTCACTGTACGATCAGGTGGCAATAACTTTTTCGGGAAATCGCAGATCAGCAATTCGGTGTGCATCGACTTGCGCTCTATCTCCTTTTGCAAGATAAACAATGATGAAAAGACGGCCCGAATCGGAGGTGGTATTATCTTCGAGAAGCTCATTGGCGATTTGCAGAGCAAAGGATACTCAGCTGTAACGGGCATGGTACCTCCAATTGGGTTTGTTGGGTGGTCTTGTTATGGAGGATATGGACCCTTTGCCTGGCTTCATGGCTTGGGGCATGAGTCAATCCTCGGAGCCAAAGTGGTAGATTGGCGTGGTTGTATCATCGATGCCGACATTGACCTCCTCAGAGGTATCCGAGGAGCTGGAGGCGGTTTTGGAGTTATTGTGGAATTAACCATAAGAATATTTCCACAGGGAAATGTAAGTTAGTTATCATTGCTCATCTTCATCGTACAAACATACGCACACATACAGAACAACAACAACTAACCTGACCTTGCAAGCTCCTCTCTGGGCATGTAATCTTCGACGAGTCAGACACAAAGAACACGGTGGCCAATATCTGCCGTGAGACGGAACGTCAACTGTTGAGAGATCCAGCAGAAAGCCTTTATATGGCACCCTTGTTTATTGTCACGCCCCTGGGTAAAGCACCCTTCTGTCAAGTAATGTGGCTCCACGAAGATCAGGAGCAAGGCAAAAGGGAAATCGAAAAGATCACACAGCTTGGCCCGTTTTCCCACACGACAGTGAAAGGTACAACGCACTTGGGCGCGATAGACGACTTTAGAGACAGCTTTGCCATGCCTGGGATGATTGGAAACGTTGGTACCATTAGCGTCCTGTCATTAACAGAACAGGTCATCGACATAATTGCACACCATGTCGACATTATGCCCAATGAGATCGGCCTGGGTTTCGCGATTCACAGCACCAGAGAGGCTCCCAGAGAGACAGCTCAGGCATCTTGTTTCCCGGCAACAGAGCGCCATTTCATGCTTGAGTTCCTGGGTTGCGTTGATTCGGAGGAAAAGGTCAAGAGAACTGATAAATGGCTTAAGGACTTCATGGAAGCTATCAGAGGAACTGAACAGGCCAACATTCTTCCCAGTACCTATATCAATTTAACGCCTCCTGGTCAAAACACGTTAAGAAGGGCATATGGGCCAAACTATGGCTTCCTCTTAAGCCTCAAGAAAAAACACGACCCACGCGGGGTATTCAATACAGCTCCCCCGTTTGTAACATTAGCCTCGGAGGAGGAGTTATTGTTTACTAAGATGGTCAAGATTTAGGGGGCTTGGGGTCACCGCAGGCGTTCTATTCGTTCTATTGATCCTTGGGTATTAACTATAGGCACTCTAGCTGTAAACCTGAGGTTCCAATCTACCTTGAGCATCTTCTAAATATCTCAATACCAAGCAAGGATAGTACCTTATGGATGAAGCTTGAGAGTTAAATCACCCATGAGATATAGGTAGCTAGTGTAAATGCCATATTCCAATGCTCTAAGTATCCTTTACCGGCTCTAGCCCTCGATCCCGGATGAAAGCGGTGCCAAGCAAGCATAGGCCAATTAAAGGAACTTGCAATATGAACACGCTGTGACTCGCAGACATGTAGGCATCCAAAACTGCAGGAACTTGGCGCACCGACTCCGGGAGTACATATGTTGAGCTGGCAAGGTCCTTGTACTCAGTGGGCAGAGTAGCACGTAATTGAGCTTGGAGGACTGCAGCAGAGATAGCAAGACCGCATGCTCCGCCAATACAACGATAGAAATTCCTATTGGAAATGATGACTGCACGACGGCTCTTGGGGGAATGAGCCTGTAATGCGATCAAGGTAGGTTGGAAGATGCACCCGACTCCCATTCCGACAACGCCCAGTATAACAGCAATCACAGCGATGCTGGAGTGTCTTGTAAGTAGCAGAGCCAGGCCCGCTCCTCTGACGAAGACGTAAGCGCTTGTTGTAGAACGTGGAGGAGATAGGTATCAACTTACAGAGTCCATACAGCGAAACCGAATATGAGCACCTCGCCATACCTAAGACGATGGCTGATGTATTGTCCCGAACCAACAGAAGCAATCATTTGTGCTGCCACCAGTGGAGTGTATATCGCTGCCGACTTCATTGCGCTGTACTGGTGAGGGTTCTGGAGATACAGAGGGACGTAGTAGAGGTAGGACTGGTAAACGGCGCCAAGCAAGAAATTCTGGGCGAGCATGATGCTAATGCTTGAGTTCTTGTAGATGTCAACTGGAGAGTATTTGAGTCAGAAGCGTGTTACAAACGTCTTCGGGTATGCGAACTTACCGGGCATCATCGGAAGCTTTGCCATCTTCCATTCCCATCCTATAAAGGCGAGAAACAAGGAACCACCGACAGCGAGGAAGCTAATTGACAGTGGTGAGTCCCATGAGAAGTATGAACCTCCTTGATGACGAAATCAGTTGTGTTCAACTTCCATGTTGCTTGGGATCTTACCTCCCGAGATAGGGATTAGCAGAAGAACGATGCCAACGCCTGATACCCATGAGCCCACCCAATCGATCTTGGTAATCCCTTCCTTGAAGCTAATAGTCGGAGGCTTGGAGGGGAGGAAGAAAAAGGACAGCACAGCGGTGAGGAATGACAGAGGTGTCAAAAGCCAGAAGAATCCTCGCCAAGATGATCGCTCCATGATGCCAGCGGCGATGAAGGGTCCTATGATATTACCCAGTCCGACAGTGGCACCAGTGATGCCTTGGATCTTTCCCCTCTGCTCGAGACTGACAATGTCCGAGATGATGATGTTGTTGAGGTTCAAAACACCTCCGCCGCCGATACCGGCCAGAGCCCGAAAAACATAAAACATGACTGCATTCTGACTAAACGAGCAAAGCAGGTCCGAAACACAGAGAAGCAGAGCGGCAGAAATGAAAACGACTTTGCGACCAAAGACATCGGATAATCTCCCGTAGAGCATCTGGAAACAAGTATTTGCGATCAAACTGGAAGTACCAGCCCATGATATGGTGGCCTCAGCGTTGAGATCTTTGGCAATGGTGGGGAGAGTCACAGAGATACCATTTTGATCGATTGTGACAAGGAGTAAGGCCGATGAGAGGGTAGCGAGGGCAATGATCAATTGGCGGCGAGGCAGGATGTTGACCTGGTCATGGAGAGCCTTCTCATCCTTTGTGAGCACCATCTTGACTTTGTCAGTTTAAGAATTGGAAGGAAAAGAAAGACTGGGAAAATATTTAACAATGAATTGAGATGTTTGTTATGACTCTTCTCCTTGGGCTATTCCTAAACGGGGACGTGAACCACAATTTTCGGACCTTGTCCGCGGGCTTTGTCCGATGACTTGGCGAGACGATGACGATCAGTTCTGAACAGATTACTGATACTGACACATATTTCTATAAGATAACCTCTAAGTACCCTGAAAGTCGCTACGCAATCAATCGGCGGCTTCACACCCGTTACTCAGACTTTGGTGGCCATTTCACCCTCTTCTCCGCCTGTACATACAAATTATTCGGCCGAATCAGCTGAAAGTACGGGTCATAGTCAACAGGCCCATCCTGCGCCAAGCTGAACTTGTATCGGTAAACAAGCTTCGGTAAAAACACCTTGATCTCCTGTAACGCAAAGTTGAACCCGACACACATTCTGGGACCTGTCGCGAATGGGATGTAAGAGCCAGGAGGTCGGTTCTTGACCTGTTCTGTATCCCAGCGATCGGGGTCAAAGCGGCCAGGGTTCTCCCATACGTCCTTGTTGTTGTGCATGTGATGCAGTGCTGAGATCACCACTGCTCCTTTGGGAAGTCTGTAGCCGCCTGGTAGAATCATATCAACCTTGGCGGTGCGCCCGGGCTGAAAGGAGGGATTGTGCAGGCGCTGTGTTTCCTTGATGAACTTATCTAGGAAGCTGAGCTTGTTGGTTGTCTCGGCTGTGACATGCGTATCGTCATCCCAATCGTTGTCGATGAGTTCTTGAAGAAGACGCTCTTGGTTTCCCGGGTACTTTACAAGACTGTAGATCAACCAGGATAGCAAAGATGACGTCGTGGTGAAGCCGGCGCCAGTAGCTACGAGCAATGTCGGGGCGAATTGGGACGGCGGAAGCTTGTTTCCCTTGTTGTCCTTGGCACGCAGAAAATAATCTACTCGGTCAGTTAGGGCTATGCTTAGTTCAGGTGCATACAACTTACCAACAACATTCTCAGCTTTAAGTGCTGCATCCTGTAGCTCCAGATCCTCTTGTCCCTTTGAAGCCCTAGCAATCGACTCCGTCATCATCTCCATGATCCTAGTGCTTATATCTCTCATTTTCTTCGGATCGCCAAACGGCATCTTGGCATACCAAGCCCCCATCGACGACACACGCTTATTCAGCTCCAGGTTCTCCGCAATCTTGAGGACCATCTCGTGCAGCGGCGAGTCCACCTCCTCGAAATGCGCAAAATCCATACCTAGAACAAGCTTACCCACTGCCTGGGAGCCAAGCTTCAGCATGTACTGGTAAACATTCCACGCCTCGCCCTTTTCATCGAGCTCATCGAAGACTTTGAAGGACTGCTCCACTGTTCGCTGCATTGTTGGGGCGTAATGACGAACTGCTTTCGGTCCAAGAGCAGGAGGGAGGAATTTATGAGCAAGACGCCATTGCTCTGTGTTGGTGTCGGCTAGAAAGACTCCTGCTTCTTGGTTCTTGATTGGGTGGAGGGGATGGCCGGGGACGATCTCTTTTGTGAAGTAGTGGTCTTCGGCAAGGAATATGTTGGACAGTTCGGCGTTGTTGGTCTGGTAAAGTCGGTTGCCCATGTTGTTGGTGACGAACAACGGTCCGTATTTTTCGAATAGTCGCTGGTGGTTGCCGATATGATCGGGGTAGATCTCTAGGTAGTTACCGAAGTATGGAACGCCAGCAGGACCAGGCACGTCTCGAACAGCATTGCCATTAATGGAGACTGCAATTGGCTCTTCTTTCTCCAAGACTTCGGATACTGCGTTGAGTCTTCGATCATTGTGAACAAAGCCGACACCTAAATGTCAAAGTCAGTCAATTGTGATGCTGGGATAGCCTGATGAAACTTACCGTTTGGCTTGACGATGGCAAAGTGAGATGCGACAATGTTTTGGAGCTCCTCAAATTCCAGAGTGGGCGGCAGCTCAACCTCTCTGGCTGTTGACGGCGACTCGCCCGAAAGATAAAATTGTTTTGTGGACATGATGATGATGCTGGTGATGTACTGAGTGAATAGCCAAGATTGTATGTTCGAGAATTGAGGTCCTAAGAATATCTGGCTGTTTTAAGGAGAAATCTCAAGAGGCGAAAAGGATTCATGCATGGCACATGCAAATACCCATTCTCGCCCCCTCCAATAAACACCGGAGGCAAGGATTCGACGCCCAACGTGGAGATAACTTTTTTCTCGCCTCGCACTGCAAGATGGATGACGTTCAAGTCCTGCATCGTAGAAATTTTATCATTGTTTCCGTTAATCTGTCGGGATGCCCGTGTCCGCAGGTTTCTCGGTCTGATTACAATATTCGCTACGATTGGATTGATGCAAACGGGATTGTCGGAAGGGCCCATGCCATGTCGGTACTCGCGTCTAGTTTGACCGCGAAGACAAATATACCAGCATCTGCATATGCATTTGCGAGGGTCAAATAAGAGCGTCGGGCCAATTGAGCGGTATGTATTACATCAACAACGGAATTCGCATTGTTTCACCGACAGCCTCCGGTCGACGTCGATCATAAAGCGGGTCGGCCTCGGTCGCGTAGACCCACTACGGGCGATGAAACCTCGGCATTGATCAGGACCCACCACGGAGCTGCACTCCGGCCCCGTCTTGGGCACATGCAAATGACGGCATAATCCTGGACGGTCCAGGGATCGATTCTTTGCTGCTGAACTTTACGCAATGTGGCTAAACCGTGGCCGTCTGATACGCAAGCATTTCACTGTTTAAGAGAACAGTCTGCAGCTGGCCCAGTCGCTGATGCTTAAATTCGAACATTCTTTAGCTCTTCGCCAAAACCTACCCTTAGATCGATCGAACCAATACTCAATTTGTGTCTTTTATCAAACAATGGAAGAATACACTGCCAAGCAGGTCGCTGAGCATAACAGCCCTGACGATGCATGGCTAATCATCCACGGCCAAGGTACGCTACAATAACTCCAGCTGAACCACTAGCTAACTCGAGCCAAGTCTACGACGTCACAACCTATCTAGCAGATCACCCTGGCGGTGCCGATGTGCTCACTGAAGCAGCCGGTACAGACGCCAGCGAAGACTTTGACAACGCTGGACACTCGGAAGATGCCTTTGAGATCATGAAAGACTGCTGCGTTGGCAAGATCCGGGGCTTCGAGAAGAAGAAACCCAAGCTTAAGCCACTTGCATCAGTAAAGGAAGTGAAGGTCCAGTCCGAGGCTCCCTCGTCACTGTCTGTGCTGGTGACCTTGGGCTTTATTGCCTGCACAGGTGCAGGAGCATACTACTTCTGTCGCCGTCAAGGACTCATGGTACCAGACTGGCTGGTAGCGTCGCTACGTAGTGATTCAGCTGGGTCAAGCTTCCTCAAGGGTATAGTCGTCGGAGGTGGATCTCTTGCGATCGCCAATGCTGTGGCTGCAAAGCAATTCACCACCATGGCAATGAAGAGCAAGACATTCACCAGTTATCCTGCCCACATAAAGATTCCCAAACGAGCTGAAGAAGACACCTTGCTGCAGAGAGGACTCTTGGATCCAGTCACTTACTCGCCACTTCCGCTGAAGCAAAAGGTTCTCATCGCACCAAACGTCTATCGCTTGACGTTTAGTCTTCCGACCACGAGCACCATCCTGGGTCTGCCGATCGGGCAGCATGTTACCATCAAAGCCGACGTGGATGGAGAGAGCGTCGCTAGGTCATATACACCAGTGTCTAACAATTCCGACCTTGGCGTTCTGGAACTGGTCATTAAGTCATACCCAGATGGTAAGCTCACAAGCAAGTATCTGGCGAAGCTCGAGGTTGGAGACGAGGTCCTCTTCAGAGGGCCCAAAGGAGCAATGAAGTATCGACCGAATCTTTGCAAGAAGATCGGTATGATCGCGGGTGGTACTGGTATAACTCCCATGTTCCAGGTAATCCGTGCTATCTGCGAGCATGACCGCGACACGACAGAGATCTCTCTTATCTACGCAAATAGAACAGAGCAGGATATTCTGCTTCGGGAAGAGTTGGACAGGTTTGCGAGGAGATATCCCAAGAACTTGAAGTTGTATTATATGCTGGACCAACCACCAGCGGACTGGAAGTTTGGGTCTGGGTATGTGACTCGAGAGTTGATGAAGGAGAGATTGCCGTCCCCGAGGGTGGACTCGAAGGTTTTCTTATGTGGGCCGCCAGGAATGGTCAATGCCTCGAAGAAGGCACTTGTTGACTTGGGTTTTGAACAGCCTGGGGCGTCGGCGAAGATGTCGGACCAGATTTTTGCATTTTAGGAATGGGAACCTTGTTCGACAATGATTAAGACGGATCGTTTACCTTAGCCTCCTATCAATTCTCCTTCCGATATTATCAATGCATAAGTGTAGGGAACGTATTTCCTTTTCTGTCTGAAACAGCGACATGAAGTCTGTGCGTGACTGACTCCAGCCCCACAGCTTGAGCTTCTTATCAAATAGTGCGACGGTAAATACACGCTACGGACTTGGCCATTTCACTATAACACGAGACAGCCAATCATTGACCTCGCCTCGTGGGTCAAGCCTTGTGGGCAGCTCCCCGGAGCATGTTCTGATCTCGATCATCGTCAAACAGGGTAAAATAATTGGCGTTTGATCATTACTTCTAGTAACAGATCTGTGGATGCCGGTCCTTGCTCACACACTGGCGTAAACACCGATATTACGATGGGACTCCAATAGCCCTGCCAAACAAGCGTGCCTCGTCTGGGCTTGATCTTGAAAACCTGTCAAGCAGCTATAAAAATGACGGTTCCCTCCCTAAAAGATCTAGCATCTCGAATCATTCCTTATAAACCACCTCATCAACATTCTTTTCGTTCAAACCGTCCACTCCTTTTTGCAGCCGTCAAGATGCCGTTCACTGCTGGGTCAGTCATTATCCTTCGTTCCTCTCCTGTAAATACGCAGTGCCATTGCAACTGCTAACCTGTCTTAGTGACATTTGCAAAATAATTTTCGCAATCATTCTTCCCCCAGTCGGTGTGTTCATGGAGCGAGGATGTGCAGGTGACTTTTGGATAAACCTGCTCCTGACTATTTTGTGTATGTTTTGGCCGTCTCCTGGAGTTTTACACTACTAACCTGTTTGAGTCTTCATTCCTGGCCTTATTCATGCCTTGTATATCATCCTGAAATACTAGATGCTTCGTCATACTGATAGCCATTTGGTATATTTTAATATTACATATTTCGGCCTTCCTGTCTCTGGGGTTGTTTCGGATAACTCTTGATCTTCATATACTACGTAACATCTCACATAATGTGTTTCTCAATCCTGAGTCCATTTCGAGATCGAAATTCCACTCGTTTTGTCCACAGCTCTGCTCCTACTTGCGTTTCAATTAAGACCTGTTTCGAAGCACGAATCGTCTTCCAAGTTCGCTCCTCATAATTCGTCGCCCACTTCTGAGCCACCGGCGCTCCCATCTCGAACCATGAAACTCCATAGCTCAGAAGTGTGCTTTCGTGCACTAACCAGTCTTCCTTCCACGCCTCTAGGCTGCGCGTGTCTACTAAATCCAGCGGGCTAAGACTGGGAATGCCGTTATCTGGATCTGCCATTATACGGAAAAGCGGAACAGCTCCCTTAGCGACAAGAAGACGAACAGCATCAGCGAAGCCACTAACTGCTGCACTGTGAAGCGGCGTAAGGCTTAACTCCCCACCCGCTCCTACTTTTTGGGCGTTTAGCAGATCCTTGACTCTAGTCTTCGAAGATGGAGTTTTCCACATTTGAGCCAGTAGCTCGTTCAGAGCTGTTATTTGGTGAATAAAACTATCATCAACGCGAGAAGACTCGTCGCTGGTCAAGAAATGGAAGATATTGCAATTTGGAACCGGCAAAATGATGGCATTTTCGAACAGAAAATCTGGATGCTCTCGGATGTACTCAGACTGTAGAAATATTTTCAGCGCTAGATGGTTGTGATGCGTGTTTGCGAAAAATAGGCGGCCAAATGCATTCATTCCATCTTCCGGTGCCTTCTTATCAACGCCAAGGATTGTTGGGTCAGCTCCCTTGTCGAGAAGTTTGATTGCCATATTGACCTTCCCATGATCGAAGGCGGAGTGCAGCAATATATGTCCTCCTATATCACTGATGACAGGCGACTGGTGAGTTTTGACATGGAGGTGTGTAAATTGGACATTGATGTCGAAGCTTTTGGAGACGTGCTGGAGAAGGAGTTTAAAGACAGCATCTTCTTCAGCTGCTCGTGATGTTATGGTTGACGTCAGTGCGTGTATCGCATAATCGCTCGTTTCAAACTGAGGCAAATAACCCAATAGAATTTGCACGGCTGCGATCTCACCGTTGATGACAGCATCAATAAGAAGTCTCTTTACCATAGCAAGATCCCGCTCCTCGTCGTAGTCATCGTCCAACAATTTCTTTATTAGACGGGTATCGCCAGAGCCAAGAGATACGGTTGAAGCATATGCTTCTCGACGAGGAAGGATACCCTTACCAAACAGATATCGAAAGGTGCCGCAAGACGCTTCAACATATCTTTCTCCGCATGCGAGATAGGCCTCCGGTAGTCCGTAGAATAACGCTTCGACCGTCCAGTGGCTTCTTGCTGCAACATCGGTGCACGCGCAGGACTCGACGAAGTAAATGATGATGGGCAGAAGCCTAGCACCAACAGCCACAGCCCATGCATTTCGATGGCGCTCTGTAAAGGTATACGGCGTAGCACTGGCTTCTACCAAGGCTTTCACAGCAACGAGATTGTTCATCTGTACAGCCCAGTGGAGGGCTGTGCCAGGCATGGTCATGGAGTATGTCAGATAGCCACCATTGACTTGATCAATGCCAAGCCAGGTCTGGACAAGGGTCCCAATGACCTAGCAAAGTATCGCTATCGCGCAGAATTTGACATCTACTCCCTAGGAAGGGTGCTACTCCATATTTCTCAGTGGTGCGTAGTCGGAGATGACGACTTTTCGCGAGCAATGGGACAACTGGCGTCAAACATGGGGGATATATATACAGCAGCCGTCCTTTGGTGCTTGGGCTTAGAACCCAGTTCTCCGGTTCGAGAGGCACGTCTACGTGGGTTGACAGATGAATCAAGTGCTTCACTGAAATGGTCAGCTGATCTCATCTATGCCTACGACAAAAACGTGCGGACGAGGCTAGCGCGACTCTGGGTTTGAGGCTATCTTTAGAACCTGACTGATATAGTTTCATATATGTTGACATGGATGAGTGTGTATAGATACGGCAATGAAAAACAGAAAGGGGTCCTAAATCGATATACCAAATGAGTATTGTTGCAATGTTCTAACGTAGGATATGGTCTATAAAAGTGGATAGGATGTGAGCGTCTCAAATGGGTTTAGACTGTCTTCTTCCGTCAATATGATTGGCTTTCCCGTAAAATTCGCCCTGGCAGTGCCCGATAGGAAGTGGGGCAACATAATTATCCTCCCCTTAGAAAAGCTCACTTTGCTCAGGATTGTCATTTTTCCTATAGGTTGCCTCGTGTTCACTGCCAACGGCTACGTGCGTTCAACGATGGCCACCCAAGAACTTGTCACTGCCAAAGTCAAGCATAAGCGCGCATCTGCCCCAAAAAGCCGCAATGGCTGCATCACATGGTACGTTTGCCGAGATCCTATTACCGTATGAGTCCAATGGCTAATCCGACTGCAGCAAGTATGTAGCGTTAGACCCTCTTCTAGAACGGCCACTTATGCTTATAGGACTCGACACCTAAAATGTGATGAAGCAAAACCGACATGCAATCGCTGCTCCGAGGATAAGGTCAAATGCGACGGTTACGCCATGCCTAAACCCAAAGCAACCCGCCGAAAGCATCGAAAGAGGATTGCACCAACAATCGCTGATACACTTTCTCTATGTTTAACGATTGACGATATTCCATCGTTGTCCACTTCAGAGCGTTTATACTTCCAACACTTCCTCCAGTTCACAACTACACAGCTGTCGCTCTCTTCTGGTCCGACCAACTTTTGGCTTCGATACGCTCAACCCATGAGTTATCAGTTCGAGTCAATTCGATACAGCATGATTGCAGTCGGCGCCTCGCATCGACTCTTCATGGCGAAATCCCTAGGTCATTCGGATATTGGCGGCTTAAAGAGCTTCGCTACGCACCAATACAATAAGGCTATCGCGACTATTATACCAAGCATGACAGCTTCTCAAGACCTACAAATCATCATGATCTGCTGTCTACTCTTCATCTCGTTCGAAGGCCTGACTGGTCGTTACGACGAGCTCCTCCAACATCTCAGTGCAGGAATCTCATTGTTCAATTCGCCGTTGTCGTTAAGTGATGAAGATCGCGGGATGACTACAAAGCTTGCCGAGATGTTTTGTCGACTTGGCGTAGAGTCATCCAACTTCATGCCAAATGATCCAAGTATCTCTGGGATACAAAAGTGGTATCAAACGAACAAATCTCAGCACTCTCTGTCTCCCAAGCCGTTCAACAATTTTGACGAAGCGTCGTCTGCACTGCGGCATTTGGATGTTCTCTACGATAAAAAGCCTTGGCATTATGAAGGGAGCGATGATCCGAATACAGCCAAACTTATAATTGAAGCGACTGAGAAGCTTCAAGACGCCCTCAATCAATGGACTGACCGACTTGATGCGTTTTATGAGGCACGGCAAGACGATATAGTTGTCGAGGGCGAGCAGCAGTACCGCAACTTGCGTCTGCGCCAGCAATACTGGCAGATGGCTATAGACTCACACTCCACCAAAGAAGCGGCCGCTGAACCCAAGACTTTTCAGCCATTCTTGGCAGCAGCTAGAGAAGCAGCGGCGCCTTTCATTGCTCTCGCCCAGCCGACTTATTCGCTCGATGGCGATCTGATTTCCGGCCTAGCTTTTGTCGCATCGACCACGACTGATGATGAAACCAAAGTGCAGGCGCTTGATCTCTTGTGGCGGTTGAATCGTCGTGAAGGTCTATTGGATAGTCGCGATTTTGTTGAGTTGCATGAGCTTGCAAGGGCGCTTCAGACATGTAAGGAGCCTAAGTTTGACGCAAATTGGAAGCCCATGGCTGCAGCTGGGTTACCAACGATTATTGAAAGGCTGCGAAACAGCTTGCGCTAGTAAACATTAGACATATGTTATTTTTGAACGTTGGTCGACACTAATGTTGGGGCAGAATCAAATATAGATTATGAAACTAAAGTAAACAGACATCGGGAGTACACATTATAGAGAAATTGCTCATACTTAGCGCGATTTATCCTCATCTTTCCGCTTTTCAAGAATAGAAGTCTGTATATCTTTAAAACACTCACTTATTTGCCAATAAGAACTCAATTTATAGTTGCAGTGGCTCGATATTATAATATTCCCTGACCCAATGTCTTATCAGGTAAGGTTTAGGGTAACCAGTTACTGACGAAGATGACGTCATGATAATGGCCATGCTGTAAATGATGGCCATCTAGCAAACAGCCTACTGTAAACACAAAAGAAAAAGAGCGGCGTTTTGGATGTAATAAGAAAGCCTAAGACTTTTGGAAGCTTTTAAAACTAGTAGTTGGAGTCCTCTAATTTTTTCCTCTGAGGCTTGTAAAGGTAGGACCTCTACGGATACCTTAAATGGCCTTTGAAAACACCAGCCTTTGCTGAGCCCGGGCCGACTGTAATGACTATTAAACCTGTAGTATACTCCCTTTTTATGCACCTTCGGGCCGAAAATCGGTCGCCCGTGGGGGCCGAGATCTGGTCATTTTCGGTATGCGCGGAAGTCAAGACAAGGCATTTTAATGAGATCGTTTTTTATCAGCGAATGGATTAAAGGGACTTAATGATGAGTGGATGATGGTTGTCGTTTTTATCTGGTTTAGCCTTGCCAGTGTTAAATTAAAAGATCTAGCCTAAGTTACTCTTATAAAAACTGAGGTTAATATTATAGTATTTTTATCTCTATCTCTTTTGACTTTAGTTCTTTGCTTAATGTATATTGATTGAGTACTGTAGGTCCTATCGGCCGGCCTCTAATATCTTCCCGCCTTTATCTCAAACCCTTAATCAGAGTCATCCTCTCAACAGCCAACGGCCTACACATTTCCAACCTCATTCTCCGGTCTCGCAATTGACGATAATTTGCTTTGAATGAGATAATAGGATCGGAAACATGGAAAAAATGCGGTCATCCATCACAGGAGCAGAGATGACAAAGAACTCCTCTCCTTACTGGAGAACAAAGTCAAAACGCCAGTCCAGGAATTCTCAAGCCCGAAAACCAGATGAACATGGACTTATGACCACGAAGTCACCAGAACAGCTTCAGAAAAATCCAGCATCGCTAGCTCAGCAAGCAATTCGCTTCGTTGCTCGACATTCTTGGGCACCAGCGCTCGCCCTGATCTCCGCCGTACTTCTCACCTGGAATCTCGATCCGACGGAAAGCAATCCTGTTCATCGATTTATATTCCTGTCTTACCGAATAGAACCCACTATTGCAGAAGAGAGAGTGAAGTACGGCAAAGGCAGCAGGGATTTCGCATTCGTCTCTTTCTATGTCGTCGTCCTCTCTCTAACCAGGTCGTTTTTTATGCAGGAGGTTCTCCGGCCACTTGCAAGACATGCTGGCATCCTTAAATCTGGAAAGCAAACGCGCTTTATGGAACAGGCCTACTCAGTCATCTATCTCACTTTCGCTATCCCCTTTGGACTTTATGCCATCAGCGAAACGCCAGTGTGGCCTTTTAATACGAGACGCATGTATGAGGGTTATCCGCATATGACACTCAACGGCAGTTTTAAGTTCTATTACCTTTTTCAAGCTGCATTCTGGGCTCAACAAGCGCTTGTTCTTATTTTTGGACTGGAGAAACCTAGAAATGACTTTAAGGAGTTCGCTTTCATCATGTCGTTGCTATAGCCTTAATCGGCTTGAGTTACCGCTTCCATTTTACCTACATTGGCATCGTTGTCTATGTCACACACGACATCAGCGATTTTTTCTTTCAGTACGCACTTATCCGAACCCTTGTGATCGCCCTATCACTAACTCTTCAATCTCAAAACAAAGACATCTAAAGTCCTCAACTATCTTAACTCCTCTATTACAGTCCCATTCTACGCACTCTTTACATGCGTTTGGATTTACCTCCGTCACTACATCAATATCCGCATTATCTATTCCCTCTTTACCGAGTTTAAGACTGCCGGCCCTTATGAGTTGAACTGGGATACTGAGCAGTTTAAGTGCCCTCTCAGCTTTGCCATCGCGTCCGGGTTACTTATTGCCCTAAAAATCTTGAACCTCGTCTGGCTTTACTACATTCTTCGTGTTGCTTACCGCATCACCTTGTATAATGAGCAGAAAGATGCTCGTTCTGATGATGAGAACTCACAGGCTGAGGACGAAGACGTGAGCAAGAATGCTCGAGGAATGATTATTGTAGGGTATTGCGCTGAACCAGGGGCATATTCGTTTACAGGTCAGTTATTGACAGGCATCGTGAACAAGAGATGTAACACTTTAATAATAATAATTAATAATATACTTTATGCAATTTGTTAATAGTAAGCCTAAGCACGACTTCTTCTTTGGCCTAAGTGGATAAGAACGCTAGACCACTGATAGGTCAAACAGAACGCACGCTGGAAGAGAAAAATGAAGCTGGAGGCTGCATGCTAAGCTTTCTGAGATGGGAATGTGCTGTTCTTCGAAGATTCTAAAACCAGGGCAGCCCCATATTTACATGTGCCGAGGAGTGGAGCCCTGAGGCTCAAGGCAAGGATGCTGTGGATCAGTTTCATGTGCTCAGATCTTACTTGCGGAAGCAACGCGGAATTAATGCCTTCTTTGCGTCATGACGGAGCCGATCGGAATGATCGACGATGAACGACAATGAGAAATGTTATCTTGGGCTATTGCGCGTACAAGCAATTGACGACCTCGGCTGCCCCATCTTTCACAGTAGTCGATGCCGCCTTTTCGGGGCTGGAACTTGAGGCAACTTAAGCCTTTTCTTTGTCTCCCGTATCTTCCGCCATGCCGACCCCGATCGGTATTGACATGCACCGACAATCCGGGTCGCCTTGGGCCGGAAATCGCCTCAAGTGCTAGACTACGTACGTATGAGTTAGGTTCGTTCTCAAATTCCTTAAAAGTGGCATTACGGCCTTGTTGAATTGTTTCGTAACTCCTTCACATTGCCACTATCTTCACTTGCTCACACAACTTCTACCTCATTGAAATTCCTACAACCGCTGCTCAACAATTACAGTATGGGCGCTTTCACTGTCCCTTCAACCGAAGGTCGCACTGTCGCCATACTTGGTGGTGGAGTTCTCGGCCGCCGAATCGCTTGCGGTTGGGCTGCAAGCGGATTTGACGTTATCATCCGCGACCCTAGCCCTGAACAAAGGGCCGCCGCTGTGGAATACTGCAAGTCCAACATGTCCCAGTACTCAGACTCTGAGACCAGAGGTTTTGTAGTAGCCGTTCACGAACTTGCTGAGGCTGTTTCCAAGGCATGGCTCGTCATTGAAGCTGTCCCCGAGAAACTTCCTCTCAAGATATCAACTTTTGCAGATTTGGAGAAGCTCTCACCCCACGACACTATCCTGGCCAGCAACTCGTCGTCCTACAAGTCAAGGGAGATGATCGAGGGTCTCAAACCAGAGACGAAACGACGCGTTCTGAACATGCACTATTACATGCCGCCAGACTACCGTGTCGTTGAGCTCATGACGAACGGCGAGACTGACGAGAGCATCTTTCCGTTCTTGTATGAGAAACTCGAGGAAATCAAGTTTCATCCTTACATCGCACGCAAGGAGTCAACTGGCTTCATCTACAATCGTCTCTGGGCAGCCATCAAGCGTGAGGTTTTGAACATCCTCGCTGAAGAAGTCTCTACCCCAGAGGAGATCGATAAGCTCTGGAAGCAGATGTGGTACGCGAAAGAGAATGGACCTGTTGCCATGATGGACGTTGTTGGTCTCGATACAGTGTCTTTCATTGAGCAGCACTACATTGCTGAGCGTGGCCTGCCTGATACACCAGTCAAGTTTCTTCAGAAGTACATTGATGAAGGCAGGTTGGGAGCCAAGTCTGACAAAGGCGGGTTGCTCCCTCCAAAGAAGCTTATCAAATCAGATCACAAGTCCTCACTCTTCTTCCTAGACATTGGCTTGTCAAGCGGGAATGCTAAAGGCTATGCTTCGGCTGGTCGTGTTTTGGTTGGCTCCAGTGATGGAAGCTCAATGAAGACTCTGGTCTCAGGCCAGCGGTTGCCTGATGGTATAGACATATCTAAGTCTGCCGGAAAGCTCTTCTGGACTTGCATGGGCAACCCTTCGGCCAACGACGGTGCTATACTCAGCTGCAACCTCGATGGTACAGACCTGAAGGAGATTGTCCCTCAAGGATCGGTTCATACGCCAAAGCAACTGACCGTCGATAATACAAACTCGAAGTTGTACTTTGCTGATCGTGAGGGAATGAGAATAATGAGGTGTAACTTCGATGGCTCTGAGCTGCAAGTCTTGGTGAAGACTGGCAACTGGCAAGTAGATTCGCAAATGCTAGACCCTACGAGGTGGTGTGTCGGTGTGACAATATCACCTGCCACCGGTAAGTTTTACTGGACGCAGAAGGGACCATCCAAGGGAGGCAAGGGCCGTATTCTTCAAGCAAACATCCACTTCCGACCAGGCGAGGATGCACAGAGCAGGACAGACATCGAGGTCCTGTTACAGGGTTTGCCAGAGCCAATTGATTTGGAGGTCGATGAGGATGAGAACGTCCTCTACTGGACGGATCGAGGCGAACTACCAGATGGCAATACCATCAACCGCGCCAAGCTCGATGGACTTACAAAGTTGACTCACGATGGCGCAAGCAAGCCTGGCACTGACTACGAGGTTGTTGCTCGGGGATTACACGAGGCTATTGGCATCAAGCTGGACTCGAAGAACCGTCGTATCTTCGCCACAGACTTAGGAGGCTCGGTGTACCAATTTGACATAGATGGAGGTAACAAGAAGAAGGTGTATGAAGGATCTGGGGCGTTTGTGGGTATCACTGTGGCATAGGTACTGTACAGCCCTATCCTGTGACATACCAGAATAAGTCGAAGAAATATTGGGATGTTCTACACGTGTGACAGAGTAAAACATCCTTTCATAAATATATACTCTAAAAGCTCGCCGTCTACATTCTAACGATCTATATGTTCCCCAATAGTCTTCCAGTAGTTTACTTGATATGATAAGACTGGCCTGCGAGTCCAACTTCACAGCCATGCGATACGTAGCACATTCATCAAAGCGTTCCCAGCATGACTCCTTACCAACAAACCGAAGGGGGCTTTTAACCTCCTAGCCATCATCTTCGCAGATGTTAGTATTACGCCTAAACACGCGCGATACTAACAGCCAGATCTTGCCCGGAGGCTTGTCCTCACTAGCCCTGCGAACAAGCCACCACTGGAGAGTCATAGCCGCCATGGCACTGTTCCATACAAACGCCACCATCATGCCCACCGAGAAAGATAGTGAGGTGGATATGTGTCTTGTTCCGCAAAGGCTCATAACTTGAAAGTCGTCGATGCCATCAGGCAGAGCAAAGCCCGAAAGCATGAGAACAGCCTGGCAAATGAAGATGTCGGTGTAGTTGACCATCATGTGTACTCGGCGCCATCTTCTACTTATTGAAATCTTTGGTCTGAGGTTGTTCTCGATGAGGTAGACTCCTACTGCCAATGTTGCCAAGACTGTTGTGACTAACCCGATGATCTACATTATTCATGGTTAGTGCTGCTGCTACACTTGCGGACTGCTACTGACCCCGTGTTCTGTTCGGAAATGATCTGATGACCCCATCCCAGTCAGCCCGCATAGCATACCAATGGCCAGAAGAGGGAGGAAGAAGACGCAAAAGAGTATCTTCTGCCATTTTTCGATCCGAGCTTTGAATAAGGGTCGCTCGATGAGTTCCCCAAGAGCGATCAGCGTCGAAAAAATCAGGATGATGGGGTATACAATAAAGAAAGCAAGTGTCATCGCGGCCACTAAATCCCTGTTAGTAAGAGATCGAGCCTCGAGTTGACAGCTTACCGTGTATACTCGTTAGTATTATCATCAGAGATTTCGAAAGTGTATTAACGCGATAGCTGTTCTTGGGAAAGTCGATCAGGTAGGTGTTGCCTGAGCTGGTGATGTTAATTGGGCACTTCGGAACCTGCATATCCGACCGACGCGTCGATGTGAGATTTCTTTCCAGTTCAGTTCTAAGACCAGCGATCCCTCTGTTGAGCCAGCATGTTGAATGACCCGTCAAGATGTCCAAGTTATGTTGCAAGAAGTCGGTTACATAAAGCTGGTTCTGTGTTGTCCCAAAGCAGTACTGGCGCCTCGATTCTTCATCTGATCTCGGTGCATTCAATTCTCGGGATCTCGACAAGCTCTCAATGCTCAGTCCGGTCTCACCGTTTACGTAATCGAGATCATGCGCCGCGACGCTGTTGACTTGGCCTGAGAGTAATATTACCACGGACCAAGCCAGAAGAAACAGTTGCTGGATGCGAGATGTCATGATGGAGGATTAGTCAATGACGGTAGATAGGGTCAAATTAAAGAAAGGAGTCATAACGAGAAATTTATCTAATGTTGAAACGAGAAGCGATGTAACCGCGAAAGGGGCTGAGAAGTTTGCTTACGTCTCGCATGAAGAGACGCGTTTAGAGTTAGATGAGAAACCTTGGACGCTTTCCCGCGGGATGCCGAAGTGAGAGGGAGGAAAGCGTGGTTGAAGCTAAACTTGAGGCTAAATAATTAGTCGTGCAGGGGTCTGAAGTACATAAGTTGGCCACATCCTGGCATTCGAAACGGTAGGGCCACAATTGACAACATTACAGATTAACAAGAAGAACTGAATTAAATACAGGGCCTTATGAATTTAACATCCTTCTCTTAATGCGGCCTGTTTACATATTCTGGTGCACATTCGTGCGTTTCAAAGCTACTTGATCACTGCGTCCAAACATCCCCAGCATCAGGGGCAAAGGTATCATCGCCATGGCAAGCACAGCTTGAAAGATAGTAAAGTCCTTCATGTTGCGAGGAGGGTCAGCACTCTCAGCTGCTTTCATACCGTTGCCGAGAATGATGAAGCACCCACCGAGTAACTGACCGCCAGCCCAGGCAGTAGTGCTAGTGATCTCGGCGCCCGCGGGATACGAGAACTCGGTGAGAATTTCCAGCACAACAGGGACGATAGCGAGCGACGAGATGCCGATGCAGCAGAGAACAGCATATAGTGCACCGATCTCCTTTGTACTTGGGACCCATACCAATGCGAGGTAGCATAGTCCACCAACTACTACTCCGCATTTGATAACGAGGATGAACTTCTTGGTTCTGTCGATGATGGGAGCTGTTATGGCGGAGAAGACGAGACCGAGAACTATAAGTAGACCGCCTCCAATACCGGCCTCAGTATCCGAAAAGCCGTAAGGTGTGACGATCTGGTTGACCAGGGACGTTGTGGCGACGAAAAGACCAGTGTAAACCCAAAAGGGAATTATAATCAGGTAACATTCCAACGATCGAACTAATATGCGTAGTGAGGGCAGGACCTTGGGCCGTTCTGCATGATTAATCGCGGATGGAGGAGTTGGCGGCGTGCCAGGGATGAAGAAGCCAGAAACGGCCACGGCAGATGACTGCAGATATAAGCTTCTGGACAGACTGTTTGGGAATGGGGATCGGAAAGTTGAGACATACAATTATGGCCACGTATAAGACAACAGCAGAGATATCGCTAGGTTCATTCGTCCACAAGGGAACGACAATGGATCCAATCGCTGCTCCAGTTGGATTCGCAAGACTCATAACAGCCGTCGCCGTCACACGCCCTTGACTGGTAAACCACGTTTCAGAGAAGCGCGTCGGGGCACTTAGCACAAGAGACTGCGACATGCCCAACAGAGCTTGAGCGACAGCGACAACGGAGACTTTGTTACCATCGGAGGAGTAGGATCCAGCATAACGAACCCAGTTGCCGATTAGGAGAAGTGCGCTGCCGCTGATGAGACTTGGACGAAGACCCCAGTCGAGAAGCTTGATAGTTACGAGAGTCATGGCGAAGTTTGCAAAGACAAAGATACTGCTTAGCCAGTTCATCATTGTTTCGTCTACTCTGTAGAACTCGGCGGTGGAGGAAGTGACAGGCGCGAACGTGAGCCACTGAGATATTGTCAGTAAATGGTCGCCGCCTTGAAGATGTTCAGCTCGGGGGAGAGAAGATAGGTTTGTGTGCAAGGCGTTCTGATGGACATACCGACCAGCTAACCATGACGTTGAGCAATGTCAGCACTACTAGCCCGAACCAACGGATCTTGTATGTCCTATAGGGTTGCTCAATACTACCGCGCCTCACAGAAGAGGTCGAGTCATCGGGGGCAAAGACGGTCGGAGAATCAGGGTTTTTCTTGTCCATGTCACCTGTGGACTGAACAGCTGGCACTGCTTCAAACACGGAATTTTGAGATGTAGATGCCATTGGGCTGTCTACTTGAACTTTTGTTTGTCTGTTTGTAGATACGGACAGACTGCTGAAGGTGTAATGGTGTTCCAAGATTGGCGTCACGTACGAATAATAAGCTCCGTGGAAATAAACGGCCAGGGAGTTTTGACATGGGTGATATCTCTATTCTATGGCACATCTAAACGCGTATCATCAGGATACCTGAGTCGGGCAAAGAACTTTAACCCTGTTACCCCGCAAGCGTAGGCTTCTTTATCGTAGATATGCCGAGATCGACAATCAGGTCTAACTTGGTTATCGCAGATCGGGCCCGCGGGTTGCGAGCCGCGGGCTGCGCGGGCCGCCTCCTGTCCCCACCTCATTTTCTCAACATTACGCGGATTGCGCATTGATCGGGCACCACAATCCCCTCCGACACTCCGATCGTATCGCCTGCTGGGGTTGATGCTGTATTCCACACCGGCTCTATCGTTTGAAACTCGAGCTCAGCGGCAGATTTTACTTATCACCTCTGAGAAAGACACGATGGGCGAGGAACATTCCCCAGAGCCAGTTGGTCGCGTAGTAAGAACCTCATCTACTCCCATGCCCAGACTAGATAGTCAACGTCGAGAATTACGATCTGATACTTGCTTTTGTAATGGTATAGTGCGACAGATGCCGTCTTCGAAAGGTAAGGTGCGCCCTGATAGATGCCTGTGGTGACTAACATTGAAGCGACGATAAGATTCGCTGCGATAGATTATTTCCGTGTTCGAACTGTCGAGCAGTCCAAAAGGCGTGCAGCTTGGTTGGATCAACACAAGGAATGCGACAGTCTAAACAAAGAGTTCTCATCTCCTCACAGTAGTAAGTCTCGCCCTCGGCTATCTGTTTACAAGGAAAAGGAGAGCTCAGATGAACAACAGCGAACAAAAGATAGATCGCATCGAGAATCGCCTCGAGGGTATCGAAAAGCTCTTGCGTAGGGCCTTTGATGAACAACCTATTACCATCAATGCCCCAAGACCTCCCGAATCGTTACCTACAGGCTCTTTCAATGCCTCCCAGGACTTCGCAGACAGCAGTAGAAATGGGCCAAGCTATACTGACTCAGAGATGGCTCTGGAGGGGAGTAGCTCCTTGAAAGCTGCTACGGTGTACGCGAGCGACTTCTTCCAGACTGTTCTCGGACAATCGCCAGCCGCTGATACAAGCACGCGTGTGAACGCTGCGTTGTCGTCGCTGAAGCAAATGATTGAGATTAACAGCTATCGGTCGATGGGGGATCGTATACCGAGTCGACGAGAGACCGAAAATGATGGAATAAGGGACCTGGCAATGCCACCTTTACAGTCCGTTCTAACGATTCTGCGAGAATTGAAAGGTACGTAATAGGACCAAGTCTTCTCCCTTCCCAGTATGGGCTAACCGAAGAAAGAAACAAAGCTAGCTACACTGACGGTAGTTAGCCTCTTCATCTCCGAAGACAGACTAATCGATTGTTGCCGAGAGATATACTTTGCAGTTGATAATTTCTCACTTCCAACGTTCTTGATAGCAAACGCCACCCTCCGTTACCTGTTTCAGGAGAAAGTTCAAGCGTCGCAGAATCCATTACTTCGCGAGGAGTATCGAAAACTGTCTCAACTATGTCAAGACAACCTCGAAACAGCGATGAATAAGTTCAGCGTCCTTGCACCACCCAGCCTGGAGAACGTAGAGGCTTTTCTTCTGGGGGTGAGTATTCCACCATGGCGTGTATACGTTAAGGAACATTTCTAAGATACTTCTCATAGGCCATCTATGCCATCGAGGTGTCGCAGCCAATGCTTGCTTGGCAGCTCGTGTCTGGCGCAGCAGGGACTTGTCAGACTCTTGGCTGGCATCAACTCGTTCCCAACAGTGACAGCACCACCGATCGAAAGATCTCTCTTTTTTGGTTGACTTACCTCCTCGATAAAGGCCTCTCCTTACGCCTCGGCAGACCAGCTGTCATACGCGATGATGAGATCACCCTACCAGAACGTCTGGACAAAGGAGATGTGCCCGGTGGGTGGAGAGACTTACTTACACAATGGATCCGTCATTCTCGACTTGTTGGTAGGGCCTATCAAGATCTGTACAGCCCCTCTGCGCTTCGAACGTCCACACAGGAACGTGGCGAGCGCGCAAGGAGCCTGATCGCAGCACTAAAACAAATCATGGATGACTCTTTGATGCCACTTGGACAGGCACATCTCATGGAACGCAACACTGTGGACTTTGGGTCAGCGCCTAATAGGATGATCAAGACGGTTCTGAAAGCGGATGAGGTATGGTACTGGACGACTCTAACGTTTATACGCAGGGCTGTTCCCCCAACTGAAAATGGGCATGGTGCTGTGAGCCCTGCGTGTTTAGAATCTGCTCGCATGGCTTTTGAAGCTCATGGGGAATGCATGAGGATGACTGACCCGAGCTCGGAGACAAAGGCTCTATATCTTCTATGGTACTGCTGCCCTTCCTTCTTCCCAAACTTCTCCTTTCAGAGCTCTAATCAGTGTCTCTGCGTGTAGGACGATTATATACACCCCCTTTGTGCCTCTCATTGTGGTTTTCTGTAATGTCATCGAGACTTCCAACCCAGAAGACATTCGCATACTAGGAGAGTTTTGCGAATCGTTAAAGCCACTTTGCGGCATATTCGAGGCCATTCAAGAGCTACACGATCTTTGTCAAGTTCTGTATAACCTAGCGATCTCATACGTCGAAGCGAAAACGCAAAGCCAAGGCGGTCTTGATAAAATGGTTGAAGATGGGTTTGACGTCCAATCGAAGGGCACGCAAGGAGCGGTGTCGTTTAGTAGCAGCTACTATGATGCTTTCTCTACGGGATCGAGCATGGCAGTGCCACAGCTGAATAGCCATGTCTCTCAGGTCAGAGACTGGATTTCGGGGAATATGCAGTGGATGGATATGTCACAAGAGGATTTCTCTGAGTTCTTGGCACAGTTGTCGTAGTATAAGTGCAATAAAAAATAGGACCCCCCGTTGTGTAATTCTTTCTGTCGATGGAGTGGTCAAAGGAAGTCGGACTTGGTACATGCCGTCAGTATTGTCCGGGGTGGGCAATCGGACATTGGGCAAATTTTCTTCTCGTCAGGCTATTCAAACTTCTGAACTTCAACATCATATTTTAACTTAGATATACATAACTCCAGCCAAATAAGGCAAACATGGGGTAGAAATTTGCATTATAACCTAAGGAGTGTATGGCGAGTGAACAGAAGATCTATTGACTGCTACAGCCAATAAAGGTCCATAAAGCAGCTAGAACTAGCCGCAAAGACCGATGATGCCAACTGCTAGGGTTAAAAAGTAATAAGCAACCGGTACCAAAATAAGCAAAAACATCTATCATAGAGATCTACGGAAAATTCCTCTCAAAGCTGTTTAAGCAGAGTCTCTGGAACCTATAACTAATTCTTGTAAAAGTAAACAAAGAGTATAGAAAGAAGGTATGAAGCTAATCGAATTTAGTAACAATAGGCATCGTGAAGAGTAAATAGCTGTCCAATCAACAAAGGATGTAAGAAGTACTGTTCTAGTTGAACCACGTGCACCTAAGAAAACCCTTCATCGACAGCAAATCTCCCGCTCCTCCCCGTTGCTGACACCGTTTGCAGGAACCAGCACACTCTTATTTACAGCCTGAGTGCTAGGGGGTACATCAAGAGCAGGATTGCGATCAAAGAAGTCGGCAGGTTTCAAAGCCACTGTGATAGCCTCAGCAGGCATGACCGGGTAATCCTCCACGCGCGGATTATGCGTGAGACCATAGGTAGCCCACACGACCAGATCCTCCCCACGCACGTTATCATTCCTCGCCGCGTAATCGGCCACACCATCCTTCTCAATCAAACTCTGGTTAGTCCATTTGCCTCCGGCCCAGAGATCATCGTCCTTATAGCGTGTCACCCAAAGATGATGCTCTGCAAAGCGAGCACGCTTGCGAACGAGGGAGGCTTGATCAGCCATGAGGAGCTGTGCTGGAGGAGCTATAACCTTGTAGCCGACTGGGTTCTTGGAGATGGGGTTCAGCTTCTTCTCGTTGACGATCTTGAAAACTCGAGCCTTCTGCGGGTCGGCATCCAAGGAACAACTCTTTTCAACAAAGGTCTTGTGCAGTTTCCAGGCATTGCCGTATGGATTTTCTTCTGACATGGGCAAACCGATGGAATCCTCCTGCACGAGCGTATTCTCGAGACCATCGATCATAGGGTCAATACGGAGACTGAAGAGATGCTGATGGTTGGCGGCTAGAACGCCGGGAGACACGACGTTGCCCCAGTGGCTAGTCTTGCCCTCATCGATTAGACTGGTGGCGAGGATTCCAGTAGCCCTGGTCTCAAACTCGATGGTGCCGTTTTGCCAGAAGTGCCATGAGAATGCATACTCGTAGTTCCCGACGGTGATGATGCTCTGGACTACGAGGGTGCGAGCTCGAGTAACAGCGGCGACATCGGTTCTGGCATTGGTATGTTTCCATCCAATACCAGCGTCCTGATTCAACAGTCAGTAAGAGAATTACTCTTCGCAATAAATGCAGCCATACCTGTTCGTGGAGACAGATCACGTTAGGGGCTTGGTATGGCTTTCCATCGGAAGCAGTAAGCAAGGCATCGAAGTAGCTGATGTGTCCCAAGCAATCACAACCGAGCTTCAGGTTGTTGGCTGTCAGGCCCGCACCAGCATCGCCTAGATCGAAAGCCTGTCGACGATGGTACGGATATCTGGGGTCTTTCCAACGGTGGTTAGTCAAATGACACTATCCTTTGGGGCCTTGTCTCACCTCCATATGGTACGGTCATCTCGCTCATGCTTAAGCGATAGAAAGTCTTTCGTCCATCATATCTCACATCGTGAATCGTCATGCCCTCTCGCCAATTGAATCCAATGCGGAATCGCCACTTCTGCCAAGAAATTGCGTTCCCATCTCGCACGCTGTAGCTGGGTCCTTCAGGTTGTTGAATTACAAGTGGCTTGAGATCGTCCCGAAGCTTGACGCTCAGAAGATCAGGGTGGTATTCGTTCTCAACGCAGTGAGAAAGAGGAGCATCAGGGGCCGTATGGGTGGCGGCTCCGTCCTCCTTGCCACCAGTGGGCAGAGAGTCGATCCGAATAAGTTTCAGATCGACCGAGTCAATGACGGGAGAGATGGGAAGCGGGTAAGAGTACATGTTACTCTCCAGGTGATTATGCGGGGCCCTAGCGTAGAGCATAGCCTGAACCAGTCTTGGAGTCTCCAATGAAGAGTCTTTGTCTGCTCCAAATGGCCAAGTGTCGCATTGGACTGTCACGTTGGGATCTAGACCCAACTTCTTGATAGCGTCCAAGATCTCTGGGTGAGATAGAATGGCATAATTGAACGCGATGACCTCGTCTCTGTAAACCAGTGTCAGTTACTTTCTCATCTACGTAGCGAGTGATACGAACCTGTCAAAGCCGGCATGATCACCAGGCTTAGATAATGTCGACTTGACCTCGGTCCCAGTGTCCAGACTGACGATGGTTTCGGTGAAGCCTGGCTTGCCAGGGAAGGTATAGAGCACCTGAGCACATCTAGGTACGAATGGCCGGGCAGTGAGAGGAACACCGTCACTCTCAGCATCCAGGTATGGAAGAAGCAAGGACTTGGGAGGTTCAGAAAGTGTGGTGTGCTTGAATCTGACGTCCTCCTTGCCTTCAAACTTCTCCTTGACGAGTGCTCTTACGATGTCTGCAGCTTTGAGCATCTCCTCCTCGCTCAGGGCGTGGAGGGGATGAGTGCGTTGGCCTTGAACTGTCATGATGTTTCCGTTATCCCTTTCGAAATGTTGTATCTTTGTGTCTTAAAATATCCAATGTCATCGGCCAGAGCGTCATTACCTTGTATTTATCTCATCCAAACCACAACATCTCGCATTCAACGTTTACTTCGAAACGTTATCCTTAGCACCTGTATCACCCGAGCAGCCCATGAGTAGCGCGAAGCAGCAGCTCGCGAGCTATCAACACCCGCGGGCACCGATTTGATAATACTTTCGATGAGTACGGCCCGCGGCGCAATTCATGTGTTACTCCTCACCATTTGCTGAAACCCGTTCACTGTGCGGCCCGCGGCGCGATACGCCGCGTCCGTTATCTGTGTTCACTAACCCCTCTTCCTTGTTGCGGTTAGTTTGACCTAGTAACGGCCCTGCTAGATTCGTGTGCCTGATACAATTTTCATGGTCATTTTGTGCCGAGGCACCGTCTCAGCTAGACGCAATGATTTGTCTGTAGATCTAATGCTATTTGTTTCTGTGAAGGGTTTTGCCGTTATGTCCCCTATTTGTGCGACATGCTCACTGTATCAGAAGTGAAGAAGCACCAGACTCCATAGTCATATTCCCATTCAAGAATGAATTGCATGCATGACTGTACCTCTCCAGTCAGAGGTCATTGATTAAAAGTGTTCCAAGAATTGTAATAAATAGCATTGCTGTTCAACAACTTGCAGTGCTACGACATTCTGTATGGATAAGACGCGTTGAAGCTAAAGAATAACGATCTGGTCCATCTATACTCCCAACATTTATCCGAACTAGCTCCTAGTGACTCAATTAATGAATCCCTTGATTCTCATTTCAATCTCCGTCCAGTGCCAGAGCTCCTCCGCCAACTTGGGATCCTGTGCAGTTGATGACGTCTTTCCAATGATACCTACAGGTTTCAAGTACTCTCCACTCATATCCTGATGGAAATCCGGGCCGGCGATGGCGAAGAGTGACGTATAAGCTGCAGTCTCAAGGGGGCTGTAGAGCCTTAAAAGCCGCATCACCGGGACAAGTACTTGCCATGCCCATGAACCGGTAGCGTTACGGCCTAGAGCACTTACGTATTTGATCAGACCATGGCATAAATCAGATTGTAGATAGATAGAAAACTTACGTGTCAATGGTACCTGGATGCAGACTCGCGGTCCAAATCTCTTCCTGCCTATCATTATCAGGCGACGGACCATATCTGCGATGTAACTCTTTGGCGTGTAAGATGTTGGCTAGCTTAGACATGCCGTATCGCGAAAATGCAGTACCCTTGGTTTGGTTTATGTCATCGAAATCGATTCCTGCCGAAGGGGAAACTAACAGATGGCCGTCGGAACTGACATTGACGACGCGGACAGTTCCAGGGCGAGTCAATCGCGCAGACTCGGTGAGGATGGGCAACAGACTGTAGGTCAAAAGCCAGTGAGAGAGGTAGTTTGTCTGAAGAGCGCGTTAGTTGCGATTATAGCCTTTCCCGAATTGTGACTGACCTGGAATTGAGCTTCGTAATTGTCCACAGATTCTTCATACGGCGTTGCCATTATACCCGCGTTGTTCACCAGGCCATGGAGCCTTGATTCTTTTCTATGCACGTCATCGTTAATCCAAGATCGCCAATTATCTTGTTATACTTGCCTTGCAAACTCGTCAGCCGCGGCTTTGACGGTCTTCAGGTTCATCATGTCCATCACTAAAACGGATATATCTGCTTGAGGATGCTGGCCTTT